ACTGTGTGGAATCAAGCTGTAATAAAATGAAATTCCATCCTCAAAAGAAGCTAGCCAATCGCATTTATATACATAAGTTTACACACGATAACGAAGGGAGCATTAGAGGTGATAATAATTTTCAGTTTGATATGAAATGTGAATATAGACCGCAAGACGCTTAGAAACAAAACCACGCAGGATCAGAAAAAGTTATGTCAGATGATAAAATAGTTTTCAACGAAGACATGTTTGCATTGCATGAGCATGGAAACAAACTGAAATAATAGTTTTTATGACAAAAAAGAAAGGGATAAAAAAGCAAATAAAGAGTCAAATCGAACTAGATCCATAGTAAATTTAGATGTTGGACTAGCTTCTTTTGAACAAAGAAGCTGTAGCTTTTCCATGCATATAGTGAGAGCTTCTGCAGTACAGAAATGTTGGAAACATACCGCATTTGTTAGATTTTCGCTTACTTTGTAAATGAGTCGTCAGCTGAGATGCTGTAGGAGGTGTTGAAGAGGTGTCCATCCATGGCGCTTCTAATTGAACCTGTACCTCTTTGCAACCCTACTGGTTAACTTGCTCTAACACGTTTTGAAAGGATGCGCATAGGATGACCTATGTACCTAGCTCCACAGGATCAAGTAAATTGATATATCCACAAAAGAGTGGTCATATGTGAAAGTTTGTACTTCACATTGCTTGAAAGCATTGAGTCGCTAGAGAATAACACCGTTGGTCTTGCTATTGGGAACTAGAGATTCTCTCCTCTTTAGAATATCTGCCAATAAACCTCTCATGAAGTCCAGATTCATATACAGCATCTTCTTCGGCAATGAAATGTATTCTTCTCATTTTGGCTTTGGTTTCATTTTGTTTTCCATGAGACGTGCCTGGTATCCACTTTGAGCCAGGCTATTTCTGAGAAATAAGATTTGTTCTAAGCGATGAATGCTTCAAATTCTTATGTGATAGGGTGAGCCAGTGAAATGGTGAGAGCTCTTTGTCAACTATATAAGTTTTGTCAGTAGGTTGTTCCATGATGGTGTTCTGTAGATAGATGTTTCCAGAGTCCCATCATCTTTTCTTGTCAGTTCTACATTCAGAAGTGGAATCTTTGGTATATTTTCTAATTTCATTGTGAATTTAATCGAAGGATGACAATTATCAAATTTTTGTGGGATACAATTTAAATCGGAATAGTCAGATAACTTCTCCATATGTTTTATTTTAAAATTACTTCTTCGATACCATTACATTTTAGCCTGTGATACGACGTGCCCTAAAGGCTATTGGATGTCGGGTGTTTGTGGCAGAAATCAATCCGTTGAATGTAAACGTAAGTTATTCTATTTTTATATAAACTAGTAAAGAAAGAGCTGTTTTAAATGTGTTTTTTTCATCGAATAGGTTTACACTAATCTACTTTAACTGAGGCTTCTTTATTATTATTTTCCCCGAATCTAATTAGCATAATAATTCGATAATTAAGAAAGTGAATACTAATAACCAGCTGGAAAATTCCACATTTTGAAATATTTAATTCAAAACTATAGTCGTTCACACTCATTTATTATTATTATATTATTGTTCCCTTGGGTTCCTAGTGAAAATAGGGCTTCAACTGCACGTCTCCACTTGCTTCTGTCTTCTGCTGTACTTTTCACCTGCATCCATGTTAATCCATACTGTTTCAATTCCTCTTCACACGATCTCCTCCATGTCACCGTTGGACGTCCCACTCGCCGCTTCCCTTTCGGGTTCCACTCGAGCGTTGGCCTGACGCGCGATGTCACCCAGCGGCCTCCTCAGCGAGTGTCCAATCCATCTCCACTTTCTCCTGCATATTTGTTGAGCGATTGATTCTTGTTTTGTTTGTTCCCATAGTTTTTTGTTGGTGATTCTTTCTGGCCATCTGATCTTCAGTATAGAGCCAGCGAAGATAGTTGTTGATAAAGGTCTGCAACAGGCTGTTGGAAATATTTTTTGTGACCCGCTGCCAAGTTTCTGATCCGTGTAGAAGAACTGACTGACTTGACGTTTGTATTGAAAATCCGAATTTTGTTGTTCATACTGAGTGACGAAGATTTCCAGATTGGAAATATGCCATTCCTAGGGACTAACTACTTTTTGAGTATTAATTGACTATATCGCATGAAACTCTGCATTACTTACTGATTGAGATAAATAGTCGTAAACCACGAGTATCAACTAGTAGTGCTTGCCAGCCAGTCAGATAGAAGTGATGCTAAACAACAGAGAGCAGTTTCGTTCGTCTTGGACGGAGCATATCAGCTCTCTACCCGGCCTGAATTAGCTCAGATAGCGGAATAAGTTCGAATCACCCGATCTCTGGATAGCTCTTTGGGCTAACGGGTGCTCCATTAAATCGAATGCATAATTTGCCAGTTAGTTAGTTAGTAGTCAGCAATGTACACAGTTTGGTTGTCCGATATGCCTGGCTGGCAAGCACTTCTGATTTATATTAGTGGTTTACAGCTACTCAACTGAATCAATCAGTAGTAGTATATGGTTTTGCGCAAATATACTTGCTTTCTCGATTACTATTTATGAAATCAAGCAGAGCACTTACTGTGTGTGTGATCTAAATAAACTGTGGTGAAAATCTCATTCGTCGAACTATGTATATTGCAAATTACTAACTGATTTACTTTGATCGGATACTAGTCAATGGGTAGTGTAGTGTGTCTAGTCCTATCTTTGGTGAAGATTGAATTCTATCAGTCAAGTTTGCAATGTGGCCAGCATTCTAGACGGCTCACCGTCACGATACACTCCGAATTGTTGATATTAGATAGTTGGAGGCAATTGGCAGGAAGCCCTACTTGACCTAAGTTTCGTTATAGTTGGCACTCACCAGTCAGCAAGGCGTACCTGCAACCTGGGATGAACTCGTGTCCGTTCTGAGACTCGTATCCGTGTTACCCAATGCTTCAGTCAGAGACGTTACCCCTGGACGAACCCGAATAACCTCACTGGGAACGTTTCTGACTGCAGCACTGGATGACACAAGTTCGAATCTCAGGAGGGACATGAGTTTCTTAAAGGATGCAGATACGCTTTGCTGACTAGTGAATGCCAACTAGCACGAAACCTAGGTGAAGCAGGGCTTCCTGCCGATTGCCTCCAACCATCTGACGCTAACTAATTTACAAGTTGTGAATTCTATTTAAATCACTATACTACTTTCAGTAGTAATGTGGTGTATAGAAAATATAATCCTCTAGTGCAATCACAGGCTTTATTATGAAAAGTTTGGCTTAGAGATCGAACTAATTACAATGCATTTTGTAGGTATATAAATACACAAAAACTAAAAATATATCATATTAAGCCACCTGTTGTAGTATGGTGCCTAAGTATCCCGATGAAACTCATATATTTTCATTTTATTGATTTTATCCTGAAATCTGCGAACCATATGAGTTATTTTTGTTTTTTTGTTCCTTCAAATTTCAGCATGTTCAACATCCTGTCCAGCTGGAATGTATGAAGACAAGCCCTGTTCCCAATACTCTGATAGAATCTGTCGAGGTAATGTATTATATATTGAATTAAATAAATATAGGAGACAAATGAGATAATACTGGAAATTGTTCAAAGTAAAATTAATGATAATAATGACAATCGACGTAATGAGGGATGGATATACAAATTCAGTAAAAAAAACAAAACGAGAAATGAGTCGGGCCAAAGTATGAATGGGGATTATTTTACTCTAGCACAGACTGACTAAAATAATGAGAGTTGGAGGGGCAGAACAAACTTTTTCTGTATGCAGAAATCTGGCTTCTCTGCTTCTATGGCCAAAGCTTCAGAAATACAAATGAGTTGGGTACTTACTGATTTGAGTGAACTTATTTTTAGCCTTGCAAATAACTTTAAAGGCGAAGGCTGTACAGACAGGGAGGCCATTATCGACTAGATGTTCAGGGATTGTGCTTTCTATAGCCCCACTTTCAACTCTTCTTAACCACCTGAGACGGTGTTCTTACACCCTGCTGGACAAGACCGGAGTCGAAAGACTGATATACCCAGCTCCACAAGAGTAGGTGAAGTGATAAACGCACATAGAGTTGGTCAACTGAGGTATCTTGTCCTTCAAGTTATTGATCAGGGTTGGTTGACGGGAAAATGTTATCCTTAACGATGTTGAAACGAATGTCCTTTTCAGAGACTGTGTGTTCCTTCTTTTAAGAATGTCAGCAGCTAAGTTACCTTTGAACTCCAAGTTCATGTGCTGCACTTTCTTCATCACACATGTTAAGTCACATTTCATAGGTTTTGACTGCGTGTTCTTGTCTATAAAACGTGGCGGAAATCCATTTTCTATTGAGATTATTCCTGGGAGATATAATTCTCCCTCCACAGCATCAGGGTCTTAATGCGTCTATGCTAAAGTATGATAATCCCCAATCATACTTTGGCCCTTTTTATCTTTTGTTTTGTTTATTCTCTTTGTATATCCTTCGCTTATTATAATTTAATAATCCTGATTGTAACATTAAAAACGAACTTATTATCAAGCTGTACAGTCGTACATATATATTCCATATTAGTTTGTTTAGTAGATGTATCACACAGTCAAACGGTATTACTTACTGGATAACGTTTCGAACAAAATTTTTTGTTCATAATCACATCAATTATTAACACATGACTTTAAATCTTCAGTTCTATAGTTTTCTTTGTTCTTTCCTATTTGTCGTCGTAGGGGTAGTAGGATTTTCAAGATATCTGGGATAGGTGTTGATTCATTCATATTACACGTATTTGCAGTTGATTCAATAAACGAAGCTTCTGTTATCAATCTCTCCCTCCACCCTGTGACATCAGATTTTAAAACTGTCATCTTATCCCATCCTACTGTGTGGTGTGCTTGTGTGTAATTGCATGTGGTGCTATAGATGAACTATTCTCTAGATTTCTTATCTTATTTGGGTCAACTAATCTAGATTTTGCTAGGTTTTTCTGCTTGGCTAGTCTGACTGCCCCTGTTCTACTAGTTTGACCTATGTATTTGACCTGACAATCATTCCAGCAGCGTATTAGATAAACTAAATTGTTTTGTTTTAAAGGCACCACAGGATCCTCTAACCGACAAAGCTTGTTTCTAATTGAGTTTGTGACTGGTTTGAATGCCAGCCACTTTTATTCCTGTCTTTTTAGGAATTCTGCGTAAGCCTTCCGAGGTTCCTTCCTTGTATGGAATTACTACTGATGATTTAGATTCCTTATTGTTGGTGTTGTCATTATCCTGCGTATGTTTGACATGCATGTCGTCATTAATATTAATATTATTATTACAATTAATAATAATAATAAATTAGTTAATAAATGTTTATCCCTCTACGGCCAAGTCAGAGGTAAGGATTGTACATACTTCTTTTGTCTTGAATTCATGAATGGTCAAGGCCTCTACTATCTTTAGAAGTTTATAACGAAGAAAACACCGTGAGTTAGCATAGATTTGATAAATGATTTTAAAATCATGATCAGGGTTATTAGAGTTACGGGGGTTGATCAAATGTTCTAGAATATAGCTTCGCACACCCTTCCTTTCTCCCTTGTAATGCCATCCTGGAATATGTTCTCGCATCCGTGTGGAAAACGTTCTCTTGCTACAGTCAATGTACCTTGCTCCACAAGAGCAGGTGAACTGATAGATGCAAATGGAGGTGGCCGGACGAGGAAGCTTATCTTTTACAGAGATGGAGAACAACTTACAGCTCATGGAGGTCATTTGTAATTTTGCTGCAAAGACTGTCTTACTGACTGCTTTACAGAGACAGTTTTTGAGCTTATCTGAAGCTTGATCACTTTTGAATTCGAAATTAAGTTCACAAATATGGTCTCCTTTGGAATTGAGTTGGTGATCAGTTTGTACTGCTTATCTTTCGTGTTACTGTCAATAAATCGGTTCAGGTAACTGTTTTCTGTGAGCGTGGCTTATAGGAAGGCAAGTTCTGAGTCAATACAATCACAACTACAAATGTTTCTTAACCCTAAACAGAGGGAATAAATTAGGTTCCTTTTCCTGGAAATAGTAACCCAACTATAAAAATTAGCTAGTTGTTCATTTCATGTACTACTTCTGGTGGATGGGTCTTTTGAGAGATCTGTCATTACGTCTACTAAGGCGCACATCAACAAATGGAATGCTTAGTTCTGAATATTTTTTTACGGTGAATTGCAAAAAGGGATCGCAGTTGTTGAACGCAAACAAGACATCATCAAGAATTACGTTATTATCACAGTTAACGAAAGTGTTGTAGATTGTTAATTATGAATTTCATTTTGAATAATTTCCAGAATTATCTCAATTGTAATGTAATGTGTTATTTATAGATTGTCATTTGTTTGTACTTCTTTTTTTGTAATTAAGTACTTTTGTAACGACAGAAGACAAGGGCCAGGGAACAGATCGTTTATTGAGAAAATCAACAGATATTTATAGATTTTTATGTACATTATTGTCAGTGGAGAAGCAACGTCTTCTGATTGCTTGTTTTCTTACTGAAGATTATTCTGTACTGCTTGTGACCTTTTCTTAGAAGGTTGCGTCATATATCTGCGAATCATATTTGCAAATGCTAAGTCTGCTGTGACTGGTTGTTGAATCCCTCCAGGTTTGGTTTTTTCCTATTTTTTCTCATGACCCTGATTTGGGACGTAAACACCGACGTTAATTGTTGTCTACGATTTTGGCTTGCAGACAGTTCTTACCACACAATTTCTACTGGATTGTAAGGTTTCGCTTGCAGAAAGTTCAGGAGAAACAAATAATCATAATCGATGGCTGCACTAATTAATTCCACAGTCAGCGGCATATTTATGTCATATATAGTTTATTGAACTTGATGTGTCCTTGATTAGCGTTGGCTTATAAAGTCTAGGCAGCTAAAGTAATTACCGTCCGGTCACCATTTTAGTAAAATTAGACGAATTCTTTGTATTCACTTCAATTACCGCTAGCTGCTGCATTCTTTTTGGAATAACTGAATATTATACACAACTTAAATAGAGTAGACGATTGCATATTGTTTTGTAATATCATATGAATATTTCGGAACAGGAATAATTCACGGCGAAATAATAAAGGCTTGATCTAACCAGACATTCATGTACGCAGGCTGTGTACAATGTCAGATACTAATAGCTGAGTATGAGTTATCATCTAAGCAAATTCGAATTTTTTTTCAGATGATTTCATCAGCTTTCTAAAAACCGGTTCATTTATTAAGTACTATGTTAAATTTACGTCTGGCTATTTTATTGTTAGTATTGGAGTGGGCGAAGTTCAAGAATAGCATCTCAGGAGTGCGAACGCCTAAATGACCTTGAACGCAGACTAGTCGTTGGCTTACGGCACCTGTCATTATCGAAGCTGAAATATCAGTGATATTCACCAACAGGGGAGCGAATTTTTCCCCAGATCACGTTTCTAAGTACTGGTTGGATAATGTGGTAATAGGTCGCTAGGGTTAGGATTAGGGTTAAGGTAAGTTTTGGGATTAGGGTTAGGATCAGGGTCAAAATAAGGCTTAGGGTTAGACTTACGGTTAGAATTAGGGTTGAACTTAGGGTTAAGGTTAGTGTTAAGTTCAGGGTTAGGGTCAGACTTAAGCTTATGGTTACGATTAGAGATAGATTTAGAGTTGATGTCATTTATGTTAATTTGTTTTATTATCCACATTTTCCTGGTAAGTAGTCGTCGATCGTCTTAATGGAAACCATAGTAATTCAACTGAGGGCTTTGGGAAGGACTGCACAACAGGATAAGAGAGATAAACAATTCACAAAACAGCTCATCTTCAGTCACCTCGGTGAATACATGTACAGAAACTAGTCTAACTTAGCAACTGATACTCCTCATTATAACTGGGACGTATTTTTAAGTCATGTCAGAGAAAGATACCCTGTTTAATGTGTTTTCATGCATTTTCTTGTAAATATACGTCATTTTTCATGCAAAAATTCCTCATTTTTATGATTGGTCGGCTCAAGGACACTCGTGCGTTCGCATCCCTTGGGACGCTATTGTTGAACTTTGCCTAGGAGTGAAGGAGAACTGAAGCAAACTCGTGCTATTTGAGTTTGTCTTCATAAGAATGGTATAAATCACAATATCTGATGAGAAAATACCTTATTTTAAGATTGTTCATGTACCGACTTTTAGTTAGAGAATCATTGGAAAACAGAAAGTTCTAGAAAAGTGCGTATTATCATTTTGGGTTCTTCAGAAGAATGCATCCATGACCCAATCACTAGAGTTCGAACCTAAGATCTTCAGATTATAAAGCAAGCTGCGACTGAAGAGTTTCGTGCAAGAAGGAAGTAGGTGTCTACTACTCTATTTTGAAATCAAGCAAATCCCTGCAAATCTATATTTAAAAATTAATCTATTGCTCATTAATGTCTAACTGTGGAGAGAGCTGTCTGCTAGCCGAAATTAGTAGGCAGCAGTTTACGTCAATGTTTACGTCCCAAATCGGGATCATGGGAAAAAACTAGAACAAAGACTGACCTTGGGGAACTCAACAACTAATCACAGCAGACTTAACGGGGGCGGATACAATTCGCAGATATATGGCCTGACCTTCATTGAAACGGTCACAAAGAGATGACAGAATAACCTACAGCAAGAAAACAAGCAATCAGAAGACGTTGCTTCTATGCTAACAATAACGAATAATCATGTACATAAAAATCTACAAATATCTGTTGATTTTGTCAATAAACGATGTGTTGTCTGACCCTTGTCTTCTGTCGTTACCTGACTACAGGACGAAGTTGCCTTAAGTTCTAGTGAAAAGTTTTCACCAACAGGGTTCCCGAATTTGGGTATGAGTACAGATACTCGTGGTTGACACTAGTTGGTTGTAGCGGTATACATCTTAAGTGAAATTCACATTTTGCGAATTAGTTAGTAATTCGCAATGAACACAGTTCGTCGGGTGAAATTTTAACCGCAGTTTCCTTTGGAAACGAAATTATTTGGATCGCAGCATTTATTCTCTGCTGGATACCATAAATGATAATTGAGAAAGTAAACATATTTGCTCAGGGTTACATACTAGTGACTGATTGAGATGCGTACTTGTATACCACTTATACTAAATTGTGGTTTTCATTTATACTATCAGAAGTTCACCCAGGTAGCTAGCCAAAAATTAGGTGGTTTCAATTTATTCGGCTGTCTTCTTTATGAGTCGAGTCAAACTGTGTACAGCACTGATGAGTTCGGCTCCAAACGAGAAAAAACAGCCTTCTGGTGTTTAGGTCACTTCTACCTGGCGACTGGCTGGCAAACACTACTGACTGGTTTAAGTAGTATGCAACTACTCTTCGAAATCAATCGGCAGGATATAGTTTTATATTCAATTACGTATCTCGAATTGTGACATAAGTCAGGATTGATGGATGGGTCACTGGATTCAGCACACGAGCACGCCTTGTAGCGTGAAGGTACTGCGTATGATCCCTGGTGGAGTCATGGCTACGTACTGCTTCAGAGCCACAAACAAGGCCAAAGTAGCTGCTCAGCACTCTCCTGTTCCTAATGGTTTCGTGATCAGTCTTGAAATCAAACAATCCAGACCAACAGTATTACTAGGTGAAAGGTAATTAGGTCTTCGCATATGATTGTTTCCTAAATTTGAATTGCATTATAAGTTTTATTATTACTTTATTATTTCCTGTCTCGAATAGCTTGTCGTCCATTATGCATTTCTGAAGAATTCGAGTTATCACCATGCAAAGGATCAAGTAATCGTATCTGCAAACGTAAGTACACATTGACCGCTTTTAAAAAATAATAATAATAAAGAACTGAACGCGTGCATCCACACACTTTGTCTTTTATTGTTTAATTTTTTATCTATGATATTTTAGACAGAATTTATAATTATTTGGTAATTAAGCAGTAAGATTCTCCCCTTGCTGATAGAATACAGTCTTTACCAAACAACAGACTAGACGTATGACACAAGTCACTAACTACCTAGTGTCCATTAAAAGTAATCACAGCAGTCCTACCTACATGAGGTCAATCATAAACTCAAGTACCTCAGTAGTAACGTCTCTGAGTGCAGCACTCTGTGACATGGGTTCGAATCTCAGAGGGACATGACTTGTTCTTTTCTGACGAGTTCTGACAGCCGTGAAACCCAACTGTAAGGCTTTAAGCCAATTACTCTCAACCATTTACTAAAGACCAAGTTCATCTAAACATTGCTGGATGGTACATTCATGTGATATGTGGAAAATATGGCCTGTTAGAAGAACACTAATGTTCAAGTGTTGGTTTTTAGGGATTTGATTGGTTACAGGATTTTCATCATGAGCTGACATTAGTTAGAGAACCATTGGAAAACCTGGGAGTACTGGACAGCTGTTTCTTCCTCGTTTGTGACTCTTCATCAGTACGCACCCATCGGGATTCGAACCCAGGACCTTCTAATGTTGTTTTTTAAAAGATTTATGATGATCACATCACTGTCAAATGTAAAAATAGCATGAAAATGCGACTTGCCTAATAAACAGATTTAAGTCTATACACAATCACACCAACCTTACTTATGAGGAAGAATGCTGCAGTCAACTTGGGGGTTTCAGGCATACTTTTGAGTCAAGGAGAAGGCAGTTGAAAATAAACAGATCAGTGCACGGAAAGGCTTACTGGGAAATATCTCAAGGATGATGTTTTAAATATTAAACTATCTAGCAGTTGGGAAATGAATGGTTTAATCTTTAGATAGCATACACTAAGTCTCCATTACTCGTTTTGTTACACATGCCTAGCCATCGTCTTCCTTGACCGACTGGCAACGTCAGCTGGCACCGGATGAGGTTAGAAAAGAGCCAGTGGTGGTCAAATCGAAACTTGGCTTCAGCAGTCAAGGAAATCCACAACAGTTAGTTTAAGCCAGCCACGTGAGGAGGTGTAGGCATCCTCGAGACAATTAGTGATATGGCTCAAAATCTTTCTTGATGATGGCGCAGATGCATTTACTCTTTGTGATCTATCATATCCAATAAAAGGGTATTGCTCTTTGATAATACTGTCATTCATGCCTCACATTTCTGTTTATTGTCTCTCTCTTCTGAGTCTCTTTACTTTCTTCTCTTGTTTTGTGTGCTACATGGAGGGAATATGGTAACTCGAACTGCTGCACATCTGTGCAAATTTTGTACGTTGAAACCAGTCAGCCATTACTTGTTTCACTGGAGATATAGTAAGGAATCAACATTCTCTACAGAATCTCTGAGAATTAAGAAGCAATAATCAACCAGCTGTTTTCTCCAGGTACTGGGACTCATCAACATGTCTAACTGACATTGAGATATAACGTAATCTGCACTGAAACTAATCAAATCTCTACAATCTTAGTACCGCATATTAGTGTTTTTAATCTACTGAGCTGTAAAATGTTATGATATTAACTAGAATAATGAAGAAAAAAAGTACCGCAATTTTATTTTAATGATTTTATTTCCCGTAGGTAAGGATCTTATACCCGAATTAGTTGTTCCGTATAAAAAGAATGTTTGGTTTGAAAATCGTAAAAGAGTACAAGAAGCTACAGTTACACTTCATCCAGAAGATATTGGACGTTTACCAATGAATAAGTCTATTATTATTGACAGAGGATCTGGTTATCAGGTAATATGACACAATAAATACTGTTTTCACTTTTAAAAAGAATTTTGGTATGTTTTTAATGCTATGAAAAAGTTCTCCTCCTTCTGTGAATAGTTTCACAAAGTCAGCAGAGGTTTACAGTTTACAATTTATTTAGGATAGTAGGCTATATGCCTGTGTTAATCCTTTCGATTTGTTGCACACAGGAGGTCCAATCTCGCCTTGAATGAATCAACGGATAGCGCTGATACGACATGTTCCGGTAGGGAGTTCCAATGGTTCACAATTCGATGCGAAAAACGGATCTCCAGACGCAGACGATTCGACCGTGGTTTTTGAACCTTGAGGTGATGTCCTCGCAATTGGTTGGTGCTAGAAGGAAGAAATAAATTAGATATATTAGCTCCAAAATCATTTCTTAGGATACGGTATGCTAGTATTAAGTCACCCCTAAGTCGTCTGTATGACAGTGGAAATAAACCCAGTCGACTTAACCTCCCCTCATATGAGAGGGTTGAGAAACCCTTTATTAGCTTAGTTCTTACTCTTTGCACCCTTTCTAATAAGTCTATTTCGTATTTGAAACACGGGCTCACTACCTGGATCCCATATTCCAAATGAGGTCTGATATAATTTGGATATAATATACGAAATATATCAGCGTCAAAGTTCTCAAAAGCCTTGCGTATGGCCCATAATATTCGAAAACCCTTAGTGGCTGCAGCTCTACAGTTTGTTGCTGTTTTCAAGTCATGCTGGATAATGTATTAAAAACTATTGTTTCTTCTTTGTACTTCTCCCTTTTTTTGCCTAGATTGTCTAGCGCATCATACTTGCAATGTGTGTGTTAGCGCTAATCAAGCACTAATCATTATCAAAGGAAGAAAGTTGATAAAAGTCACTTTCTTCACTTATCTAGGCAGCATCGTTTCAATTGTAACGACAGAAGACAAGGTCCAGGCAACAGATCGTTTATTGAGGAAATCAAGAGATATTTATAGATTTTTATGTACATTATTATTATTCATAATATTTGTCATATCTTTCCCAGCGGTGGTGATTGGTGCTGGTTGTTATTTCTGTTCGTTAGTTATCTTCATGGAATGGACAATACTTACATTTTAGTGGTTGTCGTCCACATAGCTATAGATGAGCACTGGTTGAAAGTCTTTTATAAAGGTAGGAGAATATATGCTCTACATGAAAAAAATTACAGGAATAATTTCTGATTCTCTGAAAGATGTTGAAAATAATCAACGGTTACCTTCAGGAATTCACTAACAACTACAGAAGATGTTGTGGGCTCAAATGCCAAACAAATCACAGCGGTAAAGAAGCTTATCTTCATTCAACTCAATTTTAAAAGTGATAATACTTCAGGAATAGTCAACAAAAGGTTGAAAACCTCATTAGGTAGAACCTGTCCAGCAGCTAAATTGACTCCCACTTATCAGACGACAGGAAAGGACGACAGATACCCTTCTCCTGTTAACTCTAACTGCGTATACAAATTTAAATGTATCTGAGGAAGAAGTTATATTCGGAGAATAGGAAGAAGGGCGCACTATCAATTATCTAAACATGTGCCAAAAAGGGAACAAACGATTTCAATAGTATCATTGCATGGCGTCTTCTCGACACGAACCATGAGGTGAACACCATGAAATCCTTCGAAATCATAGTTCAGTTCTTCTCAAGTTTTCTGCAACAGTCGCTATCGAACGCCTGAAACCTGATTTATGTGTTCAAGAAGAAGCAGTTATGAGCCATTCCTTGCCCTGGCAACTTGATGGATGTCTTTATTCTCTTTTTCATTTGATCACGTAATCTTTGGCTTTAACCCCCTCCCCTCCTTTTAGGTAGTGCAACTTTGCCTATCTCTTGTTTCTGGGGTTTGAGTTGAACGTACCACACTGTTACTTAACTAACTGGATACTCATAATCTTATTCACCGCTTGTCTTTATTACGTGGCTCGTTTACGATTAATTGATTTCGCCATCTAATTTTTTCTATAACTTGTACTTTGTGGATAAAAACTGAATAATTGTAATTTGTGAGGACTGTTTCTTAAGTTTGTAGTCTCTTGTCAACTGACATTACGTAACCTTTAAAAATATGTTAAAATTGTTCTGTACATAAACTCGTAATGCGACAAACAGCGGGCAATGAGGAAACAGGCATAAAATGGACTCACACAAAAAACTTGGAGGGTCTGGACTTCGCCAATGATATATGTCTGACTTCCCACAAACTGGAAGATATGCAAGCGAAAAGCAACAAGCTGGCAGAAGAAGCATCCAGAGAAGATAAGACTTCAGGTGAACATAGAGAAAACAGAGGTAATGAAGATTCTTGGACAAGAACAACAACAACAACAGACAGCGATCAGCATAAATGGGAGGAACCTGAAAGAAACAACCTCCTTCACCTACCTACCTGGGAAGCATCGTTTCAACTACAGGCCGACGGAACTGACGAGGATATCAAAGCAAGAATCGGAAAAGCAAGACAAGCTTTCAGTACTCTCAAGTCTGTGTGGCGGTCAACAACACTCAGCATGAAAATGAAAATAAGATCAGGATTTTCAACTCCAACGTGAAGTCAGTGCTACTATACGGATCAGAGACTTGCGCTGCGCGTCATAAAGAGCATCTCAAACAAACTACAGACCTTCATTAACAGTTGTCTTCGCTCAATACTCAAGATCAGATGGCCAGAAAAGATCAGCAACAGAGATCTCTGGGAGTAAACCAACCAGGAACTGATTGTGCAATAAATAAGCAGGAAGAAATGGAGATGGATTGGCTGGCCATACTCTGAGGAAACAATCCATCAAGTGACATCACTAGACAAACCATTGCTAGAGTGGAACCCGGAAGGGAATCGGCGAGTTGGTCGTCAGTGCAAGGGTCAGGGTGACTTGGAGGAGGTGATGTGAAGAGGAGATGAAAACGTGTGGGCAGACTTGGAGCCAGGTGAAGACTGTAGCAGAAGACCGAACGCAATAAAGACGCACGGCTGAAGCCCTATGTTCCTCTAGGAATTAAAGGAAACAATGATGGTAATAATAATACATAAACTCAGTGCATTTCATTATGCTGTGTGCAGCTGATTAGAAGCTAACGCAATAAATGATGGTGGTAGCATCTTATTCTGAACAAACTGCTGTTCTTGCCCTTATTCATATTCATAAAAGGGAAGAAGTGTGTATGAAAAGTCTGACTGTTTGTTTATTGATAAATTTTGTCAGTGTTACTACACTTACTTCACTCAATCTAAACACAGAACTTCTTAATATTTCTATTCCAAGGTTCGTTTGGATTTTGAAATCCTTAATTTAATGCCAGTTTTGGGTCCAGTGGATCATTCATCAGGAAATGATAATCATCTATTTATGTTAGCTGCATCATTAATGGATCAGTCAACATTAGAGCCGGATTCTTACAGATGGTCATCGGCTACTGGTCAATATCATACAGTGCATGCTTATTCGTTGAAAGCAAATAGTACTTTATCAAAGTTATGCCCTTATCCAGTCCCGCCACTTTATCGTCTTGGTATGCGTGTTCATCGGGTAAGTTAATATTCGCTCGCTTTCTTTATATCTTTTACAAAACAGCAAGGATACAACACATTCAAACAATATTTACCTATATATAGTAACTTATGCTGCATTAGTGCATGTTGCACTGTCTCTAATTAGCCTTACATTTAGCTGACAAGGCAGAACATTAAGTATTATGACGCTAACAGTTATATCAAAACCCGTCAGTTTAGTTTACTTGCGCCGTACTGAAATACGTTCTGTAAGAGTGATGATATACGCAAGAACAGCTAGGATAAAGTTGAGTTGACACGTGAAAACCTAAAATCGTGGAAAATACCCATTGGAACATTAGATTGAGAAGAATAAGAAGTTCAGCAAAGATATCTTTTCGGCGATTTCATTTTCAAAAGCTGTACAATCGCATTTAAATACATAATTTTACATGGAGACAATTCTTGTTTGATTCTACATAATTATGACAGCGAATAAAAGGTGATAATTATTTCCAACTAGATATGGTTTTACGAGAGGCTTAGAAACAAAATTACGCAGGATTAGAACGGATATCAAGTGTGTAAAAATGAGCATGGATACAAAACTGAAATAATAATAAACCTAAAATGTTTAATATGGTTTTAATAAGAGAGCGTTATCTGAGAGCAAAACACCCATGATGCTTCAGGGACGAGAATAGGAACATATTTGAATATATCACTAAGAAATAGGTTCCACAGGCAGTTATAAAAATATTAATCGAAGAAATGTACAAAACGTACAATGAAACAGAAACTATTTCACCCAAATGGACTTGTTTTGAACAGTGAGAAATAAAAACCAATGAACAGTTAGTAAGTCATGAATAATCACCATCCAGACATTAATGAAAACAAAATACGTAGTTCAGTGAAAAGGCCCATTTCGACGGATTCATTTTCCTCTCTAGGTGTACAATCACACTTATATGAGATGTGTTTTTCATGAAAGAAGTTAGTAACAAAATTGACGTCCAGATGACAAGCCCCAAATAGGACGAATTACGCGTCCTGGTAGATTCCACCACTAGTCACCATTTGCCGAATCACTTTAAGTTGATCCTGAGACATCGTCAAAGCGTCCGTACTTGGGAGGCGACATATCAACAGAAGCTGAACATTCCAGTCCAATCAACTAACGCGAAAATACATACTGTTAGACTTCGGTCTTAGTCATGCGATTTACCTGTTGTTTCTATTCACTGAAACTTACGATGGTCATTTTGTTCATTTTCTCGAATATTCTTATGCATAGAATGTTACTACTGCTACAGTACCAGACGCCAGTTTACCTGGACATCGTCCTGTTCTAGCCAGTTGTCGCACATATAAACAACATGGACACTTTCCACCTTTAGAACTCACTCCACGCCAAACTGAATCAGAACACTATGCACAAACATTTGGATCAGAGCATAGAAGCATTTATGATCAGTCGAAAACAAACAGCGGAAATCCAACACCAGCGGTTGTCGCCTGTCTAGAACCTGGTCGTTTACCTTCAATCTTTGGATCTCATTGGAATGCTGAACTTGCTTCCCCGCGTTCTATTTATTATGAAGAGAAGCAATTGTAAGTTTGACAGTATTTACAAAACTTTCAGGATGATTAACTTGGTTATTCATTTTTGCAGCATTATTATTATCATTCCCTTGGCTTCTGAGTAGAACACAGGTCTTAAACAGTGCATCTTCATTTTATCCTGCCATCTGCGTCCCTCTATATGTGATTCTCCGACTGGTTATAAGGTTTCATTTCCTTCATGTCACCTTTGGATACCTGACTCGTCATTTCTTACTCGGGTTCCACTCGAGCGATGATAACTGAACGACGTTTCGAGGACAATTTATAACCCAAAATTATATTAATTCATTCACAGAGCTTCATTATTTGCTTTATATATTTTCTTCTCTCCTCCTTCTTGTTCATTATGCACAAACCGATTGTAATTAACCTCCACTGAATATTGGTTTATATCCCAATATCCCAATTAATACAGTTCTGGAGACAGGAATTAACTGTACATTGATCCTGAACTTAAAAATAGGATAAAATTCTCGTTTGATGAAATAATATTAGGTGTTTAATTAATGCCTAACTTCCGCTTTATTCAAGCGTCAAAATAAAGTGTGCAATAAAGCAAATGTGCGTTGCAATGGAATCATCAATATCCGCAGTTGTTTCAAACTTATTTATGGATAATTGAGAATGTAAAACGTTTAGAAGTTCTAATCCTGCTCCTAGGTTATGGTGGCGACAGGTGGATTACACACATTCACTGTGTTGAAATTTGAAAATATCCCCAAGTTCTCCACACATATAATAAACCCAGCTCACTTCTGCGTTAGAAAACGAACAAGGTGATTTGGCCATGCTAGACCGTGAAATGAGACGATAGCATTCATAGGAAAATGACTCATCCTGAATCGATAAAGATGGATTGAGTAATGTGTTTATATAATCCAGCCAGGAATCTAACTAGTTGCTCAGATGATTGATACATTGAAATTGAACAAAGGAAGAAAACAATAAGAGTGCCTAAATACCCGTCAGATTTCATTCTGAATGTATAAAGACTCACTAGAAAAATAAGAGTGATAATATAGAATTCAAAGCCTCTATAGTACTGGCGTAAAGTAAAGGAACAAGACTGGAACTAGGACAGCATTAAATTAGTTAACCAACTCACTCAGAGACAAACTTTATTGGCCTAAAGACTCAATAGATCCAATTAAGAAAAACACTATAATTTACCAATTACCATGTAAAGACTCTGAGGTAAATTACATAAGTCAAAGTAGTAGATCGGGGTCAATTACATTGTGGGAACATGGGCTAGGGAACATTTGGCTAGAACTAAAATGATTGACTCTGCTAAGTTAAATAACCTAGAAAAAAGTTTGACCATTGGATTTCATTCACTTGAATGTAATGAAACAATAAGATGGGACAGGGTGAAAGTATTAAAAAGTAATACAGCTAGGTGGACAGGGAGAAAGAGAGAGAGAGGTTAGTCTCTGAATCTTGCTTCATGGAATCAACACCGAACCGGAACAATTGAAGAGATGCAATACCTATACTGAATATTTGGAAAATTGCAGCAAACAGTAATGGGAAGAGAAAGACAGAAGTATATGTACAGCAACGTGTCAGGCCGTCAGAATATGTACTGACATGATCATGTGCAATAAACTCTGCTTGAAAAGTTAACCAGTTATTAGTGCTCTATTACTGTGAGTTATACATAAAATTAACTTATCTAGCATGGAACTACATTCTACCATAGTGTCCAAGTTCTATACTTACACTAATAGCAGTGCGTCGGCCGGGGATCGCCAACATGTGTGGTTGGCGAGCATTCTACCTCTGTGCCACCAACGCCACTAACGTAATCGCCCCTAAAACCATGAGAATAAGCTATTAGTTGATATTATAATCAGTTTCCCTGTTTATAAAGGTGACATTACGTTGTCAGATATAAACTCCTAAGGACAAGCTGAATCTCACTAGTTTTAAGTTATTCTCCTATGGTAAACGTGACGAATTCCTTTGTATCTTCGTTTCATCGCCTTTATATTTGAAAATGTGAAGCTAGCATCCTTCTACACTTTTTAAGGAGTAGAATAAACTCATTCTACCAAGTACTATCCGCCTAACACTATTGATAAATACTCCTAGTTCATGTTTATACCTTGACCAAGGTTAAGTATATTTCCTATCAGTGTAATTTTCAATTTACTGAATATAACTAACTTTTGAATGAGTCATGTTATCATATATATATATATATATATATATATATATATATATATATATATATGAAATAAACCAATTTCTTATTTTAAACTGTTATCTGTTCCCATGACATTTTTCTTTTACAAAGATGTGGTCAATTGAAACTTGACTGTCAGCACTGTTTAGCATCGTGTGCTGAAGAATTAAAAGCCAGTTCGTTAACGTGTAAACCAACTCCAGGAGCTGCGGATAATGGTCGTTCACCACGTTTAGAAACATGCTTTGATTGTTGTGCTCGAGATAATTGCACTGATGTATGCGACAAATATCCTGCACATCGTTGTCATATGCAATTGTGTAGTTATGGTGAGTTCGTGTCTGTAACAATCAGATTTTTAGACTCATTATTGTGAATTCAGCATGTAAGCTGCGCTTGGTTTTTCATTGTCACGGAAAATAAATGTATTGTGATCTGTGTGCGTCAGTGGTTCATTAGCGGAATACTCTCTCACCAAATCCGTGATCTGAGGTTCGGTCGCTGGCTGACGAACTCCTAAGCCTTGCCTAACCTGAATTGGCAGAAGTTAGAATTCATGGGTCATGAGATCGGGTCCCAATACTGATGAAGAGTCCCAAAATAGGCTGAAGAAACAGCTATCCATTACTCCCCGCAGGTTTTCCAATGGCTCTCTAACTGATGTCAGCTTATGATGAAATCCTCCATTCAATCTTGCCTAACTTGTCGTTACTCCACCAATGGATCATAGGGCTTCAAGCTGGAGGCTTGAAGTTTCGGTAGCACTGGTGCTTTTTACAGGATGGAGTTGCTAGCCTCATGCCCAACTTTCCCTCTTTATCAGCCTTTATTACTGGCTTAGCGAGGTGAAGCAGTGCGTCGGCCGGGGATGGTACCCCGGAGCACATGTGTGGTTGGCTAGTATTCTACCGCCGCGCCACCGACGCACAGATAAACTTCTGTCGGAACAATAAGAACCTAGGCAGCAATGATGACATGTTGCCAGTGCCTAGTATAGAGTAGGTGTTGTTTATATGTCACATAATTCTCACATATATCAATATGACTACGAAAGAGCTTCTTTTCGACTCCATTTGTACTGAATCAGCTGTCACAGAAGATTCTTGCATTCAATCACAATATCCACTTAAGAGTCTAACGGATAACTTCGTCCACACCCGATTCCTAAGTATCAATATATTTAGATGGCATTTATTTTAAGTACTCCCAATACCCCGAACTTCAATTCGTTCTCTCCTATTGCCACAAAAGAAGTGAAAATTGTCTCTAACCAGTAGGTACAATTGTAATATTTTGTATACTTGTTTCGGATTGTCATCTAACGAGCCTATCAATGAGCTTTGACTCTTAATAGGAAATTACTCGGTTAATACCTCAAAGCAATCATTAACTTCAAGATGTGACAATAGAATACGCCAAACTGTGTACGAAAATTTCATTCATTGTGAGTACTAACCGCAAATCTCGATGACAAACACATCCTCTGGCCAACAGAGACCACAAGCTGGAGTTCCCAGCCATTTGCGTCTTTAAGAGAGGATGAATATAAGGGGATATTTGTGAGTTCGCCTACTTCATTATCATTCTCTATAGACACTTGAAATTGTTAGTTGTCTTCGAAGTGATCCGAAGTTATGATGCACAGCGTTTTGAAACCTGAACCTGGACATAACTTAATAGCTTAATACTACTGCTTGCTGTTGAAGATTCTTCAAACTTGCAGTCATAAAATGTCTGAAATTTAACCAGTAACTGTTTAGACGTATGTTAATTATCGCTTTCGAAGTTTTAAAAGATCGTATGAACTCAAAACTCACTTGAATATTGTCTATCGGTAACTTTTTGGTTTCAAAGTAAGTTTCATTACGAGTATAAGTTACACCATAGGACAGTTGAAAACTTAGAACACTTAGGCAATAGTTTTGCCTTTATATTATGTAATCAAGTAGTGGGTGCATGTAATGTACAGAGAATTTCGAAGATGACCTTCAGGATTCGTATAAACATTCATGTTTAAAGTTTGATCAAGAGTTGACATTAGTTGGAGAACTATTAAGAAACCAGGTAGTACTGGACAATTGTCTCACCCTACTTTGAGACACGTCAATAGTATGCACCAATCAGGGTTCAAACCTAAGACCTTTAGGTTGCAAGGCAAGCTCGTATACCGTTCATCCACTGGAACTGTATCCAACAGATTATGAATTCTAAATTCTGCAGATTCACAATATATGGCCTGACCGCCAACCCATGTGTCATCGGTGAGTAACTGTTCTCTTATCTGACTTTGTAGGTGTGAGGACAAAATCGTGAGTTAGTGGACGTTGGACAGCATGGGTCATTGGATCAGGTTCCAGTGGCTGGATGGTCTATGAGCTTGCCTTGTAACAGGAAAGTACTGGGCTCGAAACCAGATGGACACGCACTGTCGAAAAGCTCAAACTATGATCAAACGGTTGTCCAGTATTCCCTTCTGGGTTTTCTAATGGTTCTTTAACTGATTTCATGTTGTGATCAAACTGGAAACGAATCGAATCCTAAAAATTTGATTCAAACAGAAAATCACATTGAAACTGTTCACTCAAGATACATTTACTCCGAAGACTGAAAGTGAGTGTTAGTAATAAGGATTTTGAAGTGAATAGAATACAAGAAGGCTTAATAAAGGAAATAGAATTAATTGTAGGTGACATGAAGTGGTTTAAATGTGATCAAAAAGTGAAATATAATCATGACGATAATTACGATCACAGACAAGGAGGTGGCGAGAAATAAAACAAAGTAATAAAATCGCTTTCGGCGTTGAAGTTTAGAAAAAGCACACTCTAAGATTGGTTAAGTTTGCTCCTGTGGATTATCTTAAAAAAATAAATTAGGAACATCTGAATGACCTGCTTCAAAAAATGTCCAGGAATGGATGATTTTGTTAGAAAATCAGCTCATAACCTACCATTTAATCAGCTCCACCGAAGCCTAGATTACTAGTTTTCACTAGTTTTCTAGCCGGTCCCAAGCCCAGATAAAGAGGGAGGGTTGTGGCGTAGTGCTAGCAACTCCACCTCCAAAACTTAACCAAACTGCTACAGAAAATTCAACGCATAAATATATTAAAATTTCTAAAAATATAAACAATAATAACCGAAGCCTTTGAAATAATAAATACAAATACTAGAGAAAATAAGCATTTAGAGAATAGACACAAAGAGGGACAAACGGATCAATGATGACTTTGGGAAGCTCAGTTGCGCTGAGGAGGCAGATTTACGTCGTTAACTTAACTTTAACCTCAAACTTTCGCTGACCTAACTGTTGCCTAACCCTATCCGCAGCTTAATCTTACCCGTAATCAACCGTCACGTTTTCTTAGCCTTACTTTCACCTAACCCTGATCTTAAGGAAAGGCGTAAACAGCGAAGAAAATTTTCTTTCCGATAATTCATTTTCATAAGCTGTACAATCGTATTCATATTTTGCTTAGAGGATTTCATCATGAGCTGCCATCAGTTAAAGAACCGTTGCAAAAACCTGCAGGGAGTACTAAGCAGCTGTTTCGTCCTAGTTTGGGACTCTTCATCAGTCCTATTCAGGCAGTTAACCTGGGGTTCTGGTGGGAAGCAGTGATCTCTAGGGTACATCAGGTTGAAGATGAGGCAGTAACTCATCAAAGAAGACACTGCAAATTGGTCGCACTATTTCATGAAGCGGCAGAAGTTAGAATTCATGGGCTGGCCATTGTGTCGGGTCCCAGTGGCTTAATGGTCCACGAGCTAGCTTGCCTTGTAACCAGCAGGTGCTGCGTTCGAACCCAGTTGGTGGGTGCGTACTGATGAACAGTCCCAAACCAGGCCGACGAAACAGCTGCCCAGTACTCCCTGCAGGTTTTCCAATGGTTCTCTAACTGATGTTAGCTTGTCATGAAATCCTCCAACCAATTAAATAAAAATCCCTACAAAACCAATACTTGGTAATTACATTTAACAAAGAAATCATAAGACCAATCAGATGCTGGTAAAATTTGTCCTCGAAAATGCATTACGTAATGTAAGATGTAATCTAGAAGGGATGATTAATTGGAAGTTAGAAAAGAGGCAGAAGTTGGCATGACGTAATAAGTGTAAGATAATGTCTAATCAATAAGCTCGTGTAGAATGGACAGGAACTAGTGGAAAAACGATAAAGTGTTTTTATGTAAAATCAGTTTGAAAACTCAATGTTACTGATAAACAGTTATAGAGTGATAATAAAATATGGATGATGGAAATAATAATGATAATAAAATGATAATAATAATAATAGACTTACAGAGTCATAGCAACAACGTTACTCTGGTCACAGTAGGGTGAGAGAATTTATGCTGCGCTTTTGAATGTAGAGGTCCTGTTTCAAATCGGGAATAGCTAATGATTAAACTGATGATTGCGTATTCGAAGTCCCTTTGTACGATATTGAGGGACTCTGTGTAGCACTGTGAAGCATTCATGCAAGTGATGGTGCTCGATGTCCAGAGATGACAAGATGTTCAAGAGTGGAGCTGCTGCTATTTTTCTTTTCTCTTCTGGCTAACCACGCTGGAAAATGTTCCAGAATACGTTTGTGGACTCAATGTTGCTTACGGCCGATATACTTTGCTCCCTGATCTATCCTAAGCCTTAATTGAACTCTAACTGTTCCGTAACCGTACACTAGTGTTATTTACGTACTTTCAATCCCTTACTCAAATTGAATAGTCTGATGTCATTGGTATGTTCGTTTCTCTGGGTTTTGATACTTCATCTCCGGAAGTTATCCTTCATACATCGTCAACTCATACTCCAAATGGATGATAATAATACGAGATAAGGAATATACCTTTATCCTCTTGACCATGAGTCGTTGCGTGTACTTTCTTCTTCTTTTTCAAATGATGGAAATTAATCTTTCACTTTTTATCATTTTTTTTCCTCCTGTACTTTATTGATTACTTCAGGTTTAAGATTAGATTTCTCACTAACGCCAGAATGGCCTAAACAAGGTGAATTTCTGTGTCATGTCCAACCAGCGCCAAGTAGACCGATATATCGTTTGCATTGGACTTTATTATATCAAGGTAGACCCTTGACACCTGATAGATTCCCAGCATCACTTGTTCTGCCGTTATCTTCAATGCCAGGTGAAAATTCAGGCAAAAGTGAGTTTAGAAATCATCTATGCGTTTATCACATGCTCGTATTTTTTTAATATTTTAAGCGGTCACTGTCATTGAATGTGAAAGGAATGTGAGTGAATAGCTCTGTCCTGCATATTTTTAATAAGAATGTTTAAAGAAGATGAGACACTAATTTCATATTGATCTTCTGTCAACTTCACAATTACGAAGATCATAAACTGCTCCCCATGTAACGACAGAAGTCAACGGATATTTATAGATTTTTATGTACACGATTATTCGTTATTTTTAAGCAGAGAAGCAACGTCATCTGATTGGTTGTTTTCTTGCTGTAGGTTATTCTATCAACTCTTTGTGGCCGTTTCTTTGAAGGTCAAGCCATATATCTGCGAATCGTATTTGCGCACGTTAAGTCTGCTGTGAGTGGTTGTTGAATTCCTCACGGTTAGGCTTTGTTCTTGTTTTTCTCATGATCCCGATTCGAGACGTAAACGATGACGTCAATTGGTGTCGACAATTTTGACTAGCAGACAGCTCTCATCACACCCTCATCTCTGATTCGTGTAGACACAGGCTTTATTCATCGACCGTTAAGGTCATATTTGAAGTGAATTGTTCACCTTGTTTATTTAGTTGTAATGGTAATCGTGGTTAAGATTTTTAGAGTTCCACATTTGGTGAATCTAATGTCCCATTAAAACAAGACATTCAATTTGATAAGTTGCTTTAGTTAACTGGACTGGATAATGTGACAAACAGCGGGCAATGAGGAAACAGGCATAAAATAGACTCACACAAAACCTTGGAGGATCTGGACTTCGCCGATGATATATGTTTGATTTCCCGCAAACTGGAAGATATGCAAGCGAAAAGCAACAAGTAAGGAGAAGAAGCATCAAAGATGGGACTTCAGGTGAGCATAGAGAAAACAGAGGTGATGAAGATTCCTGGGAAACACCACCAACATCAACAACAACAACAGACAACGATCAGCCAGCATAAATGGAAGGAACCTGAAAGAAACAACCTCTTTTACCTACCTACCTACCTGGGAAGCATCGTTCCAACTACAGGCGGACAGTACTGATGAGGATGTCAAAGCAAGAATCGGAAAAGCAAGACAAGCTTTCACTACTCTCAAGCCTGTGTGGAGTTCAACAGCACTCAGTATCAAAAATAAGATCCGGATTTTCAACTCAAATGTGAAGTCAGTCAGTGCTACTTAACAGAGACTTGGCGCGTTATAAAGAGCACGTCAAACAAACTACAGACCTTCATTAACAGTTGTCTTCGCTCATTACTCAGGATCAGATGGCCGGCGAGGAAAGATCAGCAACAGAAATCTCTGGCAATGAGCGAACCAACCAGGGACCGATTGTGAAACAAATAGGTAGGAAGAAATGGAGATGGATTGGCTGGCCATACTCTGAGGGAACCATCAAGTGACATCACTAGACAAGCCCTTGAGTGGAACTCGAAAGGGAAGTGGCGAGTTGGTCGTCAGTGCGAGGGTGGGTGACTTGGAGGAGGTCATGTGAAGAGGAGATGAAAACATGTAGGCAGACATGGAGCCAGGTGAAGACTCTAGCAGAGAACCGAACGCAATGGAGACGCACGGCTGAAGCTCTATGTTCCTCTAGGAATCAAAGGGAAAAATAATAATATAATTTAGTTAACTGACTGGCTGAATTGCAGCACAGAAGTGCAGCAGTTCAAACTGTCACACTGCTTTCGGCACACAAATGCAGAAAAAGAGAGAATGAGAAAGAATAGTAAGAAGGAGAAACAATAGGGTTCAATGGATATGGAAAACCACTACAAAAGAATGCATCTGCGTCACTGAAAATAATTTTAAGCCGTATCACCAATAGTCTTTCGTACACTAAACTTGTACACTTTAAGTGGCTAATTCTTTGGCGTGTTGAAGATTAAGATAATACACAAATTGTTAACATTCATTCCTGTCAATTATGGTGTAAAAGGAATCCCCATTCTGAAGATTTATTTTCTTCAGTGATGACAGAAAGTTTAGTACCCCGGTGCCACAATAATCTTCGTCATCAGTAGACTCTGATGAAGGAAAACGTTTGCTTTAGCTTCTCTCCACACGGTCTCATGCAAAGTTTTCACAAAAGTAAAGCCTCATCTGATTCAATGGCTCACGAAATGTAATTTCTACCGATTCGTGATTTTACCGCAACCACCATCCAATGTCGTCGGTGGGAAATCCATCCTCACACTTGACTGGATCGGACCTCTCACTCGAACTCCAAGAAACTCTGTTCTGCAGCAAGTCCCCAGCGAGTATCAGATTAATTTTCAAGAGTTTATTTGTTTTTCGAGTTTGATCATGGATAAGTTCCAAACTAGGATGAAACAGCTGTACGGTACTCCCTGGTTTTTAAAACCGCAATTCGCACATTTCTTCCGTATCATGCCTCCTTGCTGATGATTCACACATATTTATATCTCTATCTATATACTACTTTTTGTCAGTAGCAGACTACACAATAGTTTGATATTGACTATTCCGAAGTCAATACTACTGAAATAGGGATCTCCTGTGATCTGCTTTATGAGGACTATCGGTACAACCGGGAATACGGAATTGGTTATTCTATTTAAAACTGGTCAGGTAAATAAATGGGGATTCAAAAGAAGTGATATTATTATTATTCAATTATTTAAAATAATCCCAGCGTGTTCGAGAAAAAATCAAAACAAGATTTTTCGGAACGTTTCGCTGTGTAAGCCACAGCTTCTACAGCAGCAAAATTATTTGGATACGAGGCAAAAAGAATAGTAATAACGAAAAAGAATATGGTTTTATTGGGTATTATCAGTCACATGCGGTGGATGCATCTGCACCAGCCATTGAGAACGTTTATGAGCCATAGCAACAATTGTCTCCAGCCAATGGTGCTTACCGTCCCGAGGACCCCAACCAGTCAGAAAGTCTACACCTCTCGACGTGACTGGCTTAAACTAACTGTTGTGGATTTTACTGACTGATGCCATATTTCTGTTTGACCGCCGCTAGCTCTTCTACAGCCTGATCCATCCTATGTCATCTAACATTTCCCGCCGAGGAAGGCAATGGCTAGGAATGCATGCGCAACACATGTCATAACCATCTCAATCGATGTAACTTCACAACCCACTGGCATTGGTTGATGCAACTTTCCAAATAAGTGAAGTAGTCAACGTGCTTTACCACTTCACTCCTTATTTCTAAGCTAGGAGTCAATGTAGTCCAGTCCTGTAACATCATCTTACATTTGGCGGGAGCGAATCACATGCCAATTATTCATAGATTGTACCTCAAGGTGTTCAGAAGACTCTGTTCTATTTTGTCAATGTCTTCACCTAGAAGGACTATATCATCTGCATATTCCAACTCAACGAGATTATTCTCTGTTGGTAACAAGTCAATCCCTGAGTCTCTGAAGTTAGTTAGGGTTAAGTCCATTAGTACATCTATGATGAAATTGAATAGAAATAAGGATAGTGGACATAACTGTCGGACACCACTGGTTGTCACCACTTCAGATGACAACTCGCCGTAAGCTCTCATCTGGCTGCATGAGTTCGAGTAGAGTGCATGTAGAATTTGTGGTCCAGTGTAACAGCTTGTCTATTGTTTGCTGGTTGAATAGTTCCTTGCAAGAAAATGTCACTCTTAGACTGGCGGCAAAGTATGTTTTACTGAGAGACTATGCAAGTCGTTTACGAAGAACTTCTTCTTCAGTATCACGTTCAAATTTGAGATAAAGCATCAGCATCTTTTTGAGGGTGACATGGAACTGTTCAGAAGCTTTCTTTGGTCTTCCATTCTTGTCTATGTATCTGGCTGGGAAACTGTTTCCAATCAAAACTCCTCGGAAATTGTGCAGTTCTCAATATATATTCTCCGGATTTAATAATAATAATAATAATTTGCTTTATTCCAAAACAGTACTTGTGATACAGAATGGAATTCTCAGCATTTTTACTACAGTATTGCATCCAGTTAGTACATTGTCAATAAATAGAATTCTACATAGATTGAGGAAACCACAGTTCATTATTACAACAATACATTGGCATGTTCAGTAGCAAAGGTAAAGCTGAAACAGTGTTTGAAGGTGTTAGAAAAGTGGGAGCTGTCTTATTAACTGGCGTAAGCGAAAGAAAGAGACAAAGCAGCACATAACGGAAAAAGAAGAGAGAGAAAAGGAACAGAAAGAAAGGAAATGTTGAACCTATTGATGAAGTTGGTTGGAAAGATGAGATCCAGTTGTACTAATGACTATTTAATGAATTATAGGTGTCACGCCTGATGCTTTCTTTATCACACAGAACGCGAGCTAAGTAGGGTATGGTTGAGTTTTTGTACTTGCTGATGCGAGCATATAGTTTTCTATATTGGCTTCTTGTTTTACCTGATGAGATGCGAGGGGAGAGTTGTGAGTGAAGAGGGTGGTGTGAGTTAGATAAAATGGACTTGGCCCATTTTTCACATGAGTCCATGTGCCTGTCAACCAAAATATTAACAAGCTGGTTAAGTGGCACGTTGCTTACTCTGCTGACAACCTTTAACATCCTGCGTGATATGTTATAGTCTTTCTTCAGTAGCCCGGGAAAAACTAAGGGGGAACAATAGAGAATAATAGGCAGGATGCGAGAATTAACGAATTGTAGGAGTAGGGGTTGGGTAATACCAGAATGTTTTAACTTCTTAATGTAGAAGGCAAGACGGAATATTTTCTTAGAAATTGCTAAGATATGAGACGACCAGGAGAGATCAGCAGATAGAATGACACCTAGGTATTTAATTTCCGATTTAGTTTCTATTTCAGTGCCGTCTATTTTGCATACCTCGTGAGAGCCAAACAGTTTGTTTAGGTCGGATTTATGCCTAAAGGTGAAATTGACTGTTTGGCATTTGGAAGGGTTTAGAGTAAGACCATTTTCCTTGGACCACTGGTTGATTTCTGACAGAAAGCCATTAAGTTTAGAGCAGTCGCTTTGACATTTGATAGGCAAAGATACAGACAGATCATCAGCGTATTTGACAAAATTAATGTCATTTGAAGATGGTAAGTCATGTAGAAAGAAGGAAAAGAGAAGTGGGGAGAGTACAGCGCCTTGGGGGACTCCGGCTTCAGTGAGTGCAGCAGAGGATGATTTACCTTTGTATACGGTGTACTGCTTTCTGTTAGAGAAGTAGGAATGCAACCAGTTAGTGACCCAGGACTCAGTTTTCGTCAAAGAGAGCTTATTTAGAAGGAGACATCTAGGAACAGAGTCGAAAGCAGAAGTGAAGTCAAGAAACGTGCAGCGGACGTATTTAGCACCTTTATCTAATGATGAGACGATGTTGTTGTGTAAGACAGCTGCAGCGTCTAATGTACTCCTACCCTGTCTATAGGCAAATTGTTTTGGGTCTTCGAAGTTTTTAAGGGAGGGTTCGAGTTTAAGAAGTATTAGTTTTTCCATAACCTTTAGAAACGGGGAAGTGATGGCAATGGGTCTGAACTTTACGTTCTTGCCATTTCCAGGTTTAGGGACAGGGACAATTTTGATGTCTTTCCATGCATCAGGTACGATATTTTTGGAGAAAGAGGCATTTAGGATGTTGGTTAGTGGAGAACACAACACATCTGCACATTGTTTTAGAACATAGGCAGGTATACCATCAGGACCTAGGCTACGCGAGGGTTTGACTAAAATAAATATATGAGGTTTCCGCTTAGAGAGGCACAGCTTTAAAAATTGATAAAGCCTTCATTCCATGTGGAATTTTTGTAGATGGATCTCCTCACCGAATTGCCAGCATTTCTTCGTAGTTGAACACTGAAAACGCAATGTTTCATTTCTTCGAACATTATTTTTCAATGGTTCTGTAACTGGTGTTAGCTTGTCGTCAAACCTGAACATAGATACGTCTTTTTTACAATGAAACCTTTAAAAATTGATAAGCTGTTATCTAAGCAGAGCTTCGTTATCATTATTCTGCAGCAGCTGTGGTGGCCTGCTTAAAACTTGGGCTACCAGAAGCTTCCATCTCTTTATATTGCATATATTGTCTCTCATTCGGTTTGTTTTAATCGATCAACATATGACCATCTCTAATAGTATTATCTACTCTTGTGTCTATTTAAAATGTTTACAAGCTCCTTATTTTGCAAGTTTCTACTAAACTTGAAGAATGGCCTGATTGTGGGTGACAACGGGTGTCTCAACGGGTCTCAAAATGTACTTCTGAACACCTTAAAATCGGCTTTCAACTAGATATCATGGATTTCTTGAAGGAGACGAAGGAGATATGTCATAATGGAATGGTTTGTGCTTTAGCTCAGAGACCATTGTGTCGCAGGATGTACTGTCAATGAAGATATTGTACGAAGGGAAAATAGCATGCAATTAAAACTCCTCTGAAAATTCTGTACATTGTATAAATACTGTCCAGAATAAAGACGTTATTAGTAGTATTAATAATAATAATTTACTTTATTCCAAAAACAGTACTTATAATACAGAATGGAATTCTCAGTATTTGTCACAATATTGCATCTGATTTACTCAAAATATATTTAAAATTAAAACAAAATTAATCGGAGGAATTTGTCCACATTTACGACATAATTATTAGATATAATAATAATAAATAATAATAACAGTGAGTTTTTTTCAAACAGTATTGTCGATTCAGTTTGGAAACTTTAGCATGTTATGGATAATTGGGTCTAATGTTCTGTTGATATGGTATAGTGAGGGGAAATACAAAATTAACAGTTATAATACAGCTTAAAATTATTTCCACACTTATGAAAAAAAATAAACAAAACGAAAAAATTGAGAGGATTATGAATATAAGAAATACAACAACAATAAAGTTTGATGCTCTAAGGGTGGAGGAAATGGTTTATTTAGTGGTGCTAAGAAGGTTAGTTAGTTCATTTCTGACGCTATTTTCATCACATAAGGTACGTACCAAATATGGTATAGTGGAATTTTTATACTTAGACGTACGTGCATAAAGTCTTCTGAAAAGACTTCTTGTTTTACCAGAGGAGACACAAGGTTGGAGCTGCTGGTAGAGTGGGTGCTCAAAGTCTGACAAAATTCCTCTAGCGAATTACAATAAAAAGTGGTAGTCAACTTTCTCAGGGCTGAGAATCAAGTATATACTTCTTAAAAAGATTTCTATAATATTCTCGTGATTTTATTTTTATTTTTTCTATTTTCATGTTATTTTAATTTATCCAGATGCAAATGGATGGAATTCAGGTGGTGGTGGATTATCAGCCAACAGTGGTGGGACTATAACACAAACTTACAGAGGTCTGCTACATATCCAGTACACTTCAGGATTAGAACATTTACCGGATGTAATCGGTGGAACGGACACAATGCAAAGTGCTTATTTCTGGAGTAAACAAGTAATTTTTCTTCGTTTTTTCTTCTTTATTTTGAAATGATGCTTGTGTCAGTGATATGTCGCTTAATTCTTCTTAACCCTTCTACATTAAGAAGTTAAGACAATCAAGAATCAGTCCAATATCTACTTTGATTGGACACTAGTAACTAGTGTGAAATGTGTCTAGTCCTTTCTTTGGTGCAGACTGAATTCCATCAGTGATAACGTCTCTGACTGCAGGCGGCACTGGGTGACGTGGGTTCGAATCTCAGAAGGGATATGAGTTCCTTCAAGGCTGCAGATACGCCTTGCTGACTGGTGAGTATCAACTAGCACGAAACCTAGGTCAAGCAAGGCTTCCTGTGGCTGATTGCCTCCAACTATCTAATCAATATCTACTTCTACAATTTGTTTACTCTTGCATCTCGCCTACTGTTCTTTATTTCTAATGACAGTAGAAGGACTAAGGAATAGTATAGTCATGCATTATTTGATTTTCAACTAAATACCCCAAAAGTGTTTTTTTCTTCAACTTTTTGCTAAGTTTATCATCTTTTTTCCTCTCAGACTATACCATTAGTGAGTGGCAGTGGAACAAGTATTCCCTTTGATTCGCTAACATCACATTCCTCGTCAGCTTCATCGTCGACTATACCATCGGATAGATTTTACTCCAATCCAATGTTATATACACCAACAGATGTATCGAATGAAATTGCTAGCCTACAAGTATGGCCTTCTCAACCACTGAAAGTTAGCACATCTGCATGGACACGATTAAGCGGTGCACCGTGTACAACAGCTGAACCATTAATTGAACAATTGAATATATACACTCCTGCATTACCACCATATATAGCAATGGGTGAAGTGAAAGTGAGCAGTAACCGTTCAACTAACTGTATACTCTTTTTATTTATAGTTTGTTATGAATTATTATAATATAATTGTTTCCTTTAATTCCTAGAGGAACATAAGGCTTCAGCCGTGCGTCTCCATTGCGTTCGGTTCTCTGCTAGAGTCTTCACCTGGCTCCATGTCTGCCTACATGTTTTCATCTCCTCTTCACATGACCTCCTCCAAGTCACCCACCCTCGCACTGACGACCAACTCGCCGCTTCCCTTTCGGGTTCCACTCGAGCAATGGCTTGTCTAGTGGTGTCACTTGATGGTCTCCTCAGAGTATGGCCAGCCAATCCATCTCCATTTCTTCCTGCCTTTTTGTTTCACAATCGGTTCCTGGTTGGTTCGCTCATTGCCAGAGATTTCTGTTGCTGATCTTTTCTCGCCGGCCATCTGATCTTGAGTATTGAGCGAAGACAACTGTTAATGAAGGTCTGTAGTTTGTTTGAGATGCTCTTTATGACGCGCAGTGCAAGTCTCTGATCCGTATAGTGAGTATCACTGACTTCACATTGGAGTTGAAAATCTGGATCTTATTTTTGATTCTGAGTGCTGTTGACCTCCACACAGACTTGAGAGTAGTGAAAGCCTGTCTTGCTTTTCCGATTCTTGCTTTGATATCCTCGTCAGTTCCGCCTGTAGTTGAGACGATGCTTCCCAGGTAGGTGGTAGAGGAGGTTGTTTCTTTCAGCTTCCTTCCATTTATGCTGATTGTTATCTGTTGTTGTTGTTGCTGTTGGTGGTGTTGCCCAGGAATCTTCATCACCTCTGTTTTCTCTATGTTCACCAGAGGTCCTACCTTTGACGCTTCTTCTGCCAACTTGTTCTTGAATTCTATATTTTTGATTTACATAAGAGCTTTTGCTACTTCTGCTGCTGCTCTTTCAGTCTGCTCAAGCTACTCATTTGGGTGATTGGAGTAGATTATTGGCTTTCCAGTTAACAATTTAGAGAGTTCATTTACATTCAACTTGACCTCACAGATTCCTAACACTTCTATGCCATATCTTCTCATTTCTTTGCCAACTTGGGCATCTCTCCTAGCTTTGTGCATTGTACGAAATTTTCACGTTCCCGTGCTTATTTCTTCCTCATCGGAAGAATGCATTTTGGGTTGACTGGCTTCTTGAAATGCTCTCATCAGCCCACATCATTTTCTCTCTCCGATTCCAGCGAGAAATAAGTTCTTTTTTGTATCTTTATTGTGCTTTGAAGTTTCGGTAGCCACTGAATTGATTTTTCCGGAGGTCGCTCCATGCCCAAACTTCCCTTCTTTCCCTGACTTTTGTTTGCGTTGCCTTAACATTCCAAGTGGCATATATAGGGCTTCAAGCTGGAGGCTTGAAGTTTCGATAGCACTGGTGATTATTTTTACGGGATGGGGTTGCTAGCCTTATGCCCAACCTTCCTTCTTTTTACCAGTCTTAATACTGATGTAGCGAGGTAAAGGAGTTCCTTGTCGGCCGGGGATCGAACCCCGGACCACGTGAGGCGTGGTTGGCCAGAATTCTACTAGTGTGTCACCGACGCACAGCGGTGGCTTGGGACTAGTCAACTTTGAAATTGTCCGAATTACGGGGAGAATATTAGTATACTCAAGCTGTTAGGTACACTTTCCTGGTGAGTGGTAACAAGCATAAAGTCTAAGTTGAGAACGACCACCTGTTGATCTACTCCTAGCGATATCTGGTTAAAAGTGACGCTTTAATTAAAAAAAATAATAATAGTGTGTGTTTATAAGTAGTGGTAACTGACCTAAACAATGAAAGTCATCCATTCGGCAAAATAATATCTGTCTGAGTACATCAAGTTATTTCTCCAGTCCTGTGGATGTTAAAGACATCTGTGAACAAAAATTAGTTGGTGTCAGCGATTCACAATGGTCTTGTTTGCTATATACTCTCAGAAATCCTATTTTCTTTGATACCTATACACGAATAATCTACTGTTATCACCATGCCTATTATTGTTGTTATTTGGTGTGCACTTTTAGTATATATTTTCAACCTATCAAGACATTAATCTATTAATTTTTCCTCTTTCTATGTGAATAGGTTGAATACTTAGGTAATTATATGTACGCTGTATCACATTCAAGAATCAGACCAAAAGTAAGTTTCATTTTCTGTGGATGCATTATCTATGTTTGGCGTATTTTTCTCAAGCTTACTGCTTTCATTAACTGTAGTGTATCTTTATCTGTCATTCCTTTGCTCCTCAAATGGAATGTAGGACCTCAAAGTGTAAAGTTTCAGTAGCAGTAGCTGTGATTTTGTTTCTACGAAGTGAGGATCCCGGCTTCACGTCCAATCCTCCCTATTTTTTCAGCTTACTACCAGTAAGGTTAGGTTTAGGAATGCGTCGGCAAGGAATCGAAGCTTGATGTCTGAATCACCGGCTCATGTTCTCTGTCCCCTCAATTGTTTATTTTTATAACTACATTAACTGACCGTATGAATTTACAGATTGGAGATTTTTGTTGCTTTACACTTGTTTAACTGATAATCCAAGTCCCTTTAGCTGAAGAAATGCTACACCATCAGTTCTCAGATAACCAACCATCTTTTGTGTTGTTCGTGGTGACAGACTGAGTGATTCAGTTTCAACTTAGCACTTTATGTAGAAGTACAGCAGTTCAATCTACCACACTCCACACACACACACACACACACAAAGATAGACAGAATATAGAAAATAGGAGATCCAAAAGAACGGTAAAAAGCGAAAATGTGAGGAAGAAAGGATAGTAACATAGGAAAAACATAACGGTTTAGTGGATATAGAGGATCACAGTGAGTGAACGCATCTGTGCCACTGAAAACGATTTTGAGCTATATCACCTGCCGATGGCTTTTAGAATCCCAATGACCCCTAAACAGTCAGCCTACACCTCCCTAACAAAACTCAAACCAGCTGTTAAGTTTGACCATCACCAACTAACTTTTTTCCAACCTAACCCAACATTGTCCATTGAGGAAGACGATGACTCAGAATGTGGAACACGTGTCCTAGCTGTTTCAGTACATTTAGCTTCACGAACTCATCCACTGACTTCCCCCTGCTATCTAACACGTTGCACTTAACCTCAATATTACTCATCATATTATACCGTTCTACACCGGAGACAGCAGTAGTATTCTTGCGCTACTAAAGAAATAAATATCTAAGTGTTGGTTTGCAGGAATTTAATTTGATTGGTCACGGGCTTTCATCATGAATTGACATCGGTTAGAGAACGATTGGAAAACCTGGGAGTTCTGGACAACTGTTTCGTCCCAGTGTGAGATTTTTCACTAGCACGCCCTCACCACAGAGGGTTCGAATCCAGGACTTTCCGATTAAAAGGCCAGCTCGTAGGCCAATAGGCCACTGGGACCCGATTCAATGGCCCGCGAATTCCACCCTTTGCCAATTTATGATATAGCGCGACCACTAGCCAGTATCATCTCTTGCGAGTATCTATCCCCAATCTGACGCTCACTAGAGATTGGCCCTATTCAGGTAGGCAGTTACCTGTGTTCTAGTGGGAAGTTGTGACCAGTGGGGTACATCAGGTCGAGTGTGAGGACAGATACTTGCCAGCGATGATATTGGCTAGTCGTCGCGCTGTACCATAAACTGGCATAGGGTGGAATTCGCGGGCCATTGAATCGGGTCCCAGAGGCCTACTGGCCTACGAGCTGGCCTTGTAATCAGAAAGTCCTGGGTTCGAACCCTCTGTTGGTGGCGTACTAATGAAGAATCTCAGACTGGGACGAAACAGTTGTCCAGTACTCCCAGTTTTTCCAGTTGTTCTCTAACCAAATTTCAGTTGATGATTAAATCCTGTATCAGCACTTATTTATAATTTTTATTAACATTTTAGTCAATTTTCTTCTTGACTAACGCGATTCAGAAAACAGCTAAACAGTAAGAAGCATTACTGAGTTACTGTTTCCTTTAGTCTGAGATTCCTTAAACTTTACTAGCTATTTCCTAAAGCATGGAGTTACTGTGTTTGTAAAACTTACTGCCTTTAAATTGGGGTACTCTGACATTTTCTATTTCGAAAAAAACAAAGTTACTTGCAGTGACTGACTTGTCACCAGGAACCGATTATTGCAGTTCAGTAAAATCAGTAAATCAGCACTAAATTCAAAACAATTACTTCACTGGATGACAACTGATACTCGTTTCATGAGTGTTGGCTCTTTTTAGCCAAGTAACCTAGTAGATAACACTTAGGTGTTTGAAACGTTGGGTTCTAAGTTTGAGAGTGACCATGGAAACACTTGGATGCTGAAAAGTTCCAAATGGGATTCAGCACGTGTCCTATATTGGCTTCAATACTCAGCGTGTTTTTTTTGAGCAGAAGAAGTTCAAACTGATATTCAGAATATGATATTAGACAGTTCAGAACGAACATTGAACTGGTGTTTTTGTCATTAGTGCATTGTGGCAATCCAGTGGGTTTTGAAAAAAGTATGACGTAATAACTCAACAGCAGTATCGAATATTGTAGTATAATAATGTTTAGATATGATGGAGAAATCGAAAATTATTCGTAGATTTCCACTACTGATTTTAACACATGAAATAGAGGAATGAAAGGAAACACATTTCAATTGATTGAATGTTTGGAGTCAATTGGCAGGAAACCCTGCTTGCCCTAGGTTTAGTGCTTGTTGGCACTTACTAGTCAGTAAGGTGCATCTGCAATCTTGAAAGAGTAGATATCTCCTGCAGTCAGAGACGTGAGTCACCACTGAGCTATTCGGACTCGGGATCAACCTCCTGTAGGACTGTAATGGATATTTTCTATAGTTTTGGTTTGTAAGGGTTAGTTATGTTTTTACGAGTTGATCACGGATTGATGTCAGTTAGAAAACCATTGAAAACTAGGGAGATCTGGACAGCTGTTTCATCCTAGCTAACAGTTAGGAATCCTTGGCAGTACGCACCCACTGGGATTCGAACCCAGGACCTTCCGGTTACAAGGCAAGCTGGTATACCATTTAGCCAGTGGGACCCGATATAATGGCCAGCTTATGAATTCTAACTTCTACCAATTCGTGATTTAGCCTGACCCCAACCAGTGTCGTCGGTGGGACATTCATCCTCACACGTGACATCTAGATGGACCTCACTGGTCACGACTTCTCACTAGAACTCCAGGAAACTCCATCCTGTAGCAAGTCGATAGCGAGCATCAGATTTATTTTCTATAGTTTTGGTTTGTTAGCGTTAGTTACGTTTTTACAAGTTGATCACAGATGGATACTTTGATTTGAAACCCTAGGTCATGAATCCAGTCCTTGTTGTGTTGGTATAAACTGAGTTTTCTATCAGTCAAGCTAGCAGCACAGCCACCGTGATGTTGAGGCTCAGCATCTTCGCTGCCGTATTACGTGACCCTAGTTCAAGTCTCAGAATGGATAGTATGAGTCCCTTCAAGATTGCAGATATGCCTTACTAACTAACTGGTGACTGTCAACAAGCAAGAAATCTAGGCCTGGAAAGGCTTCCTGCTGATTGCATCCAACCGTATAACAACAATAGTTCAGAGTGTTCTGTGATGGTGAACCATCTAACATGGTGGCCACAATACAAAGTTGACTGGCAATACTCAGTCTGTGCCAGCACCAAGGACTTAGACGTATGAGATGAGTCACTATCTTCCCGCTAGCGTCCAATGAAAGTACTTCTTAGTTTATGTATGTGTGGCTGTTCACTTTCTGATCCTGTTCCTAGTTAATATGAATTTGTCTCTGTGTTACACTTTAATAATATGGATGTATGCTGCTGTATACAGTGTTTTCTTATTCACTTTTTCTGTAGTTACAATTCTAATTGAATATCTTCCGCAAAGTTTTTTCCTTCTTAAAACTTTATTAAAACCATAAAGGGGCCAAATATACTTTTTTTCTTTATTTCCTTTCCCCTTTTGTCTTCTAGTTGAGTTTTAGTCTACCGAAAACAACATCTTTACTTGGTGCTGTGTTTTATCCAGCCTCTGTGGAACGTGGACATTATCTACGAGCAAGTCTAGCCTTAGCATGGTTAACAGAACCTGAAATTAAAAATGGTGATATTCTAATCGACAGTAGTAGTAGTAGTAGTGGTCAGAAGACAAGTACAAAATTAAGAAATTCTGAGTTATCATCATCGTCATCATCAACAATGAATACAGAATCATTAAAGAAGCAAAGATTTTGGGTGATCGATTTTACTGGTCAAGTGGATCAATTCCCTGGATTATTCCGCCTTCTTGTTTATCCAGACAATATAGACGATGATGGCGATGATAATAGTAATAATAATAATAATAATAGTGGCAAAAATGACAGCATGATGACCAACGGTAGAATGAAAGACAAGGGTACCGACTATCTATTACAACAACGACGTCGAAATTCACACCACCTAATTACATCATCTGTTGATGCTACTGTTGAAATTGAAGATGACGGGGATGATGATACTTTAAATTCTGGAATTGATTTAGGCGGAAAAGAACCCGAAGATGAACCATTATTAGACTATGATATTGGAGTTTTTGAAGAACGTAAATTTCAGGTAAAATTCCCCGTTTTTACTTCTTTTTCTCTCTTGTTATTAACCTTTTTTCACATATAGAGGGAGAGAGAGAGATTTGTTTATTTTTTCCACTATTTAATCGGCAAAGTTAAGGTATGACGATCCATTTAATGAGAATGTACAGCTTACCTTGAGATGGCCAATCAGAAAAAAACGGGTGATTTTTACATGAAAATGACGTTTATTTACAAGAGAAATACAGAGAATAGGGATAAAAAACACATTGGACAGGGTTTTTTCTCTTGACATGACTTAAAAAGATTTCCCAATTATAATATGAGGAGTATTAGGTTTTTTAGGTTAAACCAGTTTCCTGTTTTCAAGTCTTCCCCAGAAGCATTCAATTGAATAAGTATAGGTCCCAGTGGTAAGGGCGTTGACAACTATTTACGAGGAAAATGCAGGTGATAAAGGTAAAACACCCTAACCCAAGTACCAGCCACAAACCTTACCTTAATCCTAACCCTTATCATAACACTAACGAGTACTTAAAAACGAAGTCGGGATGAAATTTGCTCCTCAATTCCTGCATCACATTCATGATGGTTCTATAGCAGCAGTAGATCCCGTTATCCAAAGAGTGGTATGCAACTAAGGGCATTGATGCGTTCGAAATCCTGCATCGCTCTACTGTAACTTCTCCATTTCGTCCGTAATCTAATACCAGATAATAGTCGATGCTAGTTTCTAGTTCTTCTGGTACTTGAGCATGGTTCATCGATCAAGTACACGAAATGTCGTAATTTTACCTGAAGTCAGATGAAACCATCGTTAAGTATCATACATTATTAATTTTTAATAATAATAATAATAATGACTTTATTCTGAACAATGTTTATATAATGTACAGAATTTTCACTTAGCTAAATTCTTACATTCCGATAATCGAACTGCCTCCGGTCAACTGGTCTGACCTATATAGCTGACTTCATATTTATTGGAAGATATATTTTTATAGATTACAATTATTTTGTCTAACTAACTGGGTCAATAGGGTCGTTTAGCCCTACAAAGTCAACAAATGTACAAAATCAAGGGATATATGAACGAGGTTAGAAAGTCTTCTGAATGAGTGCCTTATCTACAGAACTACTTCACGTAGGCATTTATCTGTTTAACATATAGATACTTCTTTCAGTCCTTACTATTACGAAGTGTAAATTACAAGGATTACAGATGTACATGATTATTATAATTATTACTATTTGATTCTAATAGTTGTCTGATCTTATTACTATATATAAAATATCTTGTGCATTTTTCTTATCTTCAGTTACGCATTCTTATCCCTGGTCCTACTAGTGAACCTGACTATGAGAAAGCTTTTCGTCTTGTCATCCTGGACGCCAGTAATCGTTTAGATATTCGAGTTAAACGAGCTGTTCAACCACCAGATGAAATGGCGTTACGCAGAATCTATGGACAACTTTCTGACGGTAAATTATTATTATTTTATTCTTTCACTGTATGCTGTTTTTCTTTAAAAAAAGAGAGTATTTAGGAACTACTTCAATTATTCCACTTAGCCTATAACTGAATACTGTTAATGCAAGTATGGTATGATCAGCAGCAAGCTTCGAACATAGGTTTCGTGCTACTTGGCACCTATCATCAAGGTTGTATCTGCAACCTTGAAGAAACTCATGTCCCTTCTTGAGACTCGAACCCGAATTACCCAGTGCTGCAGGAAGGGAGGTAACCACCGAGCCAATCGGACTGACGATTGGCCTTATTATTTTGTTTATTAGATATATCACACAGTGAGTAAAACAGTATTATGTACTGGATGGCGTTTCTAAAAAAAATGTATTGTTCATAATCATTTCATCAATTGTCATCACACGACTTTGAAACTTGAGTTTTAAAGTTTTCTTTGTCTTCTCCCATTTGTCGTCGTTGAGGTAGTAGAATTTTCCAGCTGTCTGCCTGGACAGGTGTTGAATCATTCCTATTACATGTATTTGCAGTTGATTCAATAAACAAAGCTTCCGTTAACAATCTCTCCCTCCACTCTGTGACATTAGATTGTAAAACTGTCATCTTTTCGCATCCTGTTGTGTGGTGTGCTTGTGTGTAATTGCGTGCAGTGCTATAGCTGAACTATTCTCTAGATTTCTTATCTTATTTTGGTCAACCAATCTAGATTTTGCTAGGTTTTTATGCTCGGCTAGTCTGACTGCCCCTGTTCTACTAGTTTGACCTATGTATTTGACCTGACATTCATTCCAGCAGGGTCTTAGATAAACTAAATTGTTTTGTCAGACTAACCGAGCATGAAAACCTAGCAAAATCCAGATTGGTTGACCCAAATAAGATAAGAAATCTGGATAATAGTTCAGCTGTCGCACTACATGCAGTTACATACAACCATACAATAGAATGAGATAGGATGACAGTTTTAAGATCTAATGTAGCAGCAGGGTGGAGGGAGAGATTGTTAACTGAAGCTTTTGGAAAACAGAGAGATTGAGCGAAGAAATATTTACTTTTCAGTTAGATCCTCATCTCTGGCTCTACTCTAATATAGATAGCATTTTTATTACAATACACAACAGTTTACCAATCAAGTGGCGATATGTTTGTTAACAATAATTAAACAGTGTCAAAATGTCAATGGGTTGAAAATTAACGAAGAAAATCAATACACATTTAAAGGGTAGAAATGGATAAAATATATTAATTTTACAAGGATAACACGTAATTAAAGATGGAGTGGTCAAAATAAAAATAAAATAATTTGGACAATTATAATTTGATAGGGTTAGAGGGAAGGGGGCGACGTAGTCCTGAAGTCTTGTAACGATGGCCACGGTAAGGAAAGTGGCTGTACAAACTTCTTCTGTACACAGAGGCTTGGCTTCTTCTGGTGGATTCCGATTGCTTCAGCTGTCTGTAGAAGACGAACTCGTAGAGCAAAGTTAAGATTAGTCGGAATGCGATAAATAATTTTAAATGCAGTATTCACATCAAGCTTATGCTCAGTATCAACAAGGTGTGCTAAAATAGAAGTACGAATAGATTTGGTTGTCCCTTGCTTAACCACGCTTGATGATGTTCAGAAATACGACGATGAAACTGCCTAATTGTACGCCCAATGTAGCTGGCTCCGCAGCTGCAGTCAAACTGTTAGACACACATAGATTGTATTGATTTTCTTCGTTAATTTTCAACCCATTGACATTTTGACACTGTTTAATTATTGTTAACAAACATATCGCCACTTGATTGGTAAACTGTTGTGTATTGTAATAAAAATGCTATCTATATTAGAGTAGAGCCAGAGATGAGGATCTAATTGAAAAGTAAATATTTCTTCGCTGAATCTTTCTGTTTTCCAAATGTCTAAATGGGGATTTTTTCTATATTGAAGCTGAAGCTTTGTTCATCGAATCAACTGCAAATACGTGTAATAGGAATGATTCAACACCTGTCCAGGCAGACAGCTGGAAAATTCTACTACCTCAACGACGACAAATGGGAGAAGACAAAGAAAACTTTAAAACTCAAGTTTCAAAGTCGTGTGATGACAATTGATGAAATGATTATGAACAATACATTTTTTTTCGAAACGCCATCCAGTACATAATACTGTTTCACTCACTGTGATACATCTAGTAAACAAACTAATATGGAATTACTTACTACCACAGTGCCCAAGTTTTACACATATATTAATATGGCGATTGACCTCCTGTAGGACTGTGTTGAATACTGGTTGATATGAGTGGTACACAACTACTCATCTCTATCAATCAGTAGTATATATATAGCTTTATGCAAACTTTTATACGAATATTTCTTTGTTCTATTCATTTTAGGTGATGGTCGGCCAACTCTAGTTGATCTACTGCCGAGTTTAGCTGCACGGCAACAAGCAATTCAAGATAGTTTATTGAAAGAAAACTCAGAAAAAAGTGATTACACCTATGAAAATTCTAATGACAGGAAATTTTCTAAACGAGAAGCTAACAACAACAACTATCCACACTCATCTACTAATGATCAAAAAATGAATACAAGATCTGATAAAACAAGTGATCAAATTTCATCTGCATCCTCGTCATCACCATCATCATCCTCGTCATCACCAGTAATGAGAAGCACATTCGGTCCATCATCTGCACTTGTTTATTCTGTAGTTTGTATACTTTTACTACTTTCACTTATACTATTCATTGGTTATGTCACTGAGCCTGGTATGTACACTATCACAGTATTAAGATTTTTTTGTTTTTGTTTTACTCATTATAACTTATTTTTTAAGAGTTTGATCGCGAGCTGATATCAATTAGAGAGGACCATTGGAAAATCAATCAGGGAGTACTGGACACCTGTTTCACCCCTGTTCGGGACTCTTCATTAGTAGTACCCTTACACTGGAGTTTGAACCCAGAGACTTCCGAATACAAGGCCACTTCTTAGATTATTCATCTATTGGGACCCGATTCAATAGCTCATGAATTCCTATACATGTTCCACTTTCATTTATTATCTATCTAGTATTGAGACAGGCTATAACGTGAAGTTATTATTTTAGTATTAGATGGTTGGAGGCAATCGGCAGGAAGCCTCGGACCTAGGTTTCGTGCTAGTTGGCACTCATCAGCAAGGCGTGTCTGCAACCTTGAAGGAACTGATGTCCCTTCTGAGATTCGAACCCATGATGAGTGCCAACTAGCACGAAACCTAGGTCCAAGGCTTCCTGCCGATTGCCTCCAACCATCTAATACCAACAATTCACAGTGCACCGTAATGGCGAGCCACCTAGCATGGTGGCCACATTGCAAACATGACTGATAGAATTCAGTCTGCACCGAAGATAGGACTAGACACATTACACTAGTTACTGACTAGTGTTCAATCAAAAATAGTTTTTATTTTAATCAGATATGAATATCATCCTCTGAATGATTATTGCACGATATATGAAGCTACAAATATTAGAATGAAGGTTCTCTGAAAATACAGAAATTCACTATGGTTAAGGTATATATTGCACAAATAATTTTTGAATGTATACATATCGTAACAACAGAAGACAAGGGCCAGGCGACAGATCGTTTATTTAGGAAAATCAACACATATTTATAGATTTTAGTGTACATTATTGTAGATTATTGTTAGTAGAAAATACAGTCTTTTGATTGGTTGTTTCTCACAGAAAGTTAACCTTGCATCTCTTTGTGGCTGTGTCAGATCATCCATATGCTAACTGTATCCGCCTACGCAAAGCCTTTGTTCTCATTTTCTCACTAGCAATATTGGGGATATAAACACTGACGTGAATTACTGTCTACCAACTTTGGCTAGCAGCCAGCTCTCACCACAATATGACAGGGAGATTTTTAATTCTACCACGGTGTACCATTTCTAATTTGATTTTTCATGATCACACGTGCAGTCAATCAAATGACTGTGAACCTGATGCTCACTACCTACTGGCTCTATAGAGAAAGTCACCTAGACTCACTCCTATTGAGAAGTTAGTTGTGACCACTAGGGTTCACAAAGTCAGATAAAAGGAAAGTCACTCTTCACTGACATTCGTTGGTGGTTGCGTTATTTTTTGTATCGTGAATCGGTAAAAGTAAGAAGTCGTGGGTCATTGGATCGGATCCCCTGTGGATGAATTGTCTACGAGCTTGCCTTGTACCCTGAAGGTCTTCGGTTGGCATCACAGTGGATGAAGAGTACCAAACGAGTATGAAACAGATGTTCAATACTACTTCCTGGTTTCCTGATGACTTTCTCTGAATGATGTTAGCTCGTGATCCATCCTGCTCCTATGAGAAAAAGTCACAGGATTAAAGTTGGCTATGGAGTAATCATCCGAACTGAAACAAACATCGAATTTTTCCATAAATACCATCGAACTGGTGTTTGTTGATACTTTATACTCTGAAAACTGTGAATAATACCTCAGCTTTTCATTAGGTTGCTTTTTCTGAGTTAGCCAGAACTCCTGTTGAGCCCAATATGAGTGACGGATACATGACTGTGAGATCATCGTTACTACATTAGCTGCTTAACTGGATGTCTCCATCCAGATTATCATCGTAGCGAATTGAAAAAAATGGATGTGGATGAATAATAGGCTGGGTTTTATGAAAACAAACTGTGGTGAGAGCTGTCTGCAAACAAACCCTAACCTTGAGGAATTCAACAACCAATCACAGCAGATTTAGTGTGTGCGAATACTATTCGCACATATATGGCTTAACTTTCTAAGAAACAGCCACAAAGAGATGACACAGTGACCTTCAGCAAAGAAAAAACAACTAATCAGAAGACGTTGCTCCTCTGCTTGCAATAATAAATTATAGTGTAGATTAAAATCGATAAATATCTGTTGATTTTCTCAATAAACGATCTGTTGCCTGGTCGTTGTCTTCTGTCGTTACAATATCATTGCTTTAAATACTGTCAGCACTGAGGCATTTGTGTAAACAGTAATCTTTATCCTAGTGCACTTATCAGTCTACAAATAAAAGGTTATCTCAGTTCACTTCAGAAAAAAAATGAGTTTCCTAATTTAAATGCCATTTATATAGTAAATTCATCTTTGAGTTGTGATTTTAAAAGCATAATTAGTATGGTTTATTGCAAGTAGATACTAATCTTCCAGCAAGGGTAGATGTCTTCAATGCAGTCAAGCCACTGAAGTTCCTTAAAGGCAGCAGGATCAGATGGATTTCATAAGGAAGCACTGAAAAGGGATCCAGCGGATATTCTCATGCCTATATTGCAAAAACGTTTGAAAGGAAGGAAAGGTGCCTACTGATTCAAAGGAAGACTATCTTTTATCAAACTCCCAAAGGAGGGAAAACTAAGCCTCTGCAAGAACTATTGAGGAATAATGCTTTTGTCCATACCAAACAAAATATTAATTCATGTCATCCTGGAGAGATTAGAAGATACTCTGGGTGCAGAACTCCGCCAGCCCTGGGTTTAGGAAACGCAAATCATGTGCTGATTAAATTTCAACTCTACGCATCTTCATTTAACATAACATCGAATAGAAGTCGAAACTCTGACTGTACCTCATCTTTATCAACTTCGAAAAGCCCTTCGATAGTGTTGACGATGAAGTAATTTGGAAACTACTTTAACACTGTCGAGTGCCTTAAATCGTTCTCAACAATGTCATACGTCAGGTGACCAACAACGGAAAACTCAGCGAGGCGTTTGAAGTTAACACAGGAGAGTAAAACAAGTCTGCCTATCATTGCTGATCGTATTCGTAACTCTGGTGGGCTGGATTATGAGGAAGACCAAGCTTCGAGGTTGAGAAGCTGGCTGGATGGATTCAACATAGAACTTGGCACCGAAGTGCAGCAGTTCGAGTTGCCACCTTCCAAATAGCACACAAAGGTAGACAAGAAAATGAGTGAAGAGAATCAATGGAGTTTTGACAAGTATAAGAGTGAAACAGAATGAGTAATGGTAGAAAAGAATATGAAAGATTACAGAGACTGAATACATCTGCACCATTGACAACGATTTTGAGCCATGTCACCTATTGTCTCGAGCCATTGATTCTTAGAGTCCCGAGGGCCCCAACCCGGAAGTCTGCATCTCCCTACCTGACTCAGTTTAACTGTCAGGGATTTCATGGATTGATTGATGCCATGTTTTTGTTTGGCCACCACTTACTCTTTTCCAACCTGCACCTACCTATATCAGCTAGTAATGCCCGTCGGGGGAGACGATGGTTAGGCATGCGCAGCACGTGACCTAGCCATCTCAATCGATGTAACTTTATAGCCTCTTCGATTGACTTTCCCTCTTTGCCTAACACTCTACGCCTAACGTCAACATTACTTACCTTATTATGCCACCTAACGTGAGAAAGAGATCGTAGACATCTATGATCAAAAACAGTCAACCTTTTCATGTCTTCAACTCGTATTGGCCATGTTTTAGAGCCATAGAGAAGGACGGAGCGAGCAGTACAGCTGAGCAGTACACACGTCCCTTGATTGATAGCCGGATGTCACGCCTACGGCAGAGATGGTGTAAGGTAGCGAAAGCAGCTTGAGCTTTTTGGATCAGTGCTGAGATTTCGTCACTAATCAATCCGTTGGTGCTGATACAACTTCCCAAATAGGTGAAGTGGTCAACATGTTCTATCACTTCACTCCCTATCACTTAGCTAGGGGTAGACGTAGTCCAGTCCTGTAGCAGCAGGAGATTGAGAAGACAGGAACACGTTTGCACCGATAAGAAGATTGGACTTCGCGGACAATTTATATCGAATTTCATATAAATTCTAAGACTTACAGGTGAAAACCAACAAGTTTGCAGAAGATGCAGGCAGCCAAGTCAGGACTTCAAATGAACTTAGAAAAGAGACGGAAGTGATCTTCATCACCTACTTTCACTTATCTAGGCAACGCTGTTTCAACTATACGCCACAGAACGGATGAACATGTCAAAACCAGCGAAAATTGGATAACACAACACAGATCTTTGTCACTCTGAAATCTATAGGAATCTCCTCCACTCAGCATAAGCAACAAAATTCGGATTTTCAGTTCTTCTTCGATACGGGTCAGAAATTTGATGAGCGCGTCATGAAAAGCATTTCGAAAAAAACTTCAGACCTTTATCAACATCTGCCCACTTTGCTGGCTCCATACTGAATACCGGATGGTCAGGAAGGATTAGTAACAAAAAGCTGTGGGGAACGAACGAACCAATAACCGCCTACTACGCAAAAAAATATGCCTAAAGAGGTGGAGATGAGTCGGATACATGTTGAGAATACCATTGAGTGATATCACACACCAGGCAATTGGTCAAGTGAAACCAGTAAGGGTGTGATGAGAGATGGTTGCTAGCCAAATTGGTTGACAGTAATTGAGGTCAATGTTAGTCATTTGAAAACAAGGTCAAGATGGACAGGCGGATACAGTTAACATATAGATGAACTGACACAGCCACAAGAGATGCAAGGTTAACTTTGTGTGAGAAACAACCAATCAACAGACTGTATTTTCTACTAACATTAACCTTCAATAATGTACATCAAAATCTATAAATACGTGTTGATTTTCCGTAATAAACGTTCTGTTGCCTGGCCCTTGTCTTCTATTATTACAAGGGGAACGACGAGTTGGGTGTGTGTCTGACGATGACATGGATGAGATCATATCAGGAGAAGATGAGAGCTCATGGCTAATTGTAAAGTGGACTGAAGAGAACAGATTTAATTGTTCCACTCAGAACCCAGTCTGTCTGTCTGTCTGTTTTCAACTTTGTACCGATGTGCAGCAGTTTGAGCTGACACACTCCCTCCTTATAGCACACAAAGCAAGAGAATAAAGTAGGAGATATGCAAAATAGAGACAGTAGACAGGGACATGAGACAAAAGGAATAGTAATAACGAAGAATAATTAGTTTCATTGGGTGGATGCATCTGCGCCATTGATAACGATTTTGAGTCATATCACCAATATTCTTCAGTCTTGATTGGTTTTTACCGTCCCGAGGACCCCTATCAGTCAGGAAGTCTACACCTTCCTACGTGACTGGCTGGATTAAACTAACTGTTGTGGATTTCATTGACTGATGAAGCCATGCTTTGGTTTGACCACCACTGGCTCTTTTCCAACCTGACCCATCCTATGTCAACTAACATTGCCAGTCGGTCGAGGAAGGCGATACGCTAGGTATGCATGCGTAACACATGTCCTAACCATCTTAGTCAATGTAAATTCACAGCCTCGTCTATTGATTCCCCCTCTTTACGTAGCACTCGACCAAAGCCTAACCTCGATATTACTCACCCTATTATACCATTTCACATGGGCGATAGAATGCAGTGGGATAGTAATGAGTATACGATGAATGCCTATTTAATTTTATCGCGCACAGATTTATGCCAATAAGTTACGAATGAAAAGATTTAGTTAATACTAATATTTTCTTCCAACTATTTCTGAACTTCACGGTCATCGCAGAGATGAGATTGTAGAACCTGATTGGAATAATAGTTCGATGCGTGTTCTGTTCACTAAGATACAGAACTATCAATATAAACCACTTGACTTCATACAGAAAATCATCTTCAAATGAATTAGAAATAAAATACAAGAAAATATACGGTAGTGTATACTGCGACACGAATTCTTTTAACTTTCGTCTTCTGTTTTTTTACCGTTAACTATAAATTCGTAACTTTTTAAGGTCACATTGAATGAATGATTCTGCATAGACACATACATCCTGGTATTTTTTTCAGTTAACCTTGATTATCATTAGTTGAATTGATAACAAGCCCCCCTCCCTTGGAGAGTATCGCTCTTTTTTCAAAGTTTATTTCAAACTTCCAACTGTTAAGGGCGGAAATTTATTACTTTACTAGACAATAAATTTGTAAAACTAATTCATTTCCCATATATTTATTCCCCTTATGAATTTGAATAAAGCAGCATCAGCAACAGCGGTTTTGTACAGAATAAAGTGGTACCATCATGGTTTATTTCGTTGCCTTCTCATCAGCTGCTTACAGGCCAAAGTCATTATTAAGTATATCTACAGAAACAATTTTAACATACTTGCACAGAGTTCAATTTTAAACAAAAATCAGTCAATATATGCGTACAATATATATATATATATGCAATATTAAACACCATTCCGAACAATAATGGTCATGCACAATGGAAACTTTCGGCATTACGTAATCAGATGAAAGAGAGATGAAAATATCCAGTTCCGAGGCAGGGCAATGAAAGACTGATAACTGTTTCTTTGTGAGTGCGTAAATCGGGTTTCAGTCGCTTGATGGAGATTGCTTCGGCAAACTTGAGGAGAATTGAACTCTTTTGCTTATTGATAATTTTGAACGATTTTGCGACGTCCACCTCATGATCCATGCCAATGAGATGCTTGGCGATGGCACTGTTTGAAGCATTTGTTCCCTTTAGACATAAGCTTTTTGGTACATTTTCAGGAAATCGTAGATATGCCCTTCTTTCGGTTCTTCCAATGTAGCTGCTCCCGCAGATACATGTAAATTTGCATATACAGTTGGAGTTAACATGAGAAGCATATCTATCGATTTTTGATTGCACGAAAGAGAAAGTTGTTCCATAGACGGGAACGATCTTAGCTGCAGGATAGGCTATGGCTAGTGACGTACTTAGTCTCTCTTTCATCTGAATACGTAATGCCAGAAGTTTCCATTGTGTATGATCATTCTTCTTCAGAATAGTGTTTAATATTGCATATATATATATATTGTATGCATATATTGATTGATTTTTGTTTAAAAATGAACTCTGTGCAAGTATATTAAAATCGTTTCTGTAGGTATACTTAATAATGACTTTGGCCTGTAAGCAGCTGATGAGAAGGCAACGAAATAAACAATGATGGTACCACTTTATTCTGTACAAAACCACTGTTGTTCTTGCTTTTTTCTAATTCATTTCTGTAAGTATCATGACTAAATTAAGCAATTTTGATGGTTAATCCAATTCTAAATTATTTTCAAATGTTCAGTGTAAAAAGCTTCATTGAATTCAAAATGACATTTACAGTGATGTCTGACTGTCCTTACTGCAATTATTTGTGATTGGTACAAGTGAATCAGGGCTGTGCATACTTTTTTTGTTGTACGCAAATATTTCGCTTGAATTCATGAGTGACCACGACCTTCATGAAGAAAATGCGTCAAGTTGAATTAGCTTGAATTCTATAGATGATCTTAAGATTATGGTCGGCGTCGGTGGAATGATATAAGTTGACCAAGGATTCTAGAATGGGGCTTCGTGTACCCTTTTTTCCTCTTTCGTAAAAGCATGCTGGAATATTCTCTTGTAACCGTGTGGAAGTTATTCTCTGGCTACGGCCTATGTTTCTCGCTCTACATTAACAGGTGAACTGATAGACGAACATGAAGGTGGTGGGGCGACGGAGCCTACTTTTTTACAGAAACAGAGAACATCTTATGACTAGCTATGGTCGACTGGAGTTTTACAGCAAAGGACGTTTTACTGACTGATTAGTAAAGATGATTTTTGAGCCTATCTAAAACTTGGCCACTTTTGAATTCCAGATTCATGAAGATGGTTTATTTTGGAACTGAGTCAATGACCAGTTCGTATTGCAGATCTTTCGGGGTTTTTTTTTATCAATAAATCGGTTTGGGTAATCGTTTTCTGTAAGCGTAGCTTTTAAGAAAGGAAGTTTCACATTAGCGCAGTTAGAAGTACAAATATTTCTTATCTTATGACAGAAAGAATGTGATAACTTTCTTTTCCCGAGGACATATAACATCTTCAGTGGATGGAACTTTTAAGAGTTCTGTCATTTAGTCCAGCGTGACACACATAAAGAAAATGAATATTTTGCTCTGATTCCTTTCCTAGTACACTTATAGAAAGATGTTCGGGGAGGCTTCGTGTGCTATTGGAAGTGTGTGGGCGGTTGTTACTTCCCGGCTATCCACACCGTGTAAGTTGATTGACTCTTCGCGTACCTGGAACAGAAAGAGGGTTAGTGTTGCCTAACCTCAGAGCCCAGGGGACAACTGCTAGATGCTGGCCCGTCACCCACGGCCCGTATGAACTGGTTTCTTGGATTGGTTCCGTATTAGTAAACTTACCGCCGGTTACGGACCACCGTAGGGTAAGTCGGGATGTACAATTGTTTGGGTCGACTTTTTCTAACCCCCTCTCTCCAGCAGAGTGGAGAGACAGCATAGGTGGCTGGCATGCTAGTCGTCTGAGAGAAACACCTCACTGCTGTTACATTCCTGTACCCCAGCAGCAAGACTTTGATCACAGACCCCCAGCATAGTGTAAGAAAGATTCTTACACTAAACCGGTAACTGCTTTTAATCTAATCGCTATCCTAACAACCTTCCTGGCATGATATGACCTGCAGAAACAATAGTCCCAGCCCATGTAACTTGTTGGGTCATTGCTATGTTCAAGCTCAACCACCACGTCAAGTTAGCAGCTAACAGTCAGGAGTACACTTATAGACGTAAAACAGATGCTTTTCTAATTTCCTTCCCAATCTAGAAGTTCATGATAATCCAACGTTGACTTAATTCCTAATGAAATAAACGTTGGAATTGCCTATTTCATTACCGCTAAGGATTTTTTCAAACATAACTTTTGTGTTGATTTAACTGTTACCTGGTGGTCCTCTAACATTGTCGAATTAACAAAACAACTCATAATCAAACTGCATGGAGAAATTTTTATTTTCTATATTTAAATCAAATCTTGTTTTGATTTATTTTTTTTTAAAAAAACAACAACAACTAAAGATCCTACAATGGCATGGGTTAAATTAAGTCCATTTGAGAATCAATCAAATCTGGATGGTGATCGTGTAGCTTTAGTTTCAAACCCGATTCGTCATCATTATAACAGTTGTATATCACGTTGGTTTCGTGTATTTCTACTTATGGGTTATTTATGCCTGAAATCCGCCTACACATTTGGTGTGACATTAACAGCTCTAGCTATTATAATTCGTTATATGACTAGGTAAGAATTTATTTTATTTTATGCAAAATGTTGTCCATGATATTAGATTTCTTTTTTGATTATAGCTTGATTACACATCGTATTTTTGGTTCAAGTATGGAATTTTCAGCATGTCATATCGGCCCGACCATCGGTATCAGGTGTGCGTCGGTAGGGGATCGAACTCCGGACCATATGCATGATCGGAGAGAGTCCCAACCACTGTGCCACCGACTAGAGACGATCGGTAGGAAGCCTTGCTTCACCTAGATTTCGTAGCTGTTGGCAATCATCGTCAGGGCGTATCTACAATGCTAAGGGAATTCATATCCCTTCTAAGTTTCCTATCCAGTGCTGCAGTCAGGAAGGTTACCACTGAGCTATTCGGACTCGCATTCGACCTCCATTATGACTGTAATGGATACTTTGATTTGAAACCCTAGATCATGAATCCAGTCTTTGGTGTTTTGATGCAGATTGAATTCCACCTGTCGAGTTGGCAATGTTTAAAGCTACCTCCGATTGTCTCCAACTATTTAATGCCATTTCAGAGCGTACTCTGGTCGTTAGTTTACTAGCATCGTTGGAAACATTTCAAATTTGACTGACAGAATTCTAAGTTATCAAGGTTCACAGTAATCCACAGAATAATGACAAGAAATTTTTAAAAAATACCAGTAATTATTTGATATCGAGGTTCGATCCCCAGCACTCCTGAACCTCGCTAAGCCAGTAGTAAGGCCAGTTAACAGGGTAGCTAGCAACCCGATCTCTCTCTCAAAAAAAAATAAAATAAACACCACAATTATTGAAGTTTCAAATAATAATTATTTGCCCAATAATAAGATGACATTCATTACATAGTTCAATTTCGATTTTCCCATCAATTGACTGGACCGATGTGCTCGGTCTCAGGTTGACATGTCGACTCCTTGTATAGATGCTTTGACGATGTCTGGCCATGTAACTTGAAGTCAATTGGTTGATGGTGACTAGCAGTGGAATCCAGAATGTGCATTTCGTCCTCTACAGGACTCATCATCTGAGACCGTGCACTTCGGTCCAATCAATCGACGGGAAAATCTAAACTGAATTAAATAACTAATAAAATCTGTTGCACTAGAGATGGCTGTCTTGGAGTTTGAAACTATAGGCACTGGGTTACAGCCTGGGTAGGAACGCCATCAATCACTGGAGAATGCAGATGCACCCAGTAGCTGACGAGTCCCGAATTGGATGAAATGCGCTTCCTGTATTCCACTGCTAGTCACCATCCATCAGTCGACGTGAAGATGGTATTAAGTTTAAAGAAAAGTAAATCAACATTCATTGAACAAGTGGCGAGGAGAGTAACGTAGAATGCTCAGATGCACTGGTCCACTATGGCCAACTGGAAGTCACTTAGTGTTGACATTGTAAGTGATGAACACGATTGTACAAATTTCAGTGAGATACGATGAATTTGTTTCTGAAAGTGAATGGCGATCACTTCTGATAAATAAAACAAGCAAGAAACAATAATTCGCTTGGTAAAAAAAAGTTACTTTCCAGTGAATATCTCCATATCCTTTGATATTATTATCGAATATAAATGCACGATTGTGAAGGTCTTTGTCGTTGAAATGGGTCGCTTAACTCACTATAGAGCATGATATCTGAAAATTTAACAAAGGATTCGCACAATTGTTTTCCACATCCCACCAACTTCACAGAAAAATCTGAGCTAACAAATATGCGTGAGATTTGTTGCAACGTCTGTCATCCAAGAGCGGACTGTGTTGCATCTACTTGATCACTTATTGTCTCTTCATACAATTTTAGCAGTCTCAAACTATCTACTTATAAATTTGAAAGTATTATCTGTTTTATGCTTTATTTTCTACCTTAATTTCAGTGAATCTGCAAATAAATTAAACAATTTACCTGAATGGAATAGTTTAAACGATCAGTCTGGTGGTCAACTAATGGGGACTAGTTTAACAAGACAAAAATTATTACAAGATGCTATGGATGTTCATTTAAGAAATGAATTAATCAGACAACAGACAGAAGTTAAACAACTACGTGATATCTGTGATCGTGGAGTGGAAATGATGTTTGAACAAATGAATAAAGTAAATTTCATCATCATTATTGTTTGTTTGTTTGTTATTTCTGTCTCTTTGTCACTAAAAAGTCATTCGTCATTCCCATATTGATACTGACAATTATCAGTACAAACAGTCCTCTTCACATTAAGCGTTGTAATTCCCCCGTGGCTTATTTTGTTAATTCTGATTCATCGGTTTATGTTAGTATTTTGATATCTTTATGTGGTTAACTTTATGCTGTTGTGATTTTAGTTTTATGTAGTTTGCTTGATGTTGGCTGGTAGTGGGTTACAGGGCTAGGGTTAACATCCTTTCAGGACTTCCGGCATGGCGTACCACTTCAGACACCATGAACTCTGGAGTAGCGCATTACTGTCCTGAAAATGCTGGTGGGGTAAATTAGAAAATCTTATATCAGCAGTTAACACATACTTCTCGGAATTCAACTGATTATTCATTAAGCGACCGAATAACGTCCTGGAGTTTGAGATGGCAATAGGATTACAGTAGCTTCCTTGAGTTTCGCTACATCCACTCGCTGATGCCTTTATTTAATGAAATAGGAGTTCTAACATTTACTCCTTGATAATTCACGTTCCCCTCCATTTATGAAATTACTGGCTAATTCTAAACTTTAGGGATCTAAACGAACCACCGTCATAATGATCTTATAAATCCTTATCGACCCATCAGATGAATCCAAAGTATTATTATTATTATTCCCTTGGGTTCCGAGTGGTACCTAAGGCTTCAACAACACATCTGCACTTTCTTCTATTTTCTGCCGTCTTCATCAACTGACTGGCCACACAAATGCTCATAATTTCTTTTCTCTTCCTCCCCAAACAATCTTCTCCATGTCACCCTCGCACTGACTACCCACGCATCGATTCCCTTATGAGTTCCATTCGAGCAATGGCGTGCATTGAGCACGATGTCATTCGACGGCCTCCTCAACGTATGTCCGATCCATCTCCATTTTCTCCCACACATTTGTTGAGCAATTGGCTTTTGGTTGGTTGGTTGCTAATTCTTAATGGCTGGCTGGCTATTTTTTGATCAGTCTAACCTAAGCTAAATTCTAATGTTCTTATAATCTCACTACTCCTGATCCACAAGTTTCACCTATATAGTTGACTTAACTCACAGTTATTGCAAGGTATTTTGTAAATTATATTGTTTTGTTTAATTGTGTCCACTGGGTCCTTAACTAAACCTGTCTTTACTGATTCCCGGTGATACGAATATATTGATTCAGTGACTTATTACAGATAACCTCTTTCTCAATTTAACTTTAACATGGTTGATGTGTGTGTTTAATATATTCTTATTTTTCTTTCTCATATTTCTTTTTTAATTTAGCGATTAGATTCTGTATCAAGTCTAGCAGCATCTAGACGTAGTCGAGTACTCTTATCACAAGCAGTTGCTGAACTAGCAAGAGCTACGGCTACAGCATCAGCATTACAATTAGCTGAGGGTTTGATTACATTCAATGAGACAGCTGAATGGGCTATGAATCGTCTTCAGGCTGATTTAGTTGAAACTGAAAAAGCTTTAGGAAGTTCTGATTGGCTTACAGGTGATTTTTTATTTTTTTATTATTGATTATTGTAATTCTATTCACTTATTAGAATTGTCATTATCAGTTATGAATTACTTTTTGGCAAGTTTTTCATTGCATTTTGCATGAATATAATATTTTTTCCCTCCATTCCTAGAAAAGTAGTTCATACTTTCTTGAAATGATAAATGATAATGAATCTGAAATACTGAACAGTTGATCCACCCTAATTCTGGACTCCTCGTCAGCAATCACCCTCTGGGGCTCGAACCGAGGACATTCCAGTTACAAGGCAATCTCATAGACCATTCAACCACTAGGGACTGGTCCAACGACCTGTGGATTCCAATTTCTACCAATTTTGACTTTTAGTACGACTACAGCCAATGTCATAGGCAAGTATTTCTACTTACTTCCGAACTAGTGAACCCCATCAGTCACAACTTCTTACTAGAAGTTCCGGTAACGTCGTCCTGTAGCTAGTCACTCAATGGCAGGCATGGGATTAATTTTCAAGAGTTAATCTGTAGGGATTTGATTATTATCTGTGAGAGAATTGTTGAAAACTAGCTGAGAGTACTGGACAGGTGTTTCGTCCTAGTTTGGGGCTCTTCAATGGTTTCCTGACAATCTGTGATCAAACTCAAATCCCTACAAACTAATGCCTGAAAATTTGAAATGAACGGTTAATGTAAAAATGTTGTAACTGGAACTCTGATGCACGACAACAAAATACTATTGATCACTTGTCTGCCACTGGCTGTGCCACTAAGAAGGCGCAAAATGCTGAATGGCTACTTGAAGATTTTTATTCCCTATTTATATAGCTATTTAACACAACCGATAAATCAAAAGTTTAAGATTATTTTCTCCGATCAGCATAAATACGAATGAAAAACTTACTGACTTGACCTTTAATCTTCGTTAGGGTCAAATTTCTGGCTTTGAGACACGTCACTTAGGAAAATTGACTCAATTCTTGACCACCTAAATAAATAGAAAAAAAGCAGGATTTAGTGAATTCATAAATTTCGAAAGCATTCGTCAGCTGATTATTTACGTCAATGTAGTTGAATGGTCAACGTGGTTGCTTCACAACCTGCGGGTTATTGGTTCGATCGTTGATGCATACTGCTGAAGAGTCCCAAACTAATTTGGTGCAGCAGTCAAGTGTTCCTTGGCTCTCGATGATTTTCTTATTGAAGTTGGTTCATGAAAAAATTAATTTAAATTTTGATTATAACTTGACTCCACACCGTATTTTCTGGTACAAGTATGAAATTTTCAGCATGTGATATCGCTAGCCCAAATTTTGCAGGCCGACCATTAATATCAGGTGTGCGTCGGCGAGGGATCGAACCCCGGACCATTTGCATGGTCGGCGAGAGTCCTAACGGCTGTTCCACCGACGGACGGAAAGTAATCAGAATCTGTACAGACTGTAAACTGACTGTTTATATCAATTCATAAGGTTAAGGTAAACATAAACATAGTGACCAAAAATAATTATCAAGTCCATTTAATGTGTGATCAGGTCGGATCACAGGAAAAATTAAAAGGCGTTTGCAGTGTGTGATCGATAAAAATCAGCTATAATATACGAACCTAATTAAAGAGAAGTGACAATTTCCACAAAGGTACACATTAACACATATAATATGCATTTTCCATGGTGAAAATACTACGAAACTATGAATATGCAGGCCGTAGAATATTTATACGAATGCGAATCTTGAATATATGCTTATTCGCGATGTGTTACACGGTCACCATCCAATGTCATCGTCTAGTAACTGCCCTCCTACTTGACTTAGTAGATCCTACCCCGAACTAGGATGAAACACCTGTCCAGTACTCTCTGAATTTTTCAGTGGCTGTTTCAAATGATGTCAGCTTGTGATCAAAGCTGAAACCAGTCAAATCCCTACAAATCAACACTTGGCACCATATATATTCGCTTCAACAGACAGATCTAATTATGAAAAGTCAACTTGGATGGGGATAGTTCCTACTTTGTAACAGCTTCATCCCAGCTAAATGCAAAAGGAGTCTGTCCATGACATTGTTTGATAAACCAATTAGAATATTTTCATCAAGAATCCTTTGAACAACTTGAGAATCATACTCATACGTCTGGATATATGCATCTGGCCGTGCATTGAGATCAGAAACTTCCTTCTATCCAAATGGCTTACTTATAAGTAGTATAAGTTTTGTTGTAAAAGTATTAGCTATGAATATTATTATTGTTCAAATACATTTCATAGATAAATCACGGGGGCTTTCGTTTTGAACTTATGTATGTATATATACATTTATATATTCACTTGAGGAAGCTGCATTAAAGGTAATACTCAGGCTGATATTATTAAATGTATTCATAAAATACTCAAAGTTTCATAAGTAGTGAGTTATACTGTCAGTGATACTGCCATCTTTAAAATTCTATACTTGCCTTATTTGTCTTATTTATGAGTGTCATTTCGATAAACATTTTCGTGGTATTAACTAAGCTAAACACCATTCATAAAATTTTTTATTAAACCCTATTCATATCTTTCTAAGTATATGTTTTAATAATAATAATAATAATTTTAGGTGCTCGTATTATCTATTCCGAGATTGTTCGTCTGCGAGCTCTTACTCCAGATCCAAATGATCCAACACGTTCATTCTTAGCTTGGGCTAAACTGATCTCACCAGAAACTAATCTAAACAATCTACAAACACCACAACTTTCATTGCCTATAAATTTACCATCATTAGAACCAGAACAATTTGTTATACCTACACCGACAATAAAAAGAACTTCAGCAACCCACGGAACATTATCAGATATTGATGAACCAGAATATGGACCAGTTTATGTACCGTTTGTACCACAACCGATAGATATTGTAAGTTATATATATGGATACTAATTTGAAATAATTTCACTTTTCCCGTTTAACTGCAGCTAGTTGTGAAATCCAGGGATTGACTTTTGTTTTGATTACGATACAGTGGGGGGACCTACATTGAGTATATTCTCACTGAGATTGCAACTCAGCAGTCGGTGTTTCAAACATTTAAGCCAAACCCACTAAGCTCCTATATTATGAAAGCCAATTCTTGAAAAACAAATATGATTTTGATGTTATCTCTTCATATTTGAAGTTTTTCCTTCAAGGATTCTACGTAAAAAGATGAAATCAATCAGGTACATCGAGAAATAAAAATGGGCACTTTACAAATATTCAACCTTCTGCACTGATCATTATCAATATGAAGAAACTTTAAAAAGGTCAATTCTTTCACGTATTCAGGCAGCACCGTTTCAACTACAGGTGGCATGGATTTCTTTCTTTTCTTTTTAATCCTTTACGTTCCCAGTGGAACATTGGGGGATTCAAGCTAGAGCTTTGAAGTTTCGTTAGCAGTGATGTTTATTTATACAGGATGAATTTGCTAGCCTCATGATCCATCTTCCCTCTTTACCAGTAGTATTACTGGCTTAGTGAGGTAAAGGAGTGCCTCGGCCGGGAATCGAACCCAGAACCACCTGCGTGGTTGGCAAGCATCCTATCGCTGTGCCAATGACGCTTGGCTGCATGGATGATGACTTCAAAACCAAGCAGTATTACGAAGGCAAGGTAGATTTTCATCAATCTGGTGGTGGTTTTAACATCTGCTGCACACACCACGAGGAACAAAATTCTGATTTGCAACACCAATGTGAAGTCCATCAGTTCTTCTATATGGGTCAGAAACTTTGTGCATCACGAAAAGCATTTCGAACGGACTGCTGCATATGTTTATCAGCAGCTGCCTTCTCTGGCTCCATACTGAAGATCAGATTGCAGACGGGAAGTCTGGGGACGAGCCAACCAAGAACCTAATCGCTCAATAAATATACCGAAGGAAATAGAGAAGAACTGATATCGCGTGCCAGACGTTTGATCGAGTGTAACCTGAATGAAAAATGACAAGTTGGGCGTTTCTCCGAGGGTAAAATGAAGGAGATCGTGTCAGGAGGAGGTAAGAGTTCATGCGAAGTCGTGGAACCAGACATAAAGGACTCCTAAGAATAGGAGAAAATCGAGATGTGCTGTTGAAGCCTTATGTTCGACTCGGAACCTTAGGGAATAATAATAATATTATAATAAACCCTATGAAATGGACACACGGCTGTGCATTAAAATCGTCTGCATGCTTCCCATTTGTTCTTGAATCAATTGGCTAAATTCTTAAGAGACTTGATATCAGGCGGAGTCTTCTGTATAACTCTTTTATTTTGCTACTTCCGTCTTACTTTTTGTTGACCATTGCAACATTTCGATGAATAAACTGTAGATTTACTGTATTTAGCCTAAAAGTAAATACTTACTCGTTTAACCGTCTTACGCACACTTGAGTTGACAGAAAATATTTTTCCCTTATCACTTAGTTGCTCAGAGTGAGCTATTATACAGTTTAGCAAATTTTTTACAAATACGATTGGATTTTATGGTTGGCTAGTTTACAGTTATGATAAGTCAGTATAGCTGTAAATATTGACAGCCTAGATTACGAATATTTCGGAGTGAAGATAAATAATGGTTAAGAAAGTTTTCTTGTGCTAATGGAAGTTTGTCGTTGATTTCTTCTTAGGGTGGTTAAAACAGAGGGCATATTATTGTTGTCTGACCACAGAGCCCAAGGTACTACTTGAAGCTGGTTGCACACGATCTTTTTGAGCTGGGTTTTTGGAATTGTGCCTTGCCGCTGGCTACGGACCTCTACAAGATAAGTCAGGATGTACAGTTTTCGAGGCCAGCCTTTTCTAGCCCTCTCTCTCTCTCTCTCTCTAGAGAGCTGGCTTGCTGTTTATTTGAAGGAAACACCTTACTGCTTTTACTTCCGTATTTGTCAGGAGTACGACTTCAGCCTGAGATCTCCAACATAATGTAAATGATTTACACTATGACATCGGCTTGAGGTCGCTCTATGTATCACAACTCAACAGAAGTTGGAATTCATGTGTCATTGGACTGCATCTTAAGTGGTCACCTCTTAAACTGAAGGTAGGATCTTGGCTGCATTCTTCTGAAGAGCCTCAAACTAGAACGAAGCAGCTGTTCAATACTTACTCATTTTCACTGGCTCTCAGGCTTCATACCTTAAATTTATTGATGCATTAGTCAGCCACATCATCTCGAAGTAAAGACCCGTAGTTGGTAAACGGCAAAGAATTTTAGCTCTTCGGCAATAAATTCTAACTCCGTCTCCAAGTTTACAAATTCCAGATATGTTCAACAGTTCGACGACAAATCTGCATAACAAATAATCCACAACGAGAAACTCACGGAATCCTTCAAAGTGAAAACGGTAGTAAAACAAGTTGGCTACCTACTATCTCCAATGATTTTCCTGATTGCGGTAGACTGGATAATGCGACAGACAACGGGCAGCGAGAAGACAGGCATAAAATGGACCCATACAAAACACTTGGAGGATCTGGACTTCGCCGACGTCGTAAATGTCTGATTTCCCACAAACTTGAAGATACGCGAGTGGAAAGCAGTAAGTTGCAGAAGAAGCAGCCAGAGAAGACAGGACTTCAGGTGAATATTTAGAAAACAGAAGTGATGAAGATTCCTGGCCGGCCGCAACAGCAACAACAACAGACAACAATCAGCTAGCATAAATGGGAGGATTCTGAAAGAAGCCATCTCCTTTACCACCCACCTCGGAAGCATCGTCGTTTCAGCTACAGGCGAACGGAACTGATGAGAATATCATCATAGCGAGGATCGGGAAAAGAAGGCAAGCTTTCATCACTCTCAAGTGTGTGTGGAGTTCAACACCAATCATCATGAAAAATAACGTCAGGATTTTCAACTCCAGTGTGGAGTCAGTGCTATCATGTGGATCAGAGACTTGGGTGTCATGAAGAGCACTTCGAACAAACTAAAGACCTTCATCAACAGCTGTCTTCGCTCAATACTTCTCTCAAGATCAGATAGCCGGCCACAAAAGATCAGAAACAGGGTGGGACCTCTGGCAATGAGCGAACCAACCCAGCAGTAACCTATTGTGCAACAAATATGTAGGATGAAATGGAGGTGGATTGGCCATCCTCTGAGAAAACAAACCTTCATGTGAGTGACAACACACGCCAGACCATCACTCGAGTGGAAGCCGAATGGGAAGCGGGTGACATGGAGGAGGTGATGAAAAGAGGAGATGAAAGCATGCGGGCAAATGTGAAGCGAGAACCGAACTCAATGGAGACGTACGGCTGAAGCCCCTTGTTCCTCTAGGAACTAAAGCAAAACAATAATAATAAGATATGCCTATATTTTTGTGAACAAATAAGTGATTGATCTAATTGTCATCCATTATACAAAAGAACTACTGATCCGATAATTCTGGTTTTCATACTAAAAATCAGTATACAAACAAAAAGAAGATTGATAGAGAGGACGAATTATTTGCTCAACTTGTGAACATATATACATCAGTTATGCAAATATTTGTTTAATCTGTGATTCTTCAAAAATAAAAATTACAACCTTCTCTGTAAACTTTTATTGTATTCATTGTGAGACTAATCGGTTACACTGATAAACATTATCTATTTCTAAGTTGATTTCGTCAAGAGTTTGATACTAGTTGGAGGACCGTTGAATGCTAGACAGCAGTGATAAATTTTTCTGCTCATTTTGATATTCGACAACACAATAAGAAGACGTAGTTTACCTGAAACGTGTAATGTGTATTTGAGCAACACATTTCGGACATTCTGATCACACACACACGTACTTGTCATACACAGTTTTTGTAGAAGGCAAGAAGGCATGAATAATAACAATACAGGTCAGATTGTGTACAGGTTAAGGTCACAAATAGTGGGTAGGGAGATGACGCAGAGGTGTGGGTAAGGAAGAGAAAAGGAGAAAAAACAAGGCAAAGAAGGGGTTGAAAATATTATGAAGTAAATTGGTCCTTGGTTCTAAATTGGATTACCAAGGCAGGCTTAAGGTGATAACAAATAACTTTTGGACACATAAGACAGGTTTAAGTCTTTTTATGGCTAAGGCTTCAATGAATTTAAGTATGTGGCCCAACCTTGTTTTATATAATGGCTTAAAGGCATTGTTGAAATCAACCGTATGATCGGTCTCTATAATATGCTTCGCTGAAACAACAAATAAAATCACCAGACACAATTGAACCCGGAAATAGATGTCCCACATCATCTATAGCGAAGCACATTATAGAGACGGATCATAAGGTTGATTTCAACAATGCCTTTAAGCCCACATATAAAACAAGGTTGGGCCACATACTTAAATTCATTGAAGCCTTAGCCATAAAAAGACTTAAACCTGTCTTATGTGTCCAAAAGTTATTTGTTATCACCTTAAGCCTGCCTTGGTAATCCAATTTAGAACCAAGGACCAATTTACTTCATAATATTTTCAACCCCTTCTTTGCTTTGTTTTTTTCTCTTTTTAGAACAACACATTTAAGCGAGCAATATTGTTTTCAATTAGATCTCATCAGGCTTAACAGAAGTTAACAAATAAAAATTCAAATATAAACCAATCATGGTGTTTTGTCTATAGGATAATAAGACGGTGAATATAAATTGTGCAATTAGTCATAACAGTAGTAATGATAATATTAATAAATATAATAAAAATAATGGTTTTATCAATGATGAGGATGAAAAGATGAGGCAATCTGTGATAAGTATTGGTTTTGTAGGGATTATTTTTTGACTGCATGGAGGATTTCATCATCAGCTGACATCAGTTAGAGAACCACTGGAAAACCTGGGAATACTGGACAGCTGTTTCATCCTAGTTTAGGACTCTTCATCAGTACGCGCCCACCGAGATTTGAAACCAGAACCTTCTGGTTACAAGGCGAGCTCGTAGACCATTGAGCCACAGTAATAACAGCAATAATAATATTAACGATTCTATCAATAATAAGATTGAAAAAGTGAGGCGATCTGTGATAACACGAATAATGAAAAACAGCATGATCAAACAAACAAATGTTCAGATAGACATAGAAGTTGATGAAGGTTAAGAAAAACAAATGAACCGATTAAGTAATGCTAGATTGTAGGGGAAGTAAATAAAATATGTTTTTAATGAAGATGTGATACGATTAAGGGATGATAAGAGACGGGTTGAAAATATAAGTAAGGGGTGGTGTAGAAGTCATTAGTTGGTTATGTTGGTCTTTTTATCTTCCTTACCCACACCTTTGCGTCTCCCTACCCATTATTTGTGACCTTGACCTGTACACAATCTGACGCTGATTGTAATTATTCATGCTTTCTTGCCTTCTACAAAAACTGTGTATGACAAGTACGTGTGTGTGTGTGTGTGATCAGAATGTCCGAAATGTGTTGCTCAAATACACATTACACGTTTCAGATAAATTACGTCTTATTATTGTGTTGTCGAAATTCATAAAGGGAACTAATTGCTTTACATTTTGATATTTATCGACAATAGACATCTTGTGAGGTTGGCAGGTGGTGACGTTAAACTGTGAACTAACTGAAGTTAGAATTTAAGAGTCAGTAAATTCCAAATCATCGGCCTCAAGGGTTCTGTGCTAATCATGACGGTCCTGCAGAGTCTCTCCTTTATGGGATTGGAGCTGCACACTCTTGAATTATCTCACAAAAGAGAGAAAATATGCTGTCTAGTTCTCAATAGTTTACAGTGTTTCTCTAACTTTATATTGGTTCCTTACAGTTGTACCTTAAATCCACTGCTGTCATCACAATGTCCACTTATTTATTTGCTTGATTTGTTTTCATTTTTTTTCCCTGTTTAGGAGACAAGCGGAGAATTCTGGTCACCCAATAGTGTTGAAAACTCATTAAATAATCTAGATGAAGCTGGTGAATTCTTGGATAAATCGACCAATAATGATATGAATTCACAAGAGACGACATCTTCGAATGGAACACACGCTAATAATAATAATAATTTAAATGGGTATGGTGATACTGACGGGGATTCAACTACATCAAACAGTGAAGACAACTGGATATTTTCAAATTTTGATTTAGGCTGGGTACATGTTTTAGGCGCTGCATTATTTTTAGATGCTTTGTGGCTTATACATCGTGTACTGCATACTGTAGATACTGCTGAACGTATTCTATACGGTGATGTTGTATTTATCGATTTAACTGAAGAAGGTAGACACTTTTTTTTAAATTTTACCTAATTATTTCAAACTGATAAACTTTTTAAACTGGTTTATAAAGTGATGGTTATTGGATAGATTTCCTGAGGTTGCAGTAAGAATTCGTGACCAGTTTAGTCTGCTATGTCTTGGTGAAGTGAATGCTCATTGAAGGCATTGTTGGTGAGGGTAACCCAGATGCCCCAAGTGGCTGAGTGGTCAACAAATTTGGTCTCGTAAGTTGAAAGCACCAGATTCTATCCTTGGCGGGGCAGTGGGTGTGAACTTCCGAAGAGTCCCAGAAGGGGATGAAACAACTGTCCAGTGTTCCTTGGTTTTCAATGATCTCTCGCGATGAAAATGTTACAGTTGAAATTAACCCGAATCCCCTACAAATCCTGTAATCTGAATTATATCGATTTATTATTTACAAGAGAGGATAGCATTTGAAGCATGGCTTCAACCACGGGCAAACATCACGGATGAAGATGTCCAGGAGGGCTTGAATCGGAAAGGCAAAATACGCATGCCTTCATCAACCTGAAACCAGCTTAGATATCCTCTGCAGTCCGTGGCATAAAGAAGAATTTTCTGAGTTTCAAACACAAATATGAAGTCAGTCAGTAAATTAGTGCTTCTATACGGGTCAGAAACTTGACCAGTATGTCACGAAAAGCATTTCCAACAACTTACAGACTTTTATCAACAGCTGCCTTCGCTGGTTCCATAGTGAAGATCAAATAGGCAGCCAGCTGCCTAGAAAGAATCAGCAACAAGTAACTCTGTCTGGCTGGGAACAAACCAACCAAGAGGCGATCGCTCAAAAAATATGTAGGAGAAAATGGAGATGGACTGATCGGGCATACGCCACTGAGGAGGTCGTCGAATGACATCCCATGCAATGCAGGCCGTCACTCGAGTGGAATCTGAATGAGAAACGACGAGTGGGTCGTTCGAGGTGGAGATGAGAGATTATGGTCATTCGTGTGGCTAGCGGGCTGAAGAGGACAGCAGAAAATAGAAGAAGCTGGAGATATGTTATTGAAGCCGTATGTTTCAGTTGGAACACAAGGATATAAGAATAATACGATGTAACCAGACTGATACCTGTTTACGACAAGTGAAGCTTTTACCACCAAAAAGGCATAAGAAGACAGAACAAGTGACCATCAAATACATATTTTATATAGATCATGTCTAGTGAATAAATTATCATGCATATAAGATAGATATAACAGAGATAATATAACAACTATAAAAGTTATTTATCGAATTGTGCGTATCTGCATAAAACTATATACTACTGAATGACTGAGATGAGTAGTTGCACACCACTCACAACAACCATTAATGCTTGCTAACCAACCAGACTGATGTGATCTAAATACCGAAAGGTTGTTTCACTCCTTCAAGGCTGAGCTCATCAACTGAGTACCGCAGATTGCTAAGTAATCAGTAAATTATGAATTTGACTTTTGGTAGCACAAATTCCGGTGGTTTGAACTGTGATACAATACACAGTCAATGAATTCTCATCATCATACCTGGAGTTCTACATGTGACACGTTGGTTAACATATTCAAAGCCGATTTTCCTGATGCATCCCTTTATTTACACGCCTACCATGAAAGTTACTTGTCAAGGAGGAACAAACAACCTGCCGATTTTTATAGTTCAACATGTTTCTTTTCAAAATATTCCTTCGATTTTCGGTGTTTTTTTAAAAGATTTTTTGATGGTTGGAGGCAATTAGAAGCTTTGCTTGTCCTAGATTTCGTGCTTTTTGGCACTCACCAGTCCTAAAGGTGTATCTGTAATCTTTAAGGAACAACTCAAGTCCCTTTTGAGATTCGAATACGTGTCATCCAGTGCTGCAGTCAGAGGCGTGATCACTGAGCTGCTATTCGGACTTGTGACTCACCTAGATCCAAGGCTTCCTGCTGATTGCCTCTTACCATCTAATAACAATAATTCAGAATGCACCATGACGGTGAGCCACCCAGCATGCAGGTCACATTGTAAACCTGACTGATAGAATTCAGTCTACACCAATGCCGAGGACTAGACGCATGATACTAGTTACCACTTGTCTGTCTGTCTGGATTCAACATAGAACTTGGCACCGAAGTGCAACAGTTCGAGTTGCCACGTTCCAAATTACACACAAAGGTAGACAAGAAAATGAGCGATGAAGAGAATCAATAGAGTTTTGACAAGTATAAGAGTGACACAGAATGAGTAATGGTAGAAAGGAGTATGAAAGATTACAGAGACTGAATACATCTGCGTAAGCCATTGACAACGATTTTGAGCCATGTCACCTATTGTCTCCAGCCATTGATTCTTAGAGTCCCGAGGGCCCCAACCCGGAAGTCTGCATCTCCCTCCCTACCTGCCTCAGTTTAACTGTCAAAGAAGGATTTCATGGATTGATGAGGCCATGTTTTTGTTTGGCCACCACTTACTCTTTCCCAACCAACCTGCACCTATATCACCTAGTAATGCCCGTCCGTTGGGGGAGGCGATGGTTAGGCGTGCGCAGCACGTCACCTAGCCATCTCAATCTGTGTAACTTTATAGCCTCTTCGATTGATTTTCCCTCTTTGCCCAACACTCTACGCCTAACGTCAACATTACTTACCTTATTATACCACGTAACGCGAGAAAGAGATCCTAGACATCTATGACCAAAAACAGTCAACCTTTTCATGTCTTCAACTCGTATTGGCCATGTTTCAGAGCCATAGAGAAGGACGGATCGAACTGCTGAGCAGTACACACGTCCCTTGGTTGATAGCCGGATGTCATGCCTACGCCAGAGACGGTGTAAGTTAGCGAAAGCAGCCCGAGCTTTCTGGATCCGTGCTGAGATTTCGTCACCAATCAATCCGTTGGTGCTGATACAACTTCCCAAATAGGTGAAGTGGTCAACATGTTCTATCACTTCACTCCCTATCACTAAGCTAGGGGTAGACGTAGTCCAGTCCTGTAGCAGCATCTTACATTTTACGGGGGCAAATCGCATGCCAAACATACGAAGATTGCTGCTCAAGGTGTTCAGAAGAGTCTGCATTTTGTCAGCGTCCTCCCCTAACAGGAATATGTCGTCTGCGTATTCTAAGTCTATAAGACTATTTCCTGGTAACAAGTCAATTCCTAAGTCGTTACGTTCGGTTAAGGATACTTCCATTAGCATATCTATGATGAAGTGTTCAATCAAAGTATTTTTAGATCGATAGAGCCTAGTTGATTAGTAAATTCACAGGATTTATAACAACTAAAACGTTTAGGCAGTAATACTAGGTCTTCATAACAACAACAGACAACAATCAGCATAAGTGGAAGGGACCTGAAAGAAACAACCTCTTTTACCTACCTGGGAAGCATCGTTTCAACTACAGGCGGACGGAACTGACGAGGATATCAAAGCAAGAATCGGGAAAGCAAGACAAGCTTTCACTACTCTCAAGTCTGTGTGGAGGTCAACAGCACTCAACATCAAAAATGAGATCCGGATTTTCAACTCCAATGTGAAGTCAGTGCTACTCACTATACGGATCAGAGACTTGCACTGCGTGTCATAAAGAGCATCTCAAACAAACTACAGACCTTCATTAACTGTTGTCTTCGCTCAATACTCAAGATCAGATGGCCGACCAGAAAAGATCAGCAACAGAGAGGGATTTCTGGGAGCGAACCAACACAGCAGGAACCGATTGTGAAACAAATAGACAGGAAGAAATGGAGATGGACTGGCTGGCCATACTCTGAGGAAACCATCAAGTGACATCACTAGACAAGCCATTGCTCGTGTGGAACCGGAAAGGGAAGCGGCGAGTTGACCGTCCGAGGGCGACTTAGAGGAGTTCATGTGAAGAGGAGATGAAAGCGTGTGGGCAGACTTGGAGCCAGGTGAAAACTCTAGCAGAGAACCGAACGCAGTGGAGACGCACGGCTGAAGCTCTATGTTCCTCTAGAAATTGAAGGAAACAATAATAATAATACTTGGCTTGACTGGAGTATTTTTCTTCTCTTTTTGTCTGTATATATTACAACTAAACTTGGTATATTGAACTGTTATTGTTTTTTTTTACAAATTGCCAATTTTATAGGCCTTCGACGTCGACTTGCGGAACGAAGTAAACTTCGTAAAGGTTTCAAACATGCATTTCAAATAGTGAGTAATTGAAAACAGTTATTCTAACCTTTACTATTGTAATTTGTTAAATTTAAAATATTGGTTTATACAACTGAATAAGGGGATACTAGTGGATAGGGGGAATACGTTCAATGAAGCCATAGTTTGAATAAAGCAAGAACAACAGTTTTTACAGAATCAAATGGTACCATCATTGTTTATTTCGTTGGCTTCTCATCAGCTCAGTTGCTTGCAGACCAAAGTCATTATTTAGTATATCTACAGAAACAATTTTAACATACTTGCACAGAGTTCATTTTTAAACAAAAATCAATCAATATATGCATTATATATATATATATATATATATATATATAAACACTATTCTGAACAATAATGATCATAGAAAATGGTAACTTCTGGCATTACGTAATCAGATGGAAGAGAGTGAAAATATCCAGTTGCCAGGTAGGACAAGGAAAGACTGATAACCGCTTCTTTCCGAACACATAAATCAGGTTTCAGGCACTTGATGGAGACCGCCTAGGCAAACTTAAGGAGAATTAAACTCTTTTGCGTATTGGTAATTTTGAATGACTTTTCGACGTTCACCTCATCGCCCATGTTAAGGAGATGTCTGGCGATGGAACTGTTTAAAGCATTTGCTCCATTTAGACGTAGGCTTTTTGGTACATGCTCAGAAAATCGGAGGTATGCCCTTCCTTTTGTTCTACCACTGTTAACGCAAATACATTCACCGAACTTATTGAATCCACAAATTTAAACATATCCTTCAAGAAGTGCTTCAGCATCAACTTTTCAACAAGTGCCGACGTTTCAGCTAACCAACAGTGCTATGAAATGATAGGATGATCTGGACATGTTTAGGATTATAGCCCTGAGTCAGATCTTAAACATATCTAAATTGCTGCTGCTGGATTCAACATAGAACTTGGCACCGAAGTGCAGCAGTACGAGTTGCCACGTTCCAAATAGCACACAAAGGTAGACAGGAAAATGAGAGAAGAGAATCAATAGAATTTAGATAAGTATAAGAGTGACACAGAATGAGTAATGGTAGAAAGGAATATGAAAGATTACAGAGACTGAATACATCTGCGTAAGCCATTGACAACGATTTTGAGCCATGTCACCTATTGTCTCCAGCCATTGATTCTTAGAGTCCCGAGGGCCCCAACCCGGAAGTCTGCATCTCCCTCCCTACCTGCCTCAGTTTAACTGTCAAAGAAGGATTTCATGGATTGATGAGGCCATGTTTTTGTTTGGCCACCACTTACTCTTTCCCAACCAACCTGCACCTATATCACCTAGTAATGCCCGTCCGTTGGGGGAGGCGATGGTTAGGCGTGCGCAGCACGTCACCTAGCCATCTCAATCTGTGTAACTTTATAGCCTCTTCGATTGATTTTCCCTCTTTGCCCAACACTCTACGCCTAACGTCAACATTACTTACCTTATTATACCACGTAACGCGAGAAAGAGATCCTAGACATCTATGACCAAAAACAGTCAACCTTTTCATGTCTTCAACTCGTATTGGCCATGTTTCAGAGCCATAGAGAAGGACGGATCGAACTGCTGAGCAGTACACACGTCCCTTGGTTGATAGCCGGATGTCATGCCTACGCCAGAGACGGTGTAAGTTACATACCTAAATCACAGTATCATCTCTTAGCATGATGGTTAGCGGAATTTTTAGCACCTGTGTAAGAAGGCTAATGGTCAAGCGCTTCTTCAAAGATACGTTTCAATTTGTAGGTTGAGTAAGAACAACCAAAATAAGTTTATTTACGCATGGCCAGATTATCTTTCACTACATCTAATCTCTTAGAGATGTAAAATACACATTTTAAAGAAAATAGTTTAATGAGAAAAAAAGAAGGTAGATTTGTAGCATATAATTCTGTTTCACCTAGAATTAATTATTTCACCGGTTAGACGTATAAGTGTCAAGGTTATATTCATAAGAGAGTAGGCATCTCAGAGTGAAAGTGGAATATCATATCGTCCGATCAAATGTGAAATAATAAAAATCAATATGTTCAGATAATTTGAATGGTATTTGAAGTGAAAGTTGTAATTATAATTATTTTAAACTGCTCGAAAATCAGACCACCTGTTAAAATAAACCATTATTCCAATCACCTATTATTATTATTATTATTATTATTATTATTATTATTATTATTCTATTAAGTTACAAGTGAAACACAGGGTTCCAACACTACATCTTCATTTTGTCCAGTTCTCTACAGTACCCTTTAGCTGGCTTCACAATTGTCTACAAGCATTCATCTCCTCTTCACGTGATCTCCTTCATGTCACCCTTGGACATATGCTCAACTCGTCTTTTCCCATTCGGGTTCCATTAGAGCAATGCCTTGGTGTATGATGTTACTCAACAGTCTACTCATCGTGTGTTCGATCAATCTCCATTTCCTTCGGGATATTTGTTGGGTGATAGGTCCTTGATTGGTTCACTGTACTGTGAGAGTCCCTTGTTGCTTATCTTATCTGACTGGCCATATGACCTTCAGTGTGGAGTGAAGGTAACTGCTGATGACAGTTTACACCCTGGTGGGAATGCTTTTGTTGACATACGTGTCAAGTCTCTGAACTATACAGATCCTAATCTTGTTCTTCATGCTTAGTGGACTATATTTCCACATTGGTTTAAGAATATTGAAGGTCTGTCTTGTCTTAGCGATAGCAACTGGCTTTGACATCTCCATCTATTCCGCTTGTATTTGTAAATGATGGTACCTAGATAAGTGACAGTAATGGCTTGTCTTAGATTTCTGCCGTTGTTAGTGATTGGTGCTTGTTGTTCTTGTTAGTTGTGGGGTACCTTCATCATCATCATCATCTTCTTCTTCTTTAAGTTCAGTTGAAGTCCCATCTTCTCTGCCTCTTCTGTCAGCTTGTTGGTATATTCACTTCTAAATTTTCGAATTTGTATGACATTAGACATTCAGTATCCATGATGTCTATATTTTTCTTTAGAGTATTTTAGTTGTTCCAACAGATACCCATCTTCTCATTCCTCACAGTCTGTTAAATGATGCAGTCCACCACCATCAAGGAGATCATCAGTGACTTTAGGGGGCCTTGAATGACTGACTTATTTATGTCTGCACTTCAAAGGCTTCGCTAATCTTTGTGTTGTGAGTTACTTGGTGGTACCGTCGTCTTAACTATAAATATTTTTTTTGGCTTTATTTGACCTGTACACCTCATACTGTAATACTTACTTACTGCTAAATGTTAAGTTTATTGATTTTACTGTTAACAGATTATGCAACCAAGTACAATTCGTAAACTGTGCGCCAGTGTGCTTGCTCTTCTCATTGTTACTCAAGCTTCGGCACATTTGGATCGGTTGTTATCACAGGAAATGTTGGACTATGTGGGATATTATGATAATTTGGTAAGTCTTCTTTAATTTTTTTAAGTGATTCATATTTTAAGTCAGTGCTGTCTGACAAGCAGTTGATTCGATCTTCTGCGACATCATCAACTGCTGGTACTTTAAAATGTAATAGGAAATGCTATACATACATGTCTTTCAATTTTCAATAAAGTGAATATTTAAAAGATTGTTTAATGAAGAAAGAACGTGAACAGCTAGTGATTATTATTATTGTTGTTGTTTCCTTTAGTTCCTAAAAAAACATAGGACTTCAGCTGCACGTCTCAATTGCGTTCGGTTCTCCACCAACGTTTTCACCTTGCTCCACTGACGACAAACTCGCCGCTTCTCATTCGGCTTCCACTCGAATGACGGTCTGGCGTTCGATGTCACTTGATGGTTTGTTTTCTCAGAGTATGGCCAATCCACCTAACTCCATTTCTTTCTGCATATTTGTTGCACAATTGGTTCGCTCCCAGAGATCCCACCCTGTTGTTGATCTTTTGTGGCCGGCCATCTGATCTTGAAAGAAGTAATGAGCCAAGATAGCTGTTGATGAAGGTCTGTAGTTCGTTCGAAGTGCCCTTCGTAACGCGGCACCAAGTCTCTGATCCATAAAGCTAGTAAATTATAGTATGAAAGATGTATTTGGATTCGCAGACAGAATTAAAGTTATTAATATAAATGGTAAAACCATGATATCTCTGGATGTAGCATCTCTTTTGATAGATGTTTTGTTTAATGGGCTATTCCACAAGACCCTTTAACCGACAGAGCTTGTTTCTAATTCAGTTGGTAGTTTTGAATGCCAACCGCTTTAATTCATGCAGTCTTAAGAATTCTGCGTAAGGTTTCCGAGGTTCCTTCCTAGTGTGGAATTACTAATGATGATTTAGATGCCTTATTGGTGGGGTTGTCTTGAGCATGTTTGGCACGCATGTCGTCATTAATATTACTGCTATTATTATTACTATATCTAATATATATATATATATATACATATATATATATACATATATATATATATATACATATATATATATACATATATATATATATATATAATATGGAATTACTTACTACCACTGTGCCCACGTTTTACACATATATTAGGTAGATGTTATCAAATGAATACTCTACATACATAGTTAAATGTGTATATACCATATAATAGGATGCGATAAGATGACAGTTTTAAAATCTAATGTAACAGGTGGAGGGAGAGATTGATAACGGAAGCTTTGTTCATCGAATCAATTGCAAATACGTGTAATAGGAATGATTCAATACCTGTCCAGTCGGATATCTGGAAAATTCTACTACCCCAATGACGACAAATAGGAGAGAACAAAGAAAACTGTAAAACTCAAGTTTCGAAGTCGTGCGATTATAACTGATAGGATTATGAACTATAAATTGTGTTTGAAACGTCGTCATCCAGTAAATAATACTGTTTCCCTCGCTGTGTGATATATCTAATAAACAAACTAATATGGAATTACTTACTATCACAGTGCCCAAGTTTTACACATTTACACACTCGACAGTGATTCGCAGGCTCTGTACTTCGTACCCTGTAGGACTGGTTAACTGATTGCACACTGACCACGTTTATCTTTCCGGAAGAATTTCAAAATTTTCCTTAATTTCGGTCAAACTACCCCAGCAACGTATCTTCAAGTGTTCTACTAAACTTGTAATAAAGTGATTTGGGACTGAAAACTACTGAAATGCAGACAAATTCAGACAACAAGCACCCATATCCCGTAATCAATCGCCAGTGACCATCGAGCAATATAATGTCATTATAAAATTAATAACAATGTCATTGATTTCAGTACTATAAGCCCATTGTTATTATTATTAACTATCCCGGCCGACAACTACTACCTTGCCGTGGTGGACGGGCTTGAATGCCGCAGTGACCCAACAAGCTAAACTGGCTGGGACTCATATCTCTGCAGGTCCTACCATGTCAGGAAGGTTGTTTGGATAGCGGTTAGACTAAAAGCAGTTACCATGGGGTACATGGGCTCCAGAATTCAATCAGATCAAATGGCGTACGAACCCATATGGGTCACCGGCAACCATGGGAACGCAGCTCCTGACGCTGCTCCGCTGCCTTGCGGATTAGACTCCAAGTCAAAGGCTCGGGGGTGGTCCCCTAAGAAAACCACCCGCTTCGGTCTGGGCGCCCGGGCAGTATCTCAGCCCTAACATAAGTGTGGCGCATCTTTCTTGGTGTCATATTGTATCAAGTTTTTTCTGCGTTTAAATAAATAATTAATAAATATTATTAACTATAAATAAGCAGCTGGGAATCACAACTGCCTTGATATAACAGTTTCTCTCTCTTCGGTTTCTTTTGTTGTGTGTGTGTTCTTCTCTTAAAGGTTCTACCAGTACATTTACATGCTCGTCTTGTCAATGTACATGTAACACGTTCTGCTCAACGTTTAAATCAATATGAATTAGCAAGTTTAGAATCAGAAGTAAGCCGTAGATTAAGAGAGACACAATTTCTACTGCATCAATGGACACTTTGGTTAAATGATATTGAACAAGAACAGTGTCGTTTACTACTTGCATATAAGGTAAGCGAAAATATCGCATTACTGTTACCATTTTTTATTCGTATTATTCATTCCCTACATTTCGAATCGACTACAGGCCTTCAGTGACGTATATCTATACTGCATTTAATTCCCTGTCACCACTGTTAAATGAGCTTTACAAACACCCGAATATACTGAAAGTTGTAATGAACAACAAGGGTTATTGTAGGCATATTTTAAGTAGAGGAAACACCAAAAATGCCAGGGAATTCCTGGAGGCCTGGGACTCAAGTGAATCATCCAGAGATAAACATATTATTACAGACCAAATTTGTCAGCAAATTTCCAAAATTTGCCGTTAATATTCCTAATTGTTATAGACTGGATTATGCAGCAGACTATGCATAGAGAGTAAAAAGACAGGAATACGCTGCACCACTGATTAGAAGACTCTAGAAGATCTGCATTTCGCGCGTTGTTGATTGGTGTCTAATGTCAGACAAACTCGTAGACTTGCAGGTGACAAGCAACAGACTGGCTGAAGTGGCGGGCAGTGAAAACAGGACTCCAGGTGAACATAGAGAAGGTGGGGATGGAGGTGATGAAGATAATCAACAAACAGCCACCGCTACAACAACCAGCACCAATCACCATCAACGAGAAAGACTTGAATGAGGTTACTTCCTTCACTTATTTAGCCAGGAAGCACGGTTTCAATCACATGCAGTCGAAGTGGATGAAGACGTTGAAGCTGGTCAGAATCGGAAGGACAAAATGCGCACGCCTTCATAAACCTGAGACCAATTTGGAAATCCTCAGAATAAAGAAGCAGATTCGGATTTCCAACGCAAATGTGAAGTTAGTTAGTCAGTTAGAGCTTCTATACGGGTGAGAAACCTGTACTACATGTCACGAAAAGCATTTTCAACAAGTTCCAGACCTTTATCAACAGCTGCCTTCTCTGGCTCCACAATGAAGATGGAAATGAAATGGAAAGCCAGCTGCCTAGAAAGAATCAGCAATAAGAAACTCTCTCTGGCTGGAAACAAGCCAACCAAGAGGTGATTGATCAACAAATATGTATGAGAAAGTGGAGATAGATTGATCGGGCATACGCCACTGAGGAGGTCGTCGAATGATATCGCGTGCAAAACAGGCCATCGCTCGAGTGAAACCTGAATGAGGAGGAGATGAGAGATTATGGTCAATCGTGTGGCTAGTCAGCCGAAGAGGACAGCAGAAAATAGACCGATGTGGAGATGTGTTATTGAAGCCGTATGTTCCAGTCGAAGCTCAAGAAAATAATAATAATATGAATTTATCAGCTTATAAAAAGTAAATCATACGACAACAAAGTTCGAATTCTAAGTCAATAAAATTGATCAATAGAGACGTAAACTGACAAGCGATCACGACAGCGGTTGCCAGGAGATACAATTACATCATCATTCCTAGAGATTTTAAATAAGTCCACTTTATGCTAAAACCTGCATTGAAGCTGTTGTCTAGCTGGACGACGAAAGCTTCGCAGTTAAATCATCTAGCTCAGAGAGCACAACTAATTCAAGATCAACACCATCACCTGAGCTACAAATCTCCTCCATTTTTCCACACATATAAACTCAACAGTAGACGGAATCCAATTCGCTTCTGAGTTACAAAACGAACAGGGTGAATTTGTCATGATAGACTGTAGAATAAAACGAAAACAAGATGTTGGGTGGTTAGACACTAGCATTTATAGGGAAGCGATATACTCTAATAAATACTTAAACTTTAATTCATCCCATCCAGAATCGGTCAAGGAAGATAGGTTTAGTTAAATATCTGTATAATCAAGCCAACAGCCTAACTAATAAGCCAGAAGATCTAAATAACGAAATCAAAGAAATAAGGGAAATACTACTGGTGAATAACTACCCACAAAAATTTATTCAGATATATATGAAGAACCACAGAAAAGCTAAGACTAGCAATAAAAGTGACGAAAATAATGAAAATAATATAGAATTCAAAGCCTCTGTAGTACTGCCGTATAAAGAAGGAACATCAAAGACCTTACGTAAGCTTCTCAACGAGGCTGCTGGAATTAGAGTGACATTTAAGCCAATCAAATCTTTCAGAGACAAACTTTGTCAGCTTAAGCACTTAGTAGATCCAATTAGTAAAAATAGTAATAATTTACCAAATGCCATGCTCCAATGACTTTGAGGTCAATTATATAGGTCAAATCAGTAGATCGGGGTCAACTAGATTATTGGATTACAAAAATTTAGCTAGACCTAGGATAATTGACCCGGCTGAGTTAAATAATGCAGAAAAAAGCTCAGCCATTGCACCACATTCACTTGCATATAATCACAAAATAGCGTGGGTGGGAAAGGGTGAAAGTATTCAAAAGGAATAAAGTTAGGTGGAGAGAGAAGTTAATCACTAAATGCTTACTGGATTTCACTATTAGCTGATATCACTTAGCGAACCATTGGAAAACTTGGGAGTACTGGACATTTGTTTTATCCTAGTTTTGGACTCCTCGGCAGTACCCATCAACGGTGTTTAAACCCAGGACCTTTCGGCTACAATGCGAGCTCGTATACCATTAAGTCACTGGGATCCGATTCTATCTGTTCTTACACCCGACGCGCCTTACCCCAATGGTAACGACTTCTTATCAGAACTCAGATAACTACCTACCGGAATAGGGCCAGTTGCTAGTAAGCATCAGACTGACCGGACGAAACAGCTGTCCAGTACTCTTTGCAGGCTTTCTGATGGTCCTCTAACCGGCGTCAGCCAATGATAAAATCCTGCAACCAATCAAATCAAATCCGTACAAATCAACACTTGAATACTAATCGTTGAATCTTTGTTTATCGATTCAACACAGCAGACACGCAATCGGAAATACGCAACTTCTATACCGGAGATATGGAAAGTGGCAACCAACAACAAGGGGAAGAGGGACATAAAGTGAGAGAGAGAGAGAGAGAAAGAAAAAATACATTCAAGACAAATTACGTAACTAAACTGGTATAATTATGAGCTCGAAACGTCATTCAATTATTATTACTGCATCATTCACTGTATGATACTTGGGAAGTACCATCAGCCCCAACGGGTTGATCTCTGACGAAATCTCAGCACGAATACAGAGGGCTAGTTTCGCATATGTCAGTTTACGCCGTCTCTGGCGTAGACGCGATATCCGACTATCGACCAAAGGGCGTGTGTACTGCTCAGCAGTCCGTTCCGTCCTCCTTTATGGCTGTGAGACCTGGCCATTGAGAGCAGAAGACATGAAAATATTAGCTGTCTTCGATCATAGGTGTCTGCGTTCTATCTCTCGCGTGAAGTGGTATAATAAGGTGAACAATATTGAGGTTAGGCATCGAGTGTTAGGTAAGGAGGGGAAATCAGTCGACGAGACTGTGAAATTACATCGATTGAGATGGTTAGGACATGTGTTACGTATGCCTAGTCATCACCTTCCTCGACGGACGGGCAATGTTAGCTGACATAGGGTCAGGCTGGAAAAGAGCTAGCGGTGGTCAAACGAAAACATGGCACCAGTCAATGAAATCTACAACAGTTAGTCTAAGCCACATAGGAAGGTGTAGACTTCCTAACTGGTTGGGGTCATCGGGACGGTAAAAACCAATGGTTGGAAACAATTGGAGATATGGCTCAAAATCGTTCTCAATGGTTAGCGCAGATGCATCCACTCCTTGTGACTCATGATTTCCAATGAAACTGTTTTGTTCTTCGTTATTACTATTCCTTTGTATCACACCTCTGTTTACTGTCTGTAATATGCATTTCTCCTACTTTCTTCTCTTGCTTCGTATGCTACATGGAGTGTGGCGACTTGAACTGCCGCACATATGTGCAAAGTTCTATGTCGAAAACCGACCGACCGTATGATATTTGAAATAAACTTATCTATTATGAAATGGCATTTTACCACAAAATGCCCAAATTCGACACTTACATTACATCCTAATATTGGTTTTATCATAAACTTTCCAAGAGAGTATTTCTGCTGTTGTTATATAATATAATTGCGTCAGTCAGTTAATCAGAGTAATACTCACCTCATAAACTAAGAGCATATGAATCTCAGACACAACAACAACTACTACTACTACTAATCCAGTTGTATACACTGGTCTGTAGTATATGAGTAACATGAATCAATCATGAAAAATAATGGACATATAATTTTCACTAGCTACAGTCGTGTTTACTTTTTGTTTTGTTTTTTTCTAGACAGAAATTTTCTTGAATGAATATCATGATATGCTTTTAGTTTATGCTTAAAATTGAAGTAGTATTGACGTCAATCATTCAAAGTGCGTATACAAATTGATATGATAAAGCAGACAACAGAAATAACTCACTTGTTTTGTTGTGTTTTGTCGTGTTAGTGGTCCGTTGACAAAAATTTGATTTTTATTGAAAAGATGCTTATTACTTTAATGTATAGTTTTATTTTCAGCTACATACGTGTTGAATGAAACCAGAACAGATGACAGGTGTGACAAGTGGTCGCATTTCGTCCTATTTGGGACTCATCAACTAGATGTACCTGCATCTCCCATTAAGAGACTCAAACGTAGTACCAATCGTCTGAAACTACAAAGTGTTATCCACTAGACCACCCGGCGTATTAGGGCCACCTGTTCTGCAGTATGCATCAGTTGTTGTTTGTTTTTACTTCAATATTGATTTTCCCGTTGATTGACTGAACCGAGATGTTCAGCGTCTGTTGACACATGTCAGATACACTAGTACGGATACTTCGACGATGTCTGAGGATTCATTTGAAATAATTTGGTGGATCCTCATTCCAGAGATATATGACAATGACACGTGTCAGGTGATCGACCCTCAATGGGAAACTCAGTGAGGCGTTTGCAGTAAGAGAAAGCTGCTTGCCTGTTATCACCGATGATATTCCTAATTGTGGTGGACTGAATTGTGCAGCAGACTGTGCATAGGGAGTGAGAAGACAGGAATACGCTGAACCACCGATTAGAAGACTCTAGAAGATCTGGATTTCGCTCGTGGACGATTGAGTTTTTAATGTCACACAAACTCGTAGACTTGCAGGTAACAAGCAACAAACTGACTGAAAAGGCAGGTAGTGAAAACAGGACTCCAGGTGAACATAGAGAAGGTGAGGATGGAGGTGATGAAGGTAACCAACCAACAGCAATAGCAACAACAGCCGTCACTAATCACCATTAATGAGAGAGATGTGAATGAGGTTACTGGCTTCACTTATTTGGCCAGGAAGCACGGTTTCAATCACAGACAGCCGAAGTGGATGAAGACTTTGAAGCTGGCCAGAATTGGAAAGACAAGATACATATGCCTTCATCAACCTGATACCAGTTTGGAAATCCCCTGCACTCAGCCTCAGAATAAAGAAGCAGATTCGGATTTTCAACACAAATGTGAAGTTAGTTAGTGCTTCTAAAAGCATCACTTAAATCATTTCGAGCAGGCTACTGCAGAGTTTTATCAACAGCTGGCTTGGCTGGTTCGGTACTGAACATCAGATGTCATACCAGAAAGGATAAGCATCAAGGAACTCTGGCTGGTTGGTAACAAACCAACCGAGAACCTATTACCCAATAAATATTCGAGAAGAAATGGAGATAAATAGGATACACCCTGAGGAGACCGTTAAGTGCTGTCACATGTTAGGTTATACCCTCGAATGAAGGTGACATGGAGGAGATCGTGTGAGTAGGAGGAGGTGATGAGAGCTTATGGACAATCGTGAAGCTAGGTAAAAAGAAGTGCAGAGAACCGGCTGAAATGAAGACATCCTGTTGAAGTCCTATGTTCCACTAGGAATAATAAATATAATATATTACTATTAAGCAACTATTGCTCACCTCAAAAGATCGATTGCTTATAGCTGAAATTGTTTTGGGCTTATACATAAAAGAGACTAAATTCCACAGTTCAGGTTGATTGCCTTTCTTGTGTGCTTTATTAAAAAAACACAGACATGGTATTGATACAAATTAAAGTGAGAGTGATTTTCTATTTCGGTAAACTATATTTGATTGTGTTGTTTGTTTGTTGGTTTCTTACCTATATGATATTTACACAAATTTCACACACTTCCTTGAATAATTTGTTTTTTCTTAATTATTTGGCATACTTTTAAAAAATTATTGTTTTCTATGCATATTTGTAAACTAAAGAGAATTCACAGTTGAATTACAAACAGTCTGATATACTACAGTGGTTTAGCTTTGATTACCAATTGATACCAGTTAGAGAAACATTGATGAAATTAGCTGGGAGTACTGGACAGTTGTTTGATCCTAGTTTAAGACTCTTCAGCAGTACCCACCCGGCCGAGGTTTGAACTCAGAACTTATCGGTTACAAGGCGAACTCGTATACCATTCAGCCCTTGTGGGACCTGATCCAATGACCAGTTCATGAATTCAAACTTCTACCAATTTGTGATTTTAGTGTGAACATTAGCCAATGTCATCGGCGAGCATTTGTCGTCACTGCTGATATGAGGAAGCCCACTGATTATGACTTCAAACTAGAACTCCTTAGAACTTCGTCCTATAACGAGTCACTAGCGAGTATCAGATTCTGTAACTAATATCAACCCGTGATCAGATTTCAAACAAATCTTATCCCTACAAATTAACTCTTGAAAATTAATTCGGTGGCTGCTAGTGGGTGACTGACTTCAGGACAAAGGTACCTTGACTTCTAGCGAGAAGTCGTCACCATTAGACTCCACCAAATCGAGTATGAGGACGAATACTCGCAAATGACGTTGGCTGATGTTCGCACCAAAGTCACAAATTGGTAGAAGTTGAAATTCATGAACTGGCCATTGGATCAGGTCCCACAAGTGCTGAATGGTCCAGTACTCGCAGCTGGTTTCCCAGTGATTCTCTAATTGTTATCTATCCGTGACCAAACTTGAAACAAATCAAACCCTTACGAATAAACTCTTGAATATAACAGTGTGTTTGGTTTTACGCAAACTTGTAAACAGACATCGATTGAAGCTTCAGTCATTTGCTCTACTTCAAGTTTTGGAATTTCACAGCTGTTCATCGATGCTTCTGTGGATGATTAACTGTGTCAGTGTAGTGTGCCACTTACACCTCCATATTATTATTATTATTGTTCCCTTGGGTTCCTAGTGGAACAAAGAGCTTCAACTGCACGCCTCCACTTGTTTCTGTCTTCTGCTGTACTTTTCACCTGCATCCATTTCAATCCATACTGTTTCAGTTCCTCATCACACGATCTCCTCCATGTCACCCTTGGACGTCCCACTCGCCGCTTCCCTTTCGGGTTCCACTCGAGCACTGGCCTGACACGCGATGTCACCCAGTGGCCTCCTCAGTGAGTGTCCGATCCATCTCCACTTTCTCCTGCATATTTGCTGGGCGATTGGTTCTTGTTTTGTTTGTTCCCATAGTTTTTTGTTGGTGATTCTTTCCGGCCATCTGATCTTCAGTATAGTGTCCAGTAGGCTTCGTCTCCACTTCCTTGAGATTGAAATGAAGTCTATCTGGTTTTTGGTGTGTCCATCTGGTGAAATCCTTGTCACCTTGTGTATATCCTTATGTTTGAACACACTGCCGCCAATCACCAAATCATTGAAGGCGCAGAATTCTGAGAAGAGTTCACCGTTGTCGTTCATTTCACCGAGGGCCTCACGACCCATGGTGAGTTCTCTTCCTGTATTGTCTCCTCCCAGTTTCGCGCTCATATCACCCATCAGAAGTCTTTGCAGAAGTCTGAAGACTGTCAGTAGGGTGGTGAGTGCTAGCATCCCATTGGGCCATATTGTTAACATCGTCATTGATAGGCACGTGATTTTATGCAACGAATTTGCTAAAGGGATTTTGTCAGACTGTCAGCATCCACTTTACCCGCGGCTTTCACATTGGGCCTCCTCAGGCAAAACAAGAAGTCATTTCAAAAGATTTTACTCGCGCACGTCTAAGTATAAAAATAATTCCATGATACCCTTTTTAGAACGCATTATATGCGATGAAAATAGTGTCAGTCACAAACTAACTGAGTGACCTTTTTTCCAGTAGTAAATACACAGTTTTCTCCATCCTTATACCAACAAGTTTAACTGTTATTAACCGTAGTGTATTTATAGTACTATCATTTTTTTTCATGACTGTAAACATCATTTAAGCTGTGTAATAATAATTATTTTTCCTGTTTTCCCTTCACCATGCTATATCAAGAGAACAGTTGATTCAGTACTCTGTGACACAGTAAAATTTCCATACTGTATCGACAATATTGTTTGAAACAAACCCACTGTTATTATTATTATTATAGTTATTATTCTCATTTTATACTTGGATATTTCTGACATGATTCCTACTGTAAATGCGGAGGCGCTCCTGTGGTTAATTTTAATTATATTTTGAGTAAATTAGATGCAATATTGTGACGAATGCTGAAAATTCCATGCTGCATTATAAGTAATGTTTTTGGAACAAAGCAGATCACTATTACTATTATTATTTCTCAGTAAGATGCTTATTTCATCTGACTGTATCACTACCTATCACTTCCAAGTCTGACTGCTCCAAACTTAATAGCTTTCTGTTGGACATCAGCAAGTGGTCTAAGTCAAATGGTCTTATGTTAAATCCTTCCAAATTTCAGGCAGTTAACTTTACTTTCAAGCATCAATGTGACATACATGAACTAGTTAGTTCCCATGATGCTTGCAGCAGAGATGGCACTGAAATTGAAACCAAGTCAAGCATTAAATACCTCGGATTAGTTCTTTCCTCTGACCTTTCATGGTCATCCCACATTTTATTGATCTCTAAGAAAATGTTTTGTCTTACCTCCCTGCACCCCCTTTATTCACATCTATCCCCTTGCATCTCATTAGGTAGGACGAGAAGTCAATATAAGGAGTTATATACTCGCACCACTAAGTACAAAAATTCTACAATACCCTATTTAGCCCGTATTTTATGTGATAGTGACACTGTTAGACGTGAAACATATAAGTTACTATGTAATAAGCAAAGTGAATCGACCCTTTTACTGTTCATCTTTCTGTAATTTTACGGTATCACCCTTTCTATCGTTTAATTATGACTTAGCTATTTTATTTTAGTTGTTATTACTATTTTTACTACAATTTTATACTTTATGCATATTTTTCTCCTTATCGCATACTGTAAATACTACATAGCTGCTATAACAACGTTTTGCTATCATTATTACTATTATTATGTAATGTTTATTTTTTTGTCGTTTTGAGTAAATTAGATGGAATATTGTACTGTATGCTGAAAATTCCTTGCTGTATCATTGGTACTATTTTTGGAATAAAGCAAAAATTATTATTAATATTAGACATTTTCTCATCATATAAAATACATCCCATATAAGGTATCGTAGAGGTTTTGTACTTAGTCATCTGAGGATAAAGTCTTCTATAGGGTTGCTTTTATTTCCACCTGCAGAGATACAAGAGTAGCGTTGTGTGTGTGTGTGTGTGTGTATAAAGAGGATACTCACAGTCCGACAAGATGATATTCACCAATTTCTTTTACATAAATTCAAGTATCTGTCCATAGCAGTAATAACTAGTTGGTTTTGATGACATTCTTACTTCCCTTGTTGCGCGTCGGTGGCACAGCGGTGGTTCAGGGTTCGATTCCCAGTCGCCGAGGCACTCCTTTACCTCTCTAAGCCAGTAATAAACCTGGTAAAAGAGGGGAAGCAACCCCATCCTGTAAAAATAAACACCAGTGCTGCTGAAACTGTAAGCCTCTAGCTTGAATTCCGCTAAGTTCCGCTGGGAGCGTAAAGGAATGAGATAATAATAAATACTCGCTTTATTACTTGATATAATGCTAATTATTATGAAGATTCAACTCAAGCATTTTATTCTTCTATTCTCTCTTTTTTCTTTTTATTGATTTATTTTGATAGGCTGCTGCTCAAAATTTACGTACAAAAATGTTAGCACAGTTAAACCGTAATTCAGCATTGGCTAAATTAAATTTACCTATTCATATGATAAATAAGGAACAACAACAACAACAGCAGCAAAGATCAACCTCAGATTGGAAGTCTTCTTCTTCTAAATCGTCATCATCAACTTCTTCATCTGCATCATCTTCGTTTACTGTGAATAATATTGCTGATGCTGTTGTACCAAAACACTGTCGAATGACACAGTCTGAACGAGATATAGAAATGGCTGAAGCACGTCGATTAGACATTCCCTATTGTCCATTGAAACCGATTGTTCCAAGACTATTTAAAGAGTATGTTACTGCTAAAATGTTTTCTTTTTTTCTTCTTTTTTTGTGAAAGTTATACTCTTCAGTGGCACAGTGGTTAGGACTCACGCCGACCATGCACATAGTCCGGGGTTCGATCCCCTGTCGGCGCATACCTGTTATCAATCGTTGGCCTACAAAATTTGGGCTACCGATATCACATGCTGAAAATTCCATACTTGATTCAAAAATACTATGTGGAGTCAAGCTATAATCCAAAAAACTTTTTTTTAATATCATGCATAGTTGAAAGCATTCGTTAATGGGCAAAGTTCTACAATAGAGTCCCAAGGGATGCGAACGCACGAGTGACCTTGAGCCGACCAATCAGGAAAAATGACGATTTATGAGTAAAATTTTACGTATAATTACATAAAAAAGCATAAAAAACATTAAACGGGGTATTTTTCTCTAATATGAGATAAAAATGTCTCCCAATTTTGTAGAGGGGTTTCAGTTTTTAAATTGAACCAATTTCTGTACATGTATTCATCTAAGTGACTGAAAACAACTTCGTTTTGAGATCCGTTGATCGCTCTGATTCTATTTTTCAGTCTTACCCAGAAGCCTTCTGTTGAATTGGTATGAGTACCGGTCCTGGGGTCGACGAAGTCATCGGAATGGTTGACTCGATGATGTATATAACCCAGTTGCGATTATCGGTTGTATCCTGCCCATTCATCTGTATGTATGGTGGTGCCTGGTAAGACGAGACACTGAATAATAGGGAGGAGTGCATCAGCACTCCTATCTGGAATCAGCTCGATAAACCCCTTTGTACATCTGAATACATATCCATCAGTGACCTGAGTATACGACTGGAGGTCCATGGAAGCACCACAACCGCATATCCGAGTACATCCTATCAATCCATTATCTAGGCAGTACTGGAAAATGTGATCTGGATGGAATTTGCATCTGAGCTCATGAACAGGGTTCATTTTAGCGCTAGAATAATGGTAAGCTTCCTCAACCAGTGACTAGCATGCGTTCAGGGTCATTGGAACATTTACAATCCTGGGACTCTATTCTTGTACTTCGCCCGTTAATGGGTTAAAAACTAAAATAAGGTTGAATAAGCAAATTGAGTGACGTAACCTAATTGATGGAGCTCAGTTAAAGTCAAAATTTAACAAAAGTCAAGTTAATAACAGTAGTAATAAGGGGTAGAGATTTAATATGGGTTAGGGGGTGGGGGGAATATTATACAGTTAAGCAACGTGTACAAATGTTCTAAGGAGAAAAAAAAGACACGACAAGGAATGGCTCTCAACGGATACCTGGAAGCTAATTGAGGAGAGAAGAATGGTGAAAGGAAAGATGATGACTCAATGCAAAGATGGGTAACAGAAGGAGAAGCTGAGTTCAATGTACACTGCAATGAATTAAGAAGTGAAGAAGAGTGTTAGCAAAAATGACAAAAGACAATTCCACAACACACTGGCTGGCAACTGAAGCAGAACAAGCTGCAGAAAAAGGAGATCTCAGGACGTCATATCAAATAACCAGGTCTCTATCCGGAAAAAGATCAACCCAGATGATGAAACCAATAAAAGATGTTCAAGGAAACCAGATTACTAAGAAGGAGAAACAAATAAAACAATGGGCTCATCACTACAAAGAGCTCTTGGATCAACCATCACCTGCAACTTGCCCAGAAATACCACCAACAGTGTTCACAGAACTGCCAGTGTACACCAATCCTCTAGTGAGAAAAGAAATCCTAAATGCAATCAAGCTACTGAATACCGGCCGGGAAGGCAGCAGAACCGGACACAATTCCTTCCAAGGAACTGAAAACAAACCCAGAGGCTGCGGCAGATGTTCTCACTCCATTACTACAAGACGTTTGGGAAGAAGGAAATGTGCCTACTGACTGGAAGAAGGGCTACCTCACTGGATGCAGAACTCTGCGCGAAACAAGCTGGATTCAGAAAATGCAAATCATGTACTGAGCAAATTGCAACTCTACGCATCGTCATCGAACAAAGCATAGAATGGCAGTCAAACTCTACCTCAACTTCGAAAAGGCCTTCGACAGACGGCGTTGACCGAGAAGTAATTTGGAAACTACTTCAACACTATAGCATACCTCAAGTCTTTTTCGATCTCATTCAACAGCTATATGACAATGCCACGTGTCAGGAGATCCACAACGGGAAACCCAGTGAGACGTTCGAAGTGCATACAGGAGTAAGATAGGACTGTCTATTATCACCGATGATATTCTCAATTGTGGTCGACTGAATTGTGCAGCAGACTGTGCACAGGGAGTCAAAAGGCAGGAATACGCTGCACCACCGATTGAAGGACTCTAGAAGATCTGGATTTCGCGCGTTGTTGATTGATGTCTAATGTCAGACAAACTCGTAGACTTGCAGGTGACAAGCAACAAACTGTCTGAAGTGGCGGGAAGTGAAGACAAGACTCCAGGTGAACATAGAGAAGGTGGAGACGGAGGTGATGAAGATAACCAACCAACGGTGACTGCGACAACAACCGTCACCAATCATCATTAACAAGAGAGATTTAACAGAGGTCACTTCTTCCACTTATCTAGGAAGCATCGTTTTAACTACAGGTGGAACGGATGAAGATGTCAAAGTCAGAATCGGAATGACAAGATACGCACGCCTTCATCAACCTGAAACCAGCTTGTAAATCTGCTACACTCAACAGCATAAGCAACAAGACTCGGATTTTCAACACAAATGTGAAGTCAGTCAGTCACTTCTTCTATACGGGTCAGAACCTTGGCCAGCGTGTCACGAGAAGGATTTCCAACAGGTTGCAGACTTTCATCAACAGCTGCATTCACTGACTCTGTATTGAAGATCAAATTGCCAGAAAGAATCAGTAACAAGAAACTCTGTCTGGCTGGGAACAAACTAGCCAAGAGGCGATTGCTCAACAAATATGCAGGAGAAAATGGACATGGATCAAGCATACATTGAGGAGGTCGTCGAATGACATCGCGCACCAGGCCCTCGAGTGGAATCCCAATGGGAAGCGACGATTGGGTCGTCATTGTTAGGGTGACATGGGGGAAATCGTGTGAGGAAGAAGTGGGCAACCATGGTCCAAGCTAAACAGGACGGCAGAAGATAGGACAAAGTGGAGATGTGTTGTTGAAGCCCTATGTCCCAGTCGGAACTCAAGGGAATAATAGTAATATTAATTAAGAAGCAAACAATCAAGAAAAAGACAAAACAAAAATTGCGCACTTGAGGTGAAGATAGGTCAGGTGCATTGTAGATTCAATGATTGAACAAACTTCTTTTGTATACAGAGTTCAGGTTTTAACTTGTGAATCGCCATTGCTTCTGCGGTTTGGAGAAGTTTGATTTGTACTCTTTTAGCGAGATTTCCACGAATTCTGTAAATGACTTTGAAGTTGCTTTGTGGGGTTGCTTGATGTTCCGAAGCGAACGTGTGTTCCAGAACACAGCTTCGGCGAGGGACCTTTTCTCTCCTTTATAAAACTATGAGGGTAAGTGTTCGATGATACTTTGGGATAGCGAACTCTGGGTACGGCCGACTCAACTAGCTCCACAGGAGAAGGTCAGTTGGAAGGTGTACATGGATGAGGTTGGGCAACAGTGGTAGCTTATCCTTCATGTTCATGTGAATCATTGGTTTCATACAGAATGTTAGCTGGAGTTCAGCAGTGAAGAAGGTTTTCTTCAGTGAATGCGACAGGCGGTTTCTCAGTATTTCTATCTTTGAGTCTCCACTGAATTGTAGATTCAGGTATGGGCGGTTTCAGTGATTTGGGTTTCAAAGATTTTGTGATGAAACATTCTGGGTAGCAATTTCCGAGAAGGATTCTCTTCAGGACTGCAAATGCTGCGGATTCTGTGGCTCAGCAAAACGATCAGGTTTCGTTTTGTATATAGGAGGGCCTAACTGTGAAAGGTAGTAAGTTATCCGTTCCATAGCTTATTTTTTATAATTCATCTTCAGTTCTAACCAACTCTATACTGAAATGTTTGTTTACAGGGATTTCATTGATTTGAAGATCTACCACGAAATAACTTCAACTAGAGGACTGTTGAAAACCAGGAAGTGCTAAATAGGTGTTTCTTCCTCGTTCTCGACCACCCATGACCGCATCTGGGGATCGAACCCAGCACCATCATTTTTACAAGGCAAGCTTTTAGACCATTAAGGCATTCGAACGGAGTCCAACACTATATAACAAAAGTGTTAGAATAAAGCAAGAACAATAGTTTATACAGAATAAGGTGGTACCATCATCACTTATTTCGTTGGCTTCTCATCAGCTGCACACAGCTCAAAGAAATTAATTAAGTTTATGTACAAAACAGTTTAAATATGCTTTACAAATATTACATAATGTCATTTAACCTGATAAAATGTCTTTCATTTGACCACGTAATGTTTGACGTTAACCTCTCACCCTCCTCTTTCGGTTGATATAGTATAACTTCATTTCTCCCTTTTTGCTTTGATTTGAGTTGAACTCACTAAATTTCTACTCATTTTATTAGTTACCCATCATCTTACCCACCCCTTCTCTCTATTACGTAACTCCTTTGTCGTGGTTTGCAAGACTTTATTTTTGTTTAAACTTGAACTCTCTTGGTAAAAAAAAAACTATATAAGTGCAATTTCTGACTACTGCTTATTAAGTTTGAAGTCTCCTGTCAACTAACATTGTGTAACATTTCAAGGTATGTTTAAATTGTTCTTTACATGAACTGAATAATTCGTTTAGGTTGTGTTGCAGATGATGAGAAGCCAACGAAATCAGTGATGGTGGTACTACCTTATTCCTGTACAAATTGTTGTCTTCGCTTTTGTCGAATTCATAAATGGGAACAAGAGTATAAAATGTGCCAGTGCAGATCAATTAACGAGACCATTTATTTAGCAAACAAGCCTTAGTTGTTACAACAGATTATAATAAAATCTCATTAGAATATAAGTTATCGTAACGTCCAATGCAGTTAGCAGAGTCAATTTCAGCCTTCTATACTTTCTGTTTATCATTCCTTTACGTTCCCAGTGGGACATAGCGGAATTCAAGCTAGAGGCTTAAAGTTTCAGCAGCACTGGTGTTTATTTTTTTGATTATAGCTTGAAAGTTTACAGTAACCTGTTTGAATACAGAAGATTTCCAAACTGATTTCAGAGTTCCTCATCACCATCGGCTCTACACTCATATGTAGCTTTTACATCAGAATCGTACTAATCATGTGATTATCTTAATCCTGAAGAATTATCAATTTTAGTTGTAGGGGGAGGCGAGAAGATAAGCGCATATTATTTATAATTATAAATAATGATTTTCATCCCTCCTTCAAAATTTAAGTATCTTATTGCTCTACATCTACTGGTTACTTGTTTTGATGATCTTTAACGTCTTATTCCCCACCCACCCCTCCGCCTCACACCTGAAACTTCGTTACCTGCTTCTTCTGTCAAATTGTTTGTTTTCGCCTGTAGTTTTTCGAGTCTGTGTGAAATGAGACGCAAATCACTCACGACGAAGTCTATATTTTCTAGAGTCTTCTTATCGGTGATCCAACGTATTCCTGTCTTCTCACACTCCCTGTCGACAGTATGACGTATAATCCAGTCCACGACAGTTAGGAATATCATCGGTAATAATAGGCAGGTATTATATATATTATTTTTTCCTTCACGTTCCCCAGTGGAACATAGGGCTTCAAGCTAGTGACTTGAAGTTTCTGTAGCAGTGTTTATTTTTACAGGATGGGGTTGTTAGCCTCATGCCCAACCTTTCCTCTTCACCAGCATTATTTCTGGCTTAGCGAGTTAAAGGAGTGCGTCATCGGCCGGGGATCGAACCCCGGACCATGTGCATGGTCGGCGAGTGTCCTAACCGCTATGCCACGATAATAGGCAGGTAGCCTTGTCTTACTCTTGTCTTCTTCATGTCAAACGCCTCACTGAGTTTTCAGTTGTCAGTCACCTGACATATGACATTGTCATATAGCGAGCTGTTGAATGAGGTTGATAAAGATTTGAGGCACTCCATAGTGTTGAAGTAGTTTCCAAATTACTTCGTCGTCAGAGCTGTCGAAGGCGTTTTCAGAGTCGATGAAGACTAACGACCTTTTTCTCTTCATTATTTATAGTGAAAGCCTGTTTGTGGTTTATTCATCTCAATGTATTTACAAACTATGCACATATATACTTTTTTTTTTCAAAGATTTATCCAGTCTATTGTATACACTAGTGTAGGAAAAAAAACAAAAAAAACCCAGAGAAATGTAATGTATACATTTCCTATCACCATAGTAACACGTGTACTTTCTATTCTTGTCATTAATTGTATCAACATTTATTTTTCAACATTAATTTTTTTTTTAAATATATTTCTTATCCTTTCCTTCTTCTAGATATAATGCTTCATTGTACTTTGCTGAAGTTGTAATACAATCTGAGAATTGGTTATCAACTGCTCGTGATTATTTAGGTCATTTTTTATTTTGTATATTTATTTACGTCAGTGCTATTGTCTTATGGAATACAACAGGCTCTGTAGTCTGGTTACTATTGAACAGGTGAGTCCAATGGCTGCCTCAATAAATTATTCATGTCTGTCAGTATTGTTTTGTAGTTAATTATTGTCAAGTTTGAAAACAGATTGATATCAGCCAGAGAACCATTGAAAACCAGCTATAAGTTCTTAACATCGGTTTCGTCCCAGTTTGAGACTCGTCAGTAATACTCACCCACTGGGATTTGAGTCAATAATTTTCCGGTTACAAGGCAAACCCGCAATACAATTTAGCTACTGGGACCCGATCCAATGGTTAGTCAGTGTATACCAACTTCTACTAATTCGTGATTTCAGTGTGGCCATCAGCCAATGTCATCGGCAAGTATTTGTCCTCATGCCCAGTCGGGTGGACTCTAATGGTGACACCTTCTTACTAGAATTTTGAAGTTTGATTACGGATTGGTGTCAGTTAGGAAACCATTGACGAGTCTCAAACTAGGGCGAAACAGCTGTCGAGTACTCTTAGCTGGTTTTCAGTGGTTCTCACAATAACAACAGTCCCTGATCAAACTTGAAATAGTCTTGATGTTGAACGGTATATCAACTGTTCTGTGATCTCACAATACACATTCATAAGAAGAGAAAACAGTAGGCCTAAAAATAATTTATATCGGGGATGTTAACTTAAAAAAAACAAGAATATGAATCGTCTTCACATAATCGGGTGAGATGGAATAAAAATCGGCCGACTGCCGATGATTCCCCAGACTAGGATGAAACAGCAGCTGTCCAGTACTCTCTAGTTCTCAATGTTTCTCTAACTGATATCAATCCGTGGTCAAACTGGAAAGACAGGTCTAATCCTTACAAACCAACTGTAGAAAATTAATCTGATGTTCGCTGGTGACTTGCTACAGGACATAGTTTCCTTGAGTTCCAGTGAGAAGTGGTGACCAGTGAAATCCATCCAGTCAAGTGTGAGGATGGATATCCCGCCGATGACATTGGTTGGTGGTGGTCGGGCTAAATCACGAATTGACAGAAGTCAGAATTCATGCACTGCCTGGCCATTGAATTGGGTCGCAGTGACTGAATGGTATACGAGCTCGCCTTGTGACCAATATGTCCTGGGTTCGAACTCAAGTGGGTGCGCACTGTTGATATTTCCCAAAACTAGGATGAAACAGCTGTTCAGTACTCTCAGTTGGCTTTCAATGGTTCTCTAACTGATATCAATTAGTGGTCAAACTGGAGAAACAAATCTAATCCCTACAAGTCAACTTTTGATAATGATAATAATAATGGCTTTATTTTGCAAAATAAGTTTGTACAGGATGCATAATTTTCAGCGTAGTTTATTACGTAATATTATCTTTCAATCCAGAAGTTTCAAGCAGAACAGACATCTCCGGTACATTATGTGACTCAGTGGTTTTAGATCTAAAAACTAAAATAACCGTTCATGGTATTTTCCGTTGATCCTCCAGAATTGAGTAGCAGTAGGTTGCAAACAAATTACAAAGGTGTATGAGTACATTTGCCGCCGACACAAATATAACTGAACGATTATAACAACAAGAACTAAAGAAAATAAGATGCCTTGTTTCGGATGGAAATTCAGATAGCCTAGTGGTTCCAACAGGCCGCCATATAATTAGGTAGAGGAGAGTGAGAGGTTCATCACTGAATCTTTGTTCATCGTATCAACATATTAAACATGTGCAGTCTAATTGACTCACAGACTATGCTGGATATATGCAAGTTATGAAGTCATCTGAATACACTGACATGAATGTGAGCAGAGAATTGTTCTCGAAACGTCTTTCAGTTATTAAAACTGTATCTCACTGTGTGTTATATCAAGTGAACCTATCCAATATAGAATTTAGAACAACACATTTAAGTGAACAAAATTTTTTCCCAATTAGATCTCATCAGACTTAACAGATGCATCGATGGCACAGTGGTAGAATGCTCGCCAACCACGCCGCACGTGGTTTGGGGTTCGATCCCGGGCCAACGAAGCACTCCTTTACCTCGTTAAGTCAGTAGTAATAAGACTGGTAAAAAGAAGGAAGGTTGGAAATGAGGCTAGCAACCCCATCCCCACTGCTACCGAAACTTCAAAGCTCTAGCTTGAAGTCTAATGTTCCACTGGGAATGTCAATGAATCAAAAATAGACTTAACTCTAATACCAATAACTTTAAAGGAAAATAAGATTGTGCATATAAATTGTACAATTAGTCATAACAGTAATAACAGCAATAATAATATTAACGATTCTATCAATAATAGGGATGAAAAGTGAGGCGATCTGTGATAACAAGAATAACGAAAACCAGCGTGATTAAATAAACAAATGTTCAGATAGACGTCGGAGTCGATGAAGGTTAAGAAAAACAAATAAACCGACTGAGTAATGCTACGTTGTAAGGGAAGCAAATAAAATAAGTTTTTAATGAAGATGTGATAAGACTGAGGGATGATAATAGAGGGGTTGAAAAAAAAATAAGTAAGGGGTGGTAGTGACGTTATGAGTTGTTCAAGTTTTAAATCGCCAAGGGGGTGGGGTACTGACTGTACGAACTTCTTTTTAGCGCATAATTTAGGCTTAATTGTTCGAATACCTATCACCCCAGCTATATGTGTAGTCAACGTAAACGAAGAGAAGTCCATTGGAAAGATTCAGTGGGATTCGATGAGTCTCATGTTGAATGCTTTCATTGTTTTCCATTATATGTGACAAGATGGAGGGATCTACGGATAGTTTTTGCGTGACCTTTAGCAAACCTTAATGGAAGATGTTTAGTAACATATATGTTCAATCGAAGTTCAGTTTTATGAGTTTGAACATATTTGGGTATTGGGTGGGTAAGATATGATATTTATTATTATAACAGTTTTTGTATATCCCAATGAATGAAAAACAGTGAACGCGATTGTTTTTACACGTTGGATAAACTGTCTAGTATTCATTTTACAAGTTTGGTCACGAGTTGGTATCAGTTAGAGAAGCACTGGGAAACCTTCAGGGAGTACTGGATAGTTGTTTAATCCTATTTTGGGGCTCATCAGCAGCACTTACTCACTTGCGTCCAAACCCAAAACCTGCCAGTTACAAGGCAAGCTCGTAGACCATTCAACCACTAGGACCCTAACCAATAACCCATGAATTCTAACTTCTCCCAACACCGCAAATTGGCAGAAGTCGGAATACATGGACTATTGTAACCACCTTTTAACTGGAAGGTCATGAGTTTAAACCCCGTTGGCTGCGTATGGCTGAAGACAAAACAGTTGTCCAACAGTATTTCCTAATTTTCCAATGTTTCTATAACTGGTGTCAACTCGTAGTCAACCCCTGTAACCAATCAAAGCCCTGCAAATCAACACACTTAATATTATTTATTCGTAAAGTTACGTATAGTAGAGTTAAGGCTTATTAGATCCAATTGAAAACATTTTTTAAGTATTGGTTTGTAGGGATTTGGTTGATTGGGTACAGGATTTCATCATGAGCTGACATTGATTAGAGAACCATTGGAAAACCTGGGAGTACTGGACAGCTGTTCCATTAGCCTTGTTTGGGACTCTTCAGCAGTACGCACCCACACTGAGGTGTTCGAACCCAGGACCTTCTAGTTACAAGGCGAGCTGGCTCATAGATCATTCAGCAGCCACTGAGACCCGATCCAATGACAAGCCTATGAATTCTTACTTCTGCCAATTCACGATATAGCGCAACCGCTAGCCAATGTCTTCGGTGAAACAGCCGTCCAGTACTCCCAGGTGGTTTTCCTGTGATTCTCTAAGCAATGTCAGCTCATGATGAAAACATTTTAATTCCCTTAGATATCTTGTTACAAATAATAACTCTTGTAAAAACCATGCGTATTTATACATGAATTAGATGATTCTATTGACACGACTTTCACCAGTATTATAGCTTAGCCTTAACAGGGAAGCATTTCTTGCTTGTATAAATACAAAATAAGATTGCATAACATTTGTGTCGTTTTTTTTATGTTTCATAATATTCCCCTTCACTTTACCCAACCCCCCCTCCCCTCTTTCTTCATCTTTTCAAAACAGACTTAGCCTTCTACCACAAAAAGTTTTATTCAAATCAGACATTTCCAGTTGGCAACCAGTAGATGTACCACATCAATTATGAAGATGAAACATGAAAGAGAGAGAGAGAAAAAGAAAGAAAGAAGGAAAGAAAATGTGTTAATTATCATCCATAAGAGAGTATGCATGGGCATGATTCATTCATGATAATATTGTATATGTAATTTTATTTCAATTTTAATTTCTTTATATCTCATAATAATACTAACAATAATATTAATAATAATTTCACATGACTAGTGCTCAGCTAAAGGAAATCTCGAAATTATCTAGGTACCATTAATCATTATAACAATAATAATAATACTGAAGCATAAGAAATAACCTTATTCAACCGGTCAGTTTATGTATCTATTTTATTAAAATGTGATTGGTTAATTAATTACTAACGTTACTGATGCTTTTATCTTAATTATAAGATGTCTAACTGCTGATTTCAACTTGTACGCATTTCTCCTATGACATATATATATATATATATATATATATATATATATATATACTTTAAGCGACATTACTCTTGCTTATTGTTAACATTTATTTCTACTGTTTATGTTGTTTCCTTAGTTGTGTGTACGTATGTGTGCGTATATTTGTGCGTGTGTGTGTTTGTTGTCTTGTTGGCTAATATCATTTCTGTTTTACTAACCTTATTCTTAATGTTCAATGTATTCCCCCCCCCCCTCCCCCAATGAATGTCTACTGATACATCCATGCATCCATCCATGACATAGACACGAAGTCAAGAGGAAGTGTATACACACACATACAAACACGCATATACGCATCTATCTACCTACCTATTTACTAGCCTACCGACACATAGGCGTGTTTCCTTTTCTACTTTACTACAAGTGTTCATTTCTATTTGTAATCATCATTGTAGTGTAGATATGGGAAGTCTGTTATTATGTGATTCTTTGTACTTCTCTTTCTCTTTGGAAAATCAACAACAGACAACTAACTGTTGTTTATTTTGACAATTTTTAATGTCTATCTTTCATTGGTCTGTCTTTTTCTTCATTGTGAATGAATTTTTTTCTTTTTTTAAAAACTATAAAAAAAACTTGATTCATTTTGTTGTTGTTGTCATTCTTTGATTTCTAAGTGAAACATAAGGCTTCAATTAATTTGGTTACAAGATTTCATTAATGAGCTGACATCGGTCGGAGAACCTGAATCCTGTAACCGATATATCAAATCCCTGCAAACGAATACTTGAATATCAATGAGATGCTCACACTAGCGACTGGCCTTATTCAGCTAGGTAGTTGTTACGTGAGGTTCAAGTGGGAAGTCGTGACCAGTAGAGTACAGCAGGTCGAAGGTGAGAACAGTTAGTTACTCATCAAAGAAGACATTACTGAAGTGGTTGCGCTATGTCGTCAACTGGCAGAAGTTGGAATTCACGGACTGGCCATTGAATCGGGTCCCAGTGGTTGCTGAATGGTCAACGAGCCAGCTCGCCTTGTAACCAGAAGGTTCTGGGTTCGAACCCCGCAGTGTGGGTGCGCACTGTCGAAGAGTCCCAGTCTAGGACGAAACAGCTGGTTCTCTAGCCGATGCTAGCTCACAATCAATTAAATCCCTTCCCTGGGAGCCAATACCTTAATCAGTTTTTTTGGATGTTGACTAGCAGTGAAATCCAGGATGCACACTTCTTCTTAAATGGGACTCGTCATCTGAATGTACCTGCATTCTCCAGTTAGTGAGTGATAGTTTTCCTACTGAGGCTTGAACCCAGTACTTATAGTTTCAAACGCCAAAGTGTTATCCACTAGACCATTTGGGCCACAAAAGCCACCTCTATTCAAATCAATTTTGACTTTCCCGTAGAAGAAATATCCGGCCTATTTTGCATGTGCATCCAGCTTTCGAGGATGAAATATACAGTCTGGATTCCACTGCTAGTCACTACTATTCACTAAATTACTTCCGGTTAAATCCTCAGACATCGGCGAAGCATTCACACTAAGAGCCAACATGTCTACAGAGGTCGAGCACTTCGGTTCAATCAATGAATGCGAAAGTCGAAACTGAATTACATAATAAAACTTTAATCTTTGAAGCACTAGTGTTTCCTTTTATTTGCTAGTCTTACGGCTAACCTTCCCCTCCCTTCGAGACTTATTATGAGACAGTAAACTTGCTGAGGCTCAGAAGTGCATCTGCTGGGATTAGATTCCGGACCTGGCACTAGGTTAGTGAGCACTGTACCTACCATTAAGGCGGAAGTACTATTTACTAAAACAGAATCGTCTGAATGGAGTAGGATTTCAATGATTCCATAAATTAAAAAGACGGTTGCAGTGAAGATAATTTTTTTTGTTTTTGTTTTCGATGAAGTCATCAACTAGGCTGTACATTTGTGTATTTATGCGGCAAATGGGTGAGAAACTCCTAAATCCTTTCCAGTCGAAGGTCAAGTTAACAAATGTACAAATAGGGATTAGAATATAATAATAATAACAAAATAAGCGAGAAGATAGGGATGAAAACGTAATAGGATTATAGCTACTGAGAAAACTGACTTTTTCGTGCAATTAGGGATTGAAAACCTAGTACTGACAACAAAATAGACAGGGAGTTCAGATAAAAAAACACAATTAGAGATTAAAATTCGTAAAATTAACAGGAAGTTTGGATAAGAAAGGTAATAGGATAATCATTATTGAGAGAAATAAGCTCAGGAAACAGATGTCTGCATCCTACTTACTGTACAGCTAGCTGTTCGAATTTTATTTTATTTTTGATTTTCATTACGGCTTGATTCCACACCGTATTTTTTGGTACTGGTATGGAATTTTCAGCACGTGATGTCGGTAGCCCAAAATTTCGCAGGCCGTCCATAGTTATCAGGGGTGCGTCGGCAGGTGATCGAACCCCGGACCATGTGCATGGTCGGCAAGAGTCCTAACCACTGTGCCACCGACGCACACGCGCAAATACGAATCTCTTCAAAGATAACAAAAAGACTATTATTCCTCAATAATGTGCGGTTTTATTCAACAAATATTAACATCGGAATTGCCTCAACAGCGCCGTTAGGGAACTATGCAATCAAGTCTAAGTACAAAACGAGCCCTTACAACCAAAGGGAATACTTCTAAAAAGGTGGGATCAATAACTCTGTCCACAAGAATCATACACTAACATTTCTTGCAGCCAGTCTTAAGTCAGAATGACTTTGACTTCACTCAAACAAACTCATATCGTTTAAAAAATTGTCAATTTGCACCCAAACACAAAGAGAAGCACATAATTAAAGATCAAAACAGGGACAAAGACAAATTATAAGGATCAGATCAATAGGTGATATACAAATATCAGAATAGCGATATACACTTTAGGAGACAAAGGGATTCTAATTACAAAGTTCGTTGAAACGTCTAAACATTGCAATTAAATGGCTCAGAAGACATTTTCCAAACAATTATTCCGTGTTACAATATGTACAACTTGCGTAGGACGACTACCACAATAAACCTAGTATAGTGAATAATCATGCCAAACTAAGATCAAATGAAGTTTAGAACCAGGATGAGATGTTATTGTATTTTATTTTTCAACTTTGGATGATATAAATATTATAGACAAGCTGCCGCACATCTACTGTCTTTAAATTCCAGGGTGAAATATATAAAAAAAAGGATGGTGTAGCGAAGTGATGTATCACCAATATCCCCTATCGTAGCAGATATCTTTATGGACAGCTGGAAAAATACTGATCTAAATACCTTAAATCCCACTGTAAGCGCAATATCGCTTGAAATTAAGTCACGCGTAGATAAAGGCTATCCCGGTCCAGAACAAACAAGAAGCCAGTCACTGTTTCTACGGTACTGTTAATAAACAAATCAATAATTTCATACAATTCTTCACATTAATAAACTTGAACAAAGCAAGAACAACAATTGTACCAGGATAATATGAGCTCATCTTTTATTATTTCGAGGATTCTTCTCAACTGGTTATAACCTGAACGATGACAAATATGAATTACATTACATTAAAGATTTGAACATAATTTTTCACGATCACAAGGAGTAATTGGTAGGAAGTACTTATATATACAACAAACCTTTCAAGAGTACAAAGCACAACGCTTAACAGAAGGCAAGGTACCGCTATCAGAGCGGAATAACGTTAAAGCCAAAATTGCGAACTAGCCGGAATCAGACACGACCGTTCAGGTAAGCAGTCACTAGAAGAATGAACCCAAGTAAGAGATAGACAGAGCATAGGCACAAAGATAGAATTTAATTGGCTACTTAACCAACCAATAAATAAGATAAACTCGACAGAATAGTACAAAATAAGACATGGGTCAGCAAAATAACAGTTCACAAAAATACTCTGACTGGGTCATGAGTTCAACTGTCTGACTAAATGGATCGAAGTAAAACTACACACACAGTTCATTAAACAAGGTGGGATAGACACGTTAGGCATGGATAATCGGGTTGCAACAACGCTAGGCTGATCCGGGACAGGTTGAATTGATTCAAGGATGGGAATTGAATTGATCTTACACCCACTCCAAAAATGTGGTGGAGATATGTGGATGACACTTTCACAGTGTTAAAAAACCGAACATATCTCTCTCTAGATTCTTGACACATATAAACTCACTAGTAGAGGGAATAAAATTCACATTTGAATCGGAAAGTAGACAAGGAGAATTAGCTATGATTTTGGATTGTAAAATAAAAACGAACAGAAGAAGGTAGACTGCAGACTAGCGTTTATAAAAAGCCAACGCATTCTGCTAATACATATTTAGACTTTAATTCATCTCATCCGTTCGTCGTATGTAAAGGCTGACTTAGTTAAGTGTCTAACAAACCGACCAACAGCACTAAATAATACAAAACAAGACCTAAATTATGAAATGAAACAGATAGAAGAAGTGTTGGTGGTAAATAACTATCCTATAAAATTCCTTAGAATGATCAGAAAAGGACAAAATAAAAATAATGGTGAAACTAATAATGATAACATAAATAAGAGAGAATATAAGGCATTTACAGTTATACTGTGGTGAGAGCTGTCTGCTAGCCAAAATTGGTGGACAGCAATTTACGTCAGTGTTTACGTCTTATATCTTGGTTATGAGAAGAAACAAGAACAAAGACTAACTCAACAATCAATCACAGCAGCTGCGTGGGCGGATACGATTCACAGATATATGGTCTGACCTTCAAAGAAACGGGCACAAAGAGATGACAGAATAACTTTCAGCGAGAAAACGACCAATCAGAAGACGCTGTTTCTCTGCTAATAATAATGTACATATAACTATAAATGTCTCTTGATTTCCTCGAGAAACGTTTTGTTGCCTGGCCCTTGTCCTCTGTCGTTACAATACCACATAAGGAGGGGACATCTGAGGTCCTACGTGGTAGGACTGCGAATAAAGCAGGAATTAGGGTGGCATTCAAACCTACAAACAACCCACTCAG